CACAAATGAATTTGCTAAATAATGTAACTAAAAAAAATACAGCCCTATTTCGGTAGGACATCTTCAATCACAATTAATTCAGAACATCTTGTGAATGTGATTAAAGATATTAAACTTAACCCTAATGATATTCTGGTAAGCTTTGATGTAATTTATTTATTTAAAGTTTTTGTTACACTAGTAAATAAGACCGGTTTACCAAAAGATATTTCAAAACTAGCTGACCATTGTCTACATAACACTTATTTCTTATGGAGAGGTGATTTCTTTGAACAAAAGGAAGAAGCAGCAATAAACTCTCCTTTGTCTCCTGCTGTTGTCAATCTGTACATGGAAACGTTGAAGTAAAAGCAGCGCTTGCTTCAAGTACACTAAACCCATATTTTTGTTTTAGATATAAGGATGATACTTTGGTTGTCTGACCACATGGTGAAGATAAACTTAATACATTTCTAAATCATCTCAATTCGCAAAACCGGGTCATCCAGTTCACCATGGAAATGGAGGTGAATAACACACTCCCATTCCTGGATATTTTTCTCGGACGCGGCCTAAATGGTAAAATAACTCACAGCGTTTACCGAAAGGAAATGCACACTGATGCCTATCTGAATGCAGATTCGCATCATCACCCCCCCACAGAAATCTTATTTTCAAGACGCTCATACATCGGGCTAAAACAGTGTCATATTGTGAAAGTCTGAGAAGAGAGATTAATAATGTTTAAGAAGCGCTACGATTAAATGGCTACAATAACGCTCACATTAACAGAGCATTAAATGCCAAACCAAGATCGAACAGCAATACTGCTGAACGCGATCAGGTTATTAAACAATTAAAATACCATATATTGCGGGAGTAACTGACAAATTAGCTCGAGTTTTGGAAAAACTAAAAATCAGAGTAAGATTTGGCATACTACACAAAATTCAAAAACTAGTATCTTGTACTAAATGTGAATTGCCTAAGCTATCAACAGAAGGCGTGTATCGGATTAATTGCTTGTGTGACACATGCTATATTGGACAAACGGGACGTAACATTAGCATAAGAGTAAAATAACACCAAATAAATATTAAATACTCTCAAACACATCTGTTGGCAGTTGCAGAACATGCTTGCCAACAAGGACACTCAATTGATTTTGATAACGTTGAAGTGTTGTGTAAAAAGAATTATTACTGGCTGAGACTAATTCGAGAATCTATTGAAATGGAAATACAAATTAGTGTAACCGCTCTGACAGCTACAGGCTTCGTGCGGCCTGGAAGCGCATTATTAATATACATTACAACTGTATTCCTTATAAACACATGCTAATTAACTGCTAATAATCTATTATATAATTACAATAACCAACCCCGCCTCTGATCTCTGCACCTGATGGGTTCACAGTGGTGACGTCTTCTTGCTCTATTTAAGACCTGAAGCAGGTGGAATGCTTCACTATTCTGACAAATCGCCCGATGTTGGATGTAATTACTAGCGAAACGTCGTGCACTCAAATTGTACATGTTGTGTGGGTTTACGCTCCAACACACCGGCGGGCTGAAGTAGTAACTAATTGGCGCGTTGTTTACGTGACAAACCTTACTGGCTGTGTGGGTGGTTGAGGGTTACGACACATTAATACTTATGCGATCTAACCCAAAAACCTTTATGAATATTGGTTGCGAAAGCCGAAGTGTTACAATAGAGTTAATTGTGACTCCATGTTGTGGACGGACAGTCGGTGAACGCATCAACTCTTTCATCCATAGTTGGAAAGTATCACTAAGAATGCTTTTTGTATTGAAATATTGTTGAATTGAGACAAGGTCTCAACACCAGTGCAGTGGGGAATCTTTAGAGGACAGCTGCATACCCAGCCGCAATGGAAATATCCACTCCTTCTTACCCCATTATCGTCTTCCGCAACATCATCATCCAGAGTTATGGTTATGAATGTAGTTCACAACACTCGTTTCGATACACAACATCCAGTTGTCCTACGACCATTTTATATTACAATTGGTAGTCAATTCAGCTCGTCTTCAAGATTTGACAAAATACCATGGTGTTTACACAGTACTAGCTCCAAAACTTCCCATCAGATTTATACTTACGCGATCTAACCCAAAAATCTTTATGAACTCTATTGTAATGTTGATCCAATCTGGACACTTCAGTCTAAAGATGCATCGCTATTATGGACTTGCGCTAGCAGCCTCTCCACGCAGAATGGATCACATGAAGCCACCTATGTACGAGATAGAGCAGAGCCCCCTTTTGGCAATTCACTACTGGATGAGGGCCTCCCCACACAGATCAAATCTCCGGGCTTATTTAACTACACTTTTCAGCCCCCTTTTGGCAATTTACTACTGGATGAGGGCCTCCCCACACACATCAAATCTCCGTGCTTATTTAACTACACTTTCCACGCCGGTCAGTGCTGGTTGGTGAATGCACGGAGCAATGATGAGAGCACATCGTACAGGACAATGGATTTTGCTGCAATGCCCTCTGATACCTTCCACGTGGCCCTGGCGATACATGACAAAACAAACCATGCGCAAGTTCTAAGCATTTATGCTGAGCAAGCTAATCGATTAAACCGCTAATCGATTAAACCGATGAATCGCAATACCGTTGGGATGCGGAAATTGTTCTGTCATGAGCACGTGTGCGGTTTGGTGTCGGATACATACTCCAGCGACCTTGCACAACCCATTGTAGGAATGCAACTCGGCAAACATTTTTTTAATGCCTTTATTTACACGCTGGTGGCGCAAACATCAGGATGACTTCGCTTGCATGTTAAAAAAGAAAAATCACAACCAATTTTAACGAACGCATAACGACATACAAGTTTCTCAAACTTGAGAGGAAAGTCAGCAACTCGATACAGTCGCATACATAAACCATGGAGACACACGCTCAACGCAGAATCTCTCGGATCGAGTGGAACCTAAAATGCGTATTGTCGCGACTTGGAAGCCTACTGAGAAGAGGCGTCTGAAGGTCCGAATGGGGTGTCTGTAGGTCTAGAGCAGTGGCTCTTCTTCACCTGGGGTGCACGCTGCACCTCCTGCAGGTGCGAGACGTGGCCAATTTTTTTAGAAGGTAAATCATCGTAAGTACAGCTACTTGGGCACGTAAGTACAACTACTTTGCTACATCAAACCCTCCGTGTTTATAAACATTATAATTGCTTTTACGATTGAGAACCAAAGGGGTGCAATTCTGCAGTAAAGGTTAAGAACCACTGGTCGAGAGTCTGGAGTTTTTTTATTTAAATAAACTTGCAAGAGCCAAAATTTGTTCCTGGAAATCTATTTGATTTAATATCGACTCGGTGCAACGTTTTCATTTTCTTCCAATATGTGGTTGTATTTACCCAGATTTGTATTTGATCGTTAATGCTCTGGTTTTATATTTGCGTCAACGTTATTACTTTTGTCGCACCTTGCAAATGAGACTTTCCTCATATCTCGAGTTCTTACCTAGCCAATCAAATTCAACTTGAAACTTGGATATATGATGAAGAGGGTCCAGACGTATAATCTGCAAGGCTGTAATTCTAATGAAGGGACTGGTTTGGAGGTCCAATGGTGGGAATCTCTGGCCAGGTGAAAGTAACACCTGCAGTGGACCCCTAGTATTTAATCTACACGAGCATTAACAAAATACAATTATAAAATTTAATGTAAACTCCTGCTGGAGATTTTATTGAACGGGCGAGGGGACCAGGTGGCCCACTGGGATGGTAAGAATTGACAGGCACGTGACACAGAGAGAAGCGTGGGTAGTACATCGCGTAGGCAATGCCAGATGCCTTCTCAGTGGTGTGCAAATCAAAATGCACATCGCTCACCAATGAATGTGGAATGTACATACACCACGCTTTTGCCAATCCACTGCTGGACGAAAGCCTCCACATGCCGTGCAGGTCACGTGAGTTACTTGACCATGCTTCACCACGCTGGTCAATGCGGACTGGTCAACGTTGAGAGCATAGACGTGATAGCATAGAAGTACATTACAACAATGGATTTTGCTGCATTGCCCGCAGCTGCTCACCACGTAGCCCCACAGCAGCCAATAACCAACCGGAATGTGTCCGATCGCGTCACATCTTGAAAGCTGAACAGAGTTGAACCTGGATGGTGGTTGGACAGGTGCCCACTTTGCCTAAAACAAAAGTGTAATATTTATGATAATTATTCCTGCCTCCCCGACTTCCAGCTGCTCTGTCAAGGCGGTCTCGCTCAGCTGCCCGACTGAACCCAGAGGAGCGGCCAGTCGCGTAGCGCGACCTCGTTTAAATGGGAAGGGGGGAGGGGGCATACTGAGGGGGCCATGACACAGGCAATGTTAAACAAACTTGGAACAAATTCTCAGAATGACCAACGGCAAAATCAACCTTTGTCCGTGTGCATTCTGCTCTAGCTCGCACCCTGCGTGTCAACATTGCTGACTTGACGACTCGGTAAATTATTACATTGCAGGACCGTAACATATGTTTTAACGTCTGGGGAGGCCTTAATCCAACAGTGGATTGTTTAAGGTTGATGGTGAACATAACGATTTAGATGGCTCAGCCCCCTCCAGCGCCCCCCACTCTGCCACCACAGGTCTGTAGAGGATGCACAGTTCACCGCGGTGGCTAGATGTTAACTACATCTCCTGGTATACAGGAGGTCATGGGTTCGATCCCGACCCTGACGCCCGCTGTATATTTGAAGTTTGCGGTGTCTGTCTCTCTCCGTGGTCGCGTGGATTTTTCTCCGGGTCCTCCGGTTGTTCCCTCCCCATTTAGAAACATGCGTTTAGAGCATTTGGCTGCTATATATTTCCACGTGGAAAGCCACTTTGTCAGGCTATCGTTTGTGGCCGGGTAGCTCCTAAAAACAAGAGCGACACAGCTCCGTGAGCCTTACCTGGTAAAATACAAAATAACGTAGTTTCGATCAATGTCAACGCTCCACTTGCTGTACTGCCATCTCTTGGTCGGGTCATTTAGTATCCCGAGCCTGCAACACCCGGGCATTCCGAAGGAACCTCCCACTCCCCAAGGAAGTATTTACGGCTGCCCGATGAATCACATCCGCCAGCCCACCGCTGGGCGAGGGTTTCTCCCGGCGGCCTAGCGTCGCGTAGGCTTGGGCATGACGTAGACGCGCACGGGGCGGCACAGCGGCACCGTGCCCTCCACCGGGTTGGCGGGGGGCGGCGGGCCGGGGTCGGCGCTCTCCAGCCAAGCGGCGGGGCTCGGCGAGAGGCACGACGGCGCGGGGCCGACGCCGACCCGGCCGCTGTCGGCGGAGAACGCCAGCATCAGCGACAGCTCGATGTGACACGGCTCTGCGACGGAGAGGGAGGGAGGGAGCACGAGCCAGCGAGTGAGCGATGGCGTGGAGGCGTGGAAAGGTACGGGGGAGGAGAGGGGTTCGTCCAGGTCACGGTCACGCGTACAACTGGGATACACAATTATTCAGTCATCGACTAATCTACCCGTAAAAATATAGGTTCAATTTCAGGGCGGATTGAAAATGTGTGTGTGCGTGCGTCATGCCCAGTGTGATTTAGCATCATAATCCAAGTCACACTGGGCGTGGATTTAAGGGAGGGTGTTCCTGCCTTCGGAAGTCAGGATGCAGGGATCGTATGCCATTTTTTTTTAAGTGGCCAGAGTAATCGATCCGGATAACAATGGTCGATTATCACTTTGAGTCGACGAAACGACCCAATTGGCTCATCGTCCCAGCTGTAAGCGTGTGCGTGTGTCTTGCCGCGCGTCTTTCCCCTCACCTGTCCACGCGGCGTGAGACATGTACACCTGGGTGATGAGGCGATGTTGTCCCTCGCGGGGATTGCGGAAGTCTCCCGGCCGCGGGTGGATGATCTGGGCCTGACCGTCAGGGTACACCACCTGCACACAGTCCCATCATCCAACATTTGAATGGCGCCACGGTGGCGAGATGTTAACTACCTCACCTGGTATACAGGAAGTCGTGGGTTCGATCCTGACCCCGACGCCTGCATATTTGGAGTCTGCGTGTCTCTCTCTCCATGGTCGTGTGGATTTTTCTCCAGGTCCTCTGGTTTTTCCCTCCACAATTAGAATCAACACCACCACGCGTTTAGAGTATTTGGCTGCTATAAATTCCCACGTGGTAAGCCACTTCATTGAGCTATCATTTGTGGCCAGGTCGCTTCTGAAAAAGAGCTAGAAAGCTCAGTGGGCCTTACCTGGTCAAATAAAAATAGTTTACTTTATTCCATTGCAGCTTAAAGTAAAAAAGCAATACCAAAACAACACATCTCTTCTCGCTCATTATCAATATCGGCATTCATCATTGTGTGACCACTGCTTCGTAACATCGTCAGCTGCGATCTGTCCACTGCCGCTTGAAGGGTTCACCCGAAGCCATCACCATCACTCCTGGCCTCACGAAGTATCATTTCATTGAGCTGCTGCACACGAGGCGATCTCATCTCGCCGTCATCAACCACCAGCCGCCATCCCTTGTAGCGACATGTCGTGCCCAAGTCCACTTACTGTTCTTAGCAGTCAGAATGAGGTCTACAATATTGATGTTTTTATCCGATACAAGTATTCATATTCTTGTCGCTGGTGTTCTCTGCATACTTTTTTACATAATGGGTACGTAAGGAGTTATCCTCCAACCCCACCGACGATTAAATGAATCGTCACGATCCGATATCTGCCTCGGTTGTATTGTTTCTCAATTTTTCCTACCTTGCGCGTGTAGTTTTAGTTTCTCCTTAAGCTTACGCGTAAACCGTAACTGGTCGATTCTTACACGCAGTTTTATGCATGCGTTGCGATCTGAACAATCTCCTTTTAACCGATGAATCGATGCATTGTTACACGTGTGGCAGATATGTTAGCTTAGCACCGTGCGACCCGGCCTGTCCAACTTGAGATTGAAGCTTCGCTCGCGAGAAAATAATTTAAAGTTATTATCATGCACGGCACTATGGTGTTCTAGTGGCGCCACTGGCATGTTTTAATATGTAAATCCAATTATGTGACTAAAGTACTTTAACAAGACTGTTTCCTGGTATTTTTAAAGTGTTTTGCTCACATCCACTACGTTGGACTGGTGTGGCACAGTATGGGACACCCAAGGCACACACGGCTATTTTGTTTTTTGGGTTGTGTCTTCCTCTCAGTGCACAATGCCATTAGTACGCAAATACAATATCATTACTTTCACGTTTTTCAATAACAAAACTACTTGGAATGTGTCCCTATCACCACCGACCATCTAATCAGTCATCATCCGTTTATCCATACAACCATTATCAACAACGCTGCAGTGTGGTTAGGTGGTTGCGTGGTCATTGCAGATTGACCTCTGGGTTCCTGCAGTCCAGCCTTTTGCCGAATGTTATCTGACCTCACCGACTGATAATGTCCCCTGGAGAGTGCATTATCAGTGGTACACTGGCTGCTGAGAGGGGGTGATAATTCCGCTCTTACAAATGTGTGCCGTCATGTGCCTGGTACAGATATGCCAGCAACATTATTGGTACATGAGCGTGTAATTTGTATATAATTTGCAAGACTATTGTAAATAATCGAATCTCAAACATGACCAAAGTTACGATGATGATTGACTCGCCAAACTTGCCTGAAAAGTACCTTCTCCTTTACAGGCTCTATCTCCGGTCGAGAAAGGTCTTCTGACAGCAAAAGGACAGGCCGTTGTATGAGCGCGAGGGACACGGAGACACGCGGACAGCCACGGGGACACGCGCACGGGAGACGCAGGTGAGACGACGTGCAGATACACGGGCCGCGGGCGGCTGCTCACCGACCTGCACGCGCACGGTGCGGTGGGGCTCCGGCACGTTCTCCAACTTGGCGTCCACGTCTAGCGCCAGCACCAGCCCAGCCGTGAAGCGCAGCGGGTTGTCCGACTCGCCCGTCGGCTCCAGGATGGTGGCGCGCGCCTGCCGCACCTGATGCACGTACGTACGTACACGTGCAGTATGTTGAACTTCATTCGTGTCGTGCGTAGCCAAACGCGTCAATCGCGCGGTGAATGGGAAAGGCGGGGGGAAGGGGCTTTAGACGTGACGCACAATGCTGCCAAGCGATTATGTGCTCCATTTGGGCAAAGGGTTCTGTTTTTAGTGTGGTTGACCACACCTTATAAAACATTTGGGCACAATTTGTCAATTAAAATAAATTCTCGGTCATTTTCTGCTGAATATTTTCCCCCACAATTTGTTCCAGTCGTGCTATCGGCGTAGTGTCACGACGTGATGCATCCATTAAGTAAATAAAAAATAGCAATAGGAGTAATCTCACAGAGCAGTGTGCCTTGTTTGTTAGAGAAATGGTCCGTGGAAGTGGATTTTCAACAGACCTTCTTATTTGTGTACATCGTCTGGCCAACACGTTTCAATGCAATCTGCTATAAACTTCTAGCAGGACAGGAAAACCAGAGTTATATCTTTAAATTCTTAGAGCTGAAATTTTGGGCAATCGTTGGCAACCAAGCCGAGATCCTTAACTCCCTACACTTGATAACTCGGTTCAAATACTAGGAGCTCAGCGCTGCCAGTACCGGTCGGTTTCCTTACAATGATATTGTTGGCCAATCTCAATTACTGCTGGCCTCTCTCTCTTCCTCTTTCTTCCTATTACACAAAAGCAATGCTTTTCAAATATCCACTTCCAACGGTTGCACCTACCACGCACGCGCACACGCACACGCACGCACGCACGCACGCACGCACGCGCCAACTCGTCAAACGCGCACACCTGCGGGGGAAGCTGCATGGGCACGAAGGTGGTGTGCTGCAGGTGCGTGTGCAGGATGCAGATCATCTCGGCCGGCTTGCAGCAAGCCAGGCGCGGCATCGCCTCGAGCAACCGCTCCACAAAGCCGCCCTGCAGACGGCCCAGCTCGGCGTGCAGGCACCTACGAAGCCCGACGATTCGCAGCGGATTAGCCGCGCTCGTGCCCAACAGCGTACCTGTTCAGTTGCCGACTCTACTGGGGTAACGACGACGTAATGAGTTCGTGTAGCACGGTGCTTTTTTGCATTAAAACACAACCCCATCGTTGAGGTGGGATTGCTCTTGCCAATATACCTCGTTGCCCAGCAGCATTGTTTCACAAGCCTGAAGATGCTGACGAGACACAGAAGGTTCAAAACGGTCCAGAGTTTGCTGCTGAATAAAATTGGTCCGGAAGTGGCCGACAGGCTAATTAATATGTCCATCTACATGTGCAGATACGGATACAAATATTATTTGTATCGCCACCTCCGATGGGCATGGTTGGCTACGTACGGTGCGAAAGAAGCTGAACATACAGATAGAGATGAAGATACAGTGGTCTGCTTAACTACGGTTTTACCTGTAATGCTCTATTAGGATGGGTCTAGCGGGCGTGTCTTGCATTTCGATTCGTACAGGGTGTACAAAACTCCTGTTGTCGCTGCCCACCCACCGTCGCTGCGCTGCCAAATGCAAGGCACACCCCCCTCGGTGCCCTTTAATTGGAAGCTTCGCGCACATAACGGCTTCGTCTGAGCGCGAGCCACCGACCGCCGGGCCAGCGAGTAAGGCGTACGCTCACGTGCGGACGCACGGCACGGGCACCGGCAGTCATTACCTCTGGAAGTCTTCCACCTCCTGCAGGAACTTCTCGCATCGGCTTAAGAGTGGCTCCTCCCTGAGAGCGAGGGAAATGAGTACGGGGCAATGAGCATCGACGGCTGCGAGTCGGCGCTCGCCGCACACGACGGGCGACGGACGGTGAAAAAATACACAAAGAGAGAGGGACACTCGATTACCACTGTGCTAGATTTCTCCAAAACATGTGCTTAAACAATAAACATGTAATGCGGGTGACAGTGAAGGTTCTTAACGTGAAAATACTTACGTTGAGCTGTGGCAGTTGATGGTGGTGATAATTGTGACATTGTTCCAATTACGATTACAGTAATGGCACTGATATTATTGCTAACAACGGCATTGATTATGGTGGCAATGTAACGATAAAGATGCTGCAGACATCAAATAAAACTGTCAAAGCATAGCTCTGCTCAAAATCATTGTTGGGTAGCATGCATTTCTACTGGCTGAGCGAGTGGTGGATACTCTTAATTCATATGGAAAGGTTTTCCCTGTATAATACTATTGCAGATGAAACTTTTAACGAAAACGAACAGTGTGGTAATAGGATAAACTGAAAGTGATGCTATTCATAATGCAGCAGTGTTGATGCCGTTCCTGACGATAATGGTGAAGTCTACATCACTGTTAAGGTGGGTGCTGGGGCTCATGCGATTTGAAAGCGTTTGGATTGATGACGAAAACAGGCATGGAGAATGGGGCACTGGACAACCAGAAATTTGATTTGCAAGCCGGTTGTTCTAAAGTACAGTTGGAGGTAACGGTTTGCTGCTCGACCATACTTCCCCACGCCGGTCGATGTGTTTATTGAGCATAGATGTGGTAGCAAAGTACAGTAATACAATGGATTTGTCTGCACTACACTGCCCTCAACACAGCCCTGAAGCAGCATATAATACCTGCTTTATAAATGGCTCAACTCTGAATCCTGTCGAAAATCCGGCGAGACAGAGGTGCATCGCAGGATAATTGGACACAGGCCAATGGCTGAACATTGGGAGCGGAAAACCGCAGCTTTCACGCGGCCCACTCTGTTCAGTGAGCAATCGCGACCAACGCCACTATCAACCCGAGGACCGCTCATCGATCAACGGATCTCCCGGTCTCCAGAGCGACAACCCAAGCAGACCCGTTTGCCAGGAGGAACACTGCAAACTTTCCAGAGTGTGGCTCCTCACCCCTGGTTGGTGCGTGCCTGGAGGACGAGCTCCAGCGCCTGCGCCTCCAGCCGCGTTTGCCGCACCATCGCCACCTGCAGCGGCTCCAGGCCCCCGAAGAGGAACTCCAGGCGGTAGGTGTGCTCCACGATCTCAACGCCGCAAACGACGACAACACCGCAAACGCAACCCGCTACAATACTTCTTTTCTTTAATCTCTCCCCCCCCCGCCCAACCACCACACACACACACCGATTATATTTCAACTGTGCTATCGGGTATCGTGTCGTCACCTGGACAACTCTCACGGGAAACGGGAAAGCAGTGCCGAGATCTTTAACGGTGGATGTTAAAAAAACCCGTGGCGTTATTTGAAAATGAGGCAATTAAAAAAGTTTACTTAATTGGGTAAAACCACATGGCAACATCGATTACTATTGGCAAACGATATCTACATGTAAAACATAGCACCTTTGTGACAGTCTTGCGCTATAAGAATGGCATGAATATCAAATGTATCATGACTAAAATTATTCAAGTGTAATATTCTAGCCCCTGTAAAAAAATGTGGAGGAAGTGAGGGGAGGGGGGGAGGGAGGGGAGGGGGGGAGGGAGGGGAGGGGGGAGGGAGGGGAGGGGAGGGAGAGGAGGGAGGTAGGCAGGGAGGGACTCACCTGGGCGGCTGCATTGGAGGCTGTGCTGTCCTGAGGCAGATACAGGGGGACAGCCATGGACCACACTTTGTCCTGGAGAGCCTGGGGAACAGTGGGTTGAGGGGGGGCGGATAGGTGGCATGGGACTCACTATCACAGGTATGTGCACAATGCTGATTCACTTAGAGCTCTTCCACTGGTAAATTAAGGCCTTTGCACGCTTTGACCATACTTCATCACGCTGGTCTCGTACGGATTGGAGTCCCAGGACTGGTTTAGATATCACTCTCCACCGACGTTAGCCAAAGCTGGGAATCGGACTCGGGTCACCAGATTCCTAGCACCGAGCACTAACCACTGCACTCCCTCCGATGGGTTCTTTTACTTGGTTATAAAGGACACTTATCAGTGGCCTGAGCAACAGGAATTACCTCAGGGGACCGACGGGCCGCATATCAGATAGGCTTGAAACGATTCACCCATTCACCAATTCCAGGTCACACTTTAAGTCAAGAATAAAAAATGTATTGTCTCATTCCTACCATCAAGTTTGCATGGTTTGTAGTTTTTTTCGACCTCATTTGTACAGCTTTGTTCCAGGAGCCCAGACATAACATGAAGCGTATAAGTTATATAAATTGTCAATCATCTATCACTACGCTCATGGCTCGGTGCAGATGTCCTAAGAGTAAGGATGCACTTTTTTATTATTATTATGCTTTTTGATTTAAAGCTTTCGTGACTGCAGTAATTCATATTCTTAGTTTTTTCGGTAAAGTCACGTTGAAGAGAAACAACAAAATAACAAAATATATATAAAACAATCATTGGAAAGATTTGATAAATCATTTCAGTTCTTGATTGATTGTTCACGCTTACAGTGGCTTTCAGACAGCATACATAAAAACAAATTTCGTCTCCCCCCTCCTCTTTTCAAAAAATAGATGGACTAGTCCTGGCAAACAGCCAATCGTTGCGCGTGACGCAAACGTTATTTTTATATATATAAATAAATAAATATGCCGTTTTCAAAATAAATTTATGCAAACCGACACACCTGATGATGACCGTTTGAGTTATGGTCGAAACGTCGTGAGAATTTTTTATTGTTTTATATATATTTTGTTATTTTGTTGTTTCTCTTCAACGTGACTTTACCGAAAAAACTAAGAATATATATTATTATGCTTGTTTACCTAAAGCTTCACCGGGTCTCTAGACTCTTTTTCCTGCCAAGTTTTCACCGTCAGGGACAATATTGCTGCGTGCAATCGTAATGGAGTAATTTGCAGGTAATTTTTCCGTATTTTTAATGCTTGGTCAATACCTGGCACGTTGTATGGGGGGATTGGGGAGGTAGCTATGAGAGGAAATCGACGAACCCGGGAGAAACCCACGGAGAACAGGGTGGGGGGGAGGAAAGAACGTACAAACTCCACACGGAGTCGGGCCCAAAGCCAGAAATCGAGTCTTGGCCCTTCTTGCGGCGAGGCACAAGCGATACCACTGTGCCACCGTGCCGCGTTCAAACGGAGCATCGATGCGTTGTGACGTGCATAGTATCGGGCAGGGGGCGTCCTTGCGTGCGTGATCCTCACCTCCGTGAGCAGCAGCTTACACTGCAGGTAGAGCGCAGAGAACTCTGCCGCTCCCGTGAGTTCAGGCTGCAGCTCCCCCAATCGCTTCAGGTCCCTGGAAACGGGCAGAAGAGCAAGAGGGCGCGTCCAACATCTGAGCGCAGGCTGCCTTTTACATCGCAGGCCAAGACGGGAAATACAGCGGAGAGTGAGATACCCCATGAGGCTTTTGAGACCAAAATGTAACTGCGTCTTACTACCAAGGCTTACTTCGGTGTGACCAGGTGAGAGGTCAAGAAGAGACAAGGATAGTCTCAATTGCAAGAGTCACCTGGGTGTTGGAACAGATCTGGAAGGTTATAAATAAGATAAAGGGGCCAACTTGGTCCATATGGCTCGAGAGGGAAAGAGACCTCATAAGAGCTGGAAGGCAGCCAGAAACCAGCGTCAACGTGTGCCCAAGCTCTGTGATCTGCCAACAATTGCCAAATTTAGTCATTTAGCTCTGTGGTATATGCCATAGTTCTCCTGGTGTGCATTCGTGGTGCGCAAGACTGTCCCGTGCATATGCTCGCGATGTTCACGTGCGCCATCTCGTGGCGCGCCCTCGTAGTGAAGGCTCCAGAGTCAAGACGTGCCCGACTGTGCCCACGTGTTTGTTCGAACGGTGTGTACGAGCTTCCGAGCAGCATTTTAGAGTGTCATAGTGACGTGTGTACTATGCGAGTTGTATCAGTGTGTCCCTTCGTGTGGCGTTTCTAAACTCCAGTTCATACAATCTCCCGCGGCCTTTTTCACGATTACCAATTTGTTTCTCATGCAAGCCACTGCACACTGCACATGCCCGACGGTTGGTATGACGGCAAGCTACACTTGGGGGGCAGGGGTTGCGATTGCTGGAGATGAGAAACGCTGCCCTGGTGCGTGTTTGAACGGCATATGCCCGAATTGAGCAGTCTGGCCCTTATACCCCCCCCCCCCATTTCCACTCGCACATCTGAGCCGAGCCAGTTCTGGGCCATCGGTGGTGGTATAGGGAGTTTTATCACTGGCTCATTTTCTTACCGAGCCAGAAACAATCCATGAGACGCTGGCGGCCTCAAAACACATCTGTGGCGACTCGGGGCCAAGCAGGGCCGGGGACGGACATAAACAAATGTTCATTGCGTGTGACGCGGGTCAGCACGCCGCGTGGACGATGCGGCTTCACCGCATCGTCCAAGCGCGTCTCCACACCGTTCGGTGCGTGCGACGTTGGAGAAGCGGCTCGGCCTCTGCAGTGGAAAAACACAACCCGGCACCTTCCGAACGGCACGGATAGGTCGTTGCGGTGGAAAAAAGGAGCTATCATCGGTGCGCATCGTGGCAGGGCACCCAACCGCACCCCCCACCCCCCCCCCCCGAAGCCGTGCGTGCCGGTGCGCTGCTTCACCGGATGGTGAGCTGCAGCAGGCGCGCCGCTCCGGGCGTGTCTGCTCGGCGCAGCTGCTGCACGCGCTCCAGGCTCTGCTGCAGGAAGCGGGCGTCGCCGGCCTCCACGGCCGCGGGGGCCTCGCACATGGAGCCCCGAACGCAGCCCTGCACGCACGCACGCACGCGGCAGGTGCAATGACCGAGGGGTCGCTCGCGTAGGACACGTAGCCCGTACAGGCGAGTGCCGCTCATCATCGCCGTCAGCAGCTGCCGTCACGGATGATCCACTGCCGGACGAAGGCATCCGCCCAAAGCCGGTGTGCGATAGACCTCACCGGCAGGGAGGGCACCAGGTGGGAGAGGCTGTCCCTGAGGTAGGTGTAGTGGCGGAGAGTGTGGTCAGGGAAGAGGGCAGTCATGGTCGGGCAGCTCTGGGCAGCGTTGAACACAAGCAGCAGCACGGCGATGTCTGCCCATGCATCGATTAAGGAACCACGAGACATCCACAACAAACGCAAGCTGCTCGCAACACATGCTCACAAACACAATTAAAAAGATCTGGCTCAAATACGCACGTGCTAAACAATAACACACACACAGACAAAAATCGCGAAAACAGAAAACCTTCATTCTTGGTGGAGCATGTGCTGTTAGCGAGCATCCACCGAGGTTGGCACGGCAACATAAGGTTGCCTTCAACAGGTGTGAGGAGAGTTTGGCCACATTTGTCTCATCAGCACCGATGTGGACTACACAGTTGCACCAGATACTCGTGAACAATCGGGATACACGCAGGGTCGTCCATGTCTGGCTCGGGCGTGTCGAAGAATGGGTGAGTGTTGAGCAGCTCGGGCACCAGCGACAGCACGAGCGTGGGGTGGCGGGCGCCCATGTGCTTCAGGCACCTTGCGGGGGACAAGAAGCCAAAGCGCAAAACCACATGCCGGAGATAGTTACGCGTGGGATAATAAATGCCGATGGTAACAATAACGGCGGGTAAACCTTCGACGGCAAACACCCGATGGCCAGCTTTGAGGAATAGGCAACCTGCTCAGGGGCTCGCTGGTTAAGGGCCCTGACCCCGGCCCCTCAATATGCCGTGGGACTCTGTGAACAGGACCTAGACCCCAAGGTGTCCTTGGACCCGTTGGTGCTGCCCTGGCTGCCCCTGGGACCTATCAGTGGTGATGCTGGGTCCCGGCTCCTGCGTCTCTCTTGCCTCGTTGGTGTTTCCCCCCAACCCGACCTTATATCCTCTTGTGCTTTCCCACACACGAGCCGAATTCATTGCTCCACCTTCATGGTGGACTCCCTGATACCCAATCCTTATTCTTGACCACCAGTCATCACGCTTCCTAAATGACTTGCCCTGCCCAAGTCCATATAACTGGCATATGTTCTCTAACCTACGTGTTCCTCTTTCTGGCTCTCAATGCGTACGTATCAAGTCTCAAGGAACACCCTTGCAACGCAAGGTTCTTCACAGTGGTGAGTGTGTCATGGCCTTGCAATGGATTGCCACGTTGTTGGTTGTTGTTGTTTACATTGGAAATCACCAAATCAGGACTTTTTATTGCAGTGCACCTGCTGCCCATGGTTCAGGTCTTATGTCAGGGTTCAGCTCCAAAAGTTGTCTTTATTAACAGCCTTTCTATGAGAAAAACGCAGAAAACTAATAACTATCATAGCTTACGATTATCATTTCATTTATGGTGGGCAGGTGGGGGGGGGGGTGTTTACCAAGTGGTGTGCATGAGCCTGTTATTGCTACGTAAACTCATTTGGTAAATCCCCCCCCCCACCTACCCCAAAAGTAGACTTGCCCTTGTCTGCGCGACAAGGCAAACGTCTCTGTGCCTCTGTTTATTGGGATTCCCTCTCAATTTCTTGGGTTTTTCCCCCAAGGTTCTCCAGTCAGGGTCCCGCTCATTAGAACCCGTTCGCGTTGACGGGTACGCTCAGTGTCATTTTAAGTGTGCACTCCACCTTGCTTCGTTGCACCGTTTTCAGTTTGTGGCTACAACGCCAAAGTTCAGGTGAGAACTACAGCTTTGTTGGCCAGTGCTTCGCCGACTGACCCTTTGCCGCGACGCATTACAAAATAAGGCCTTTACATTTTTCCTCCGCAATTCACTGTGAGTGCGTCCGCGGCTTTGAGGGTATGAGCGTGCATGCTTACGGACGGGAAAACGCGACGGGGCGGCAACTAGCGGGGTGACTATGGCCGGGCGACACTCACGTCCAGATGGAGTCGCGGTCCGACGGGTACTTGGTCAGGTTCTTGAGCAGCTCCACGAGCGCCATGTGGACGCCGGACTTGGTGGCCACGCTCGTATAGCACAGCAGCTCCTGCAGCGCCTCCCGGATGTCCCGCGACGAATCCTGGAGCGAAGCACGCACACACGCACACATGTGCGTGAGAAATATATGCTTAATCTGGAGTACATAGTCTTGACCTATCACAATAATTTTCAGCTCTTCGTCAGTTCACTGATGGATGATGGCCACCCCATGCCATGTCGGTCACGGGGGTTGTTTGACCATAATTCACCACGGTGGCCAGTGCTGGTTGGTGCAAATGGAGACCATAGATGCCAGAGCACAGAAGTACAGCACACTGGATTGTGCTGCACTGCCCTCTGCTGCCCACCATGTAGCCCTGCAGCCTGAAGATATAACTTGTTTGTGTGTGGTGGCCACACCATCCAAGCACTACTCCACTCAACCCTGCGAAGCTTGGGCAAGGCCGCAAAAAGGTTTTTGAAGGCCCAGGGCAAAATGGAAAATGAGGCCTCCCTTGAGAAGCCCTCTCGGCCCAATGAAGTCTGACACTCGGGACAAACAGTTCCACCTGCCCCCCCTCCCCTCTCTCTGCGACGGGAGTTGACGACACAGCTGTCACTCGCCGACTCCGGCGATTGTGTGCGAACCTCAAGCACAGCGAGCACGGTGCCGAGCTGGTCGTCGCGCAGCGTGATGTTCGTGGAGATGCGGCGCAGCGCGTGGATCGACTGCAGCCGCACGTCCTCGATCTCGTCGTTGAACATGTCCACGAGGAAGTCGAGGCACTTGGTAGCGAAGGAGCGCGAGGTGAGCGCCAGGGAGCACAGCGACTCCACGCCCGCCATGCGCACCTCTGCGAGCACCGGTGGTCACAACCATGCACACAAAGACAAAAATCCCCCATATAGCCTTAACAGAATGTTGGGGGAAGTGCTGTTAGCGTGCACCTATGAAGGCCGACATGGCACACAAGGGCACCAGCACCCACGCTCAGCCGCCTTTATTTCCCGAGTGGCGATGTTTACACACCACACCAGGAACTAATTTAACGCTGAGTCGACCTAGGGGAAGCCAAGGATCGGTTCAGATAATCATCACTGGTGTTGGCCGTGAACAGGAATCTAACCCAGGTCGCCGGGTTCGTAGCACAGCGCGTGAACTGCTACATTACCGCTCCCCACAAATGCACACAATGTGCACACAATGTGCACACAATATGCACACACACAAAGCACGACGCTTTCACGCATATTCCGACAGACAATAATGGCCGTGAAACTGGGTGTGGCTCGTAGTGGGCTCCCCCAACTTTCGAGAGGCAGGATGTGGGGGCTGCCAGCATCTTTAAACAGGCCTGAGTAATCGCCCGCAACAACAACAAAAATCAGTCAATACCAATTAAAGTTAATACATCGACGTGAGCGACCTTAATGCGCCAACTCCAGCTTCGTGCGTGTATGCGTGCGTGCACGCGTACCGTACAGCTCGTCCTCCAGGCCGTGAACGAGGGCCCCGCACGCGCCCTGGTTGATGAGGCTCACGGCGTCGGTGCTGAGCTCCTCGCGGGGCGCATCGTCCGCCCACTTGCGCCCCGACGAGAACTCGCCCGACGTGAAGAGCTCCCGTGAGCGCTCGTGGGCGCTGCGCTTGCGCTGGAGAGAGAGAGACGATGCGTGCACCAAGGCGGCGCGGTGAGCGCGCGAGCCACACCACGTGTTGCCTCCGATGTTTGTTCGGGATGCGCATGTCCTCAAGACAGCGATACAGCGGTAGTGACAAACCACACGTTATTCATTCAGGGTGTGCGGGAACTAGAAGTGTAGTTCCAGGCCTTACCCTGAGATCCGACATGAGCTTTTTATCCAAAGTCTGCTCCAGAAATTTCTCGCTCACATTCTGCATTGTTCCCTGTATGGACGATATCAACAAGGTAGAAAAATACGTTATATAATTCAAAGTGCCATCTGTGCCATTGGCATCAAGTAGGTTAGGCAAATCCAAGTATATTGCTAAAATCCTTGGACAACCCTGGAAGTCGAATGCATGTAGAATATAAAAATAAATCTATTTTCCCAGTTATATTCCGATTGTGCTGTCAGTGACAAGTTACGAGACAAATCATCCATTTGAATTTCTCAAAGGACAATGCAACCCTGCATGTTAGAGAATGGCCAAAGGAAATGGATATCACACAGCTACCCCTAAGATCCCTTCAAGAGACATCTGGACCACACAGTAGGGGGCAACTGCGTGTTTTTATTCCAGCTGGAATTTAGCGAAATTGCAGAACCAAACTGTACTCGCTTCAACAAACTCACGAGACCACTGCACTTGAGAAACCAGTTTAATCACATGCGGCTACCAGGATTCTAAGGCAGCTCAATGCTCTGACCTCCGAGTGACCTCGTGCAGAATCGCCGTTCAATAAACGATGACACAAACTCACCAGCATCTTGGCAGCCTGCACTCGGACGAGCAGAGAACCGTCGCTCACCACCTGGCAGACCTTGCCAAAAGCGTCGTCCACCAGACGGATCTCCTCATTGGAGGAAGGAACCGGCACCACACTGTGGAGTGGCAAAGTTTGGTACAATATTACCAAAACAACGTGTACACAAGGCTGAATATCTCACACCTACAATTAAATGGAAACTAAAAAAACGAACAGCTCTTTATTTTTGCAGATCAGTTCGAAAAACCTTGCTTCCCTGGCTGCCTCGCATGAGCTTGAAGCTTTGCCAATGAGAAAATATCTGAAAGTTACGGTCAAGCACTCCACCACAACGTTTTCTAACGACGTCACGTTCATGATGTATGCAAGATGCACGGGAGTAATGTTACAGAGATGTAACCTCGAGTGCTATCATGATGTGCTTCACGTGGCCTTGACTTTACCTTTCAGGGTAAATCTGGCTGATAACACAGATGAGTCTCACAGCCGCTGACCGGACCTGTTCATAGTCGTCAGACAGAGCCTGGCAAGTCTACGCAAGAGTAAACACACAGGTGGATTAGGCAAACACAAGTATAATACACACACACATGCAAGGCTCTTGAACAGAATTAGTGTTACACTTTCAGAAAATGTGCATAAACGCAATTAGAATGTTATGGCGAGGGCATCTGTCTCCCACCTGCTGATAGACGCTCTGGTCCAACTTCACGCCACGGTCGTGCAGCTGCAACTGAACGATCAGAAATAAACATTCGGCCTGAGCTACGATACCGTTTTATAAAGACCAAAAGATGGTGCATGAGGATATTCAAACTACAGCAACCATACACATAAGTAGGAAAACTGACAAATTACGTGAATTATAGGACTGTAGTCCAAATCTTAATAGCCTTCAATCTGCACGATTCCAAAGTGATGCTCTGAATTCACAACAGTTTGTGTTCCCACCAGTGGTGACAGACATCTAAACTGGTCCTGGGCACAACCTGCCTGTACTGACCAGTGTGATCACATATGCTTAAACAACCCCCATGACCAACACAGCACAGGGAGGTAGATTGCCCAAGAGATGTAAAATATTATTATAAATGGCAATGATTGCGATGTTGATAATGTCCCTGATAATGATGATGGAAAAAAAGATTACTCTTCACCAACCATGGCATTGATGGCACTGGTCCGGACCCTGGCATCCTGGTCAGTGAAGGAATCTCCCAAAATCCTTTGCACATCCCGCGGTGCAGCCCCATCACCCTCCTTCACAACTGGCTGGGAAGGCTCCCCAGACAGGCCAATCAGCTGTAGACATTTGCTCCGTACACCATGGTAGGAGTCGGTGAGAAACTGCAAAAAAAAACATCCACAAAAAAATATTGTTTTTGAACAGAAAGCCACATGTGTTTGCAATAATTACAACTGTCATGAATGTAACACCTACAGTGGTTCTACTACACTATGCATATCCACTGTCGGTTGATAGAATTTCAAGGCGGACTTGTCCTGTGCTATTTACTACTACGTTTAAATGCTCTGCAGAATTCCATTTATGAGTGTTATCACCACCTCCTTTCTTCTGATAATTCTCATCCTGTGTCATTAAGCAAAAATTCACCAGCACATTCTGCAGCATCGTCGTTTCACATTTACATCAAAACCGGCACATCAGCTCGCTCGCTCGCTTGCTACCCGCCGTCACATGCTGGAGTGATGTCACACCTTGCAGGCGACATCGATAAGCCTTGCCCGCAGGGCGCTGGCCTCAGACTGCAGGGAGCCCAGTGCCTGCAGGGAGTCCAACAGCTGGGCTCTCACTTGGTGTGACTCTGGTGGGAGGAGGGGGGGGTGAAGGGCAGTCAGGTGATGGGCAAAAGGGCTAGGAGTGAGAAAGGCACCCCTTTAAGCCACAACTAAAACCACTAAAAGCACTGGACCAATAACACCAATAATAGCACCGCACCAAGGTGACAAGTGATACAATGAATACAAGCACTGACTCTCAGAGTTGAGCGCGTTGATGACGTCATCGAGGACTGAATCGGGGGTGAAGCCAGGGGTCTTGGTGAGCAGCCCGAGCAGCGATGCAATCTTCAGGCGCACAGAGCTCTCCGACTCCTGCAGTGGCATGCGAATGCACACGGACACATGTAGAGAATGCGCCAAAGATTTGTTTATCTTGTGCAAAATTTCAGACATCATGTGCAACAACGTGCGGCACAACCTGAAAAGACATTAGAGAGCTATACAGCACAACCACGAAAACTTACGGAGTAGTAATCTGGACTTAAAAGTTGATATTAATTCATCCACATGGAGCAGTAGTGCTTCACAGCAAGAAGAGCCTGGGTTTGATTACTCCGGCACATTTCTGTGGAGAGTTTGTATGTTCTCCCCCTATTCTATATGGTTTCCCCTGGGCTCTCTAGTTTCCTTCCATAGCTAAAAATATACAATGTGACCGGTATTGGCCAAGCATCCCAATATAGAGCCCTCCTGAAAGGGAGTCTTAGGACTCAGTGTGGCTTTCCTGGGTAAATAAAGCTGTTATAAACGTCTCTTGTACAATCAGCAGTCCCCTTGCTTAATCTCCTTCCATTCCTCTCTTAAAGCTCACCTCTTCTCTACTACCCGATCTCTTCCCTCCCCTTGCCCCTCCACTCCTTCCCCTCCCTCCCTTTTCCTGATCCCCAAGTACTCTCTATCGCTCTCACTCATTCCTTAATCCTACCATCTAAATATTTATATTCCTTCGATTTAAAGCTTTCGTGACTGCAATGATTCATCTTCTTTGGTTCTTTCGGTAAAGTCACGTAGAATGAGAATAAAATAATAAATTGATAAAATAAAATAACACAATAATATTCTCACGACGTTTCGGCCACAACACAAGCGGCCTTCATCAGGTGAAGGGGCGAGACTGTCTGGTAGGACAGCGCTGGAGTGAAAGAGCCACGTTCAGATCACGGCCTTTAAGCTGTGTGAGAGGAACAGAGTGCCCTCAAATTTCAGCACCACGGATAGCTTAGAGTCGCGGCATCTCTTCAGAAATTTGAGGGCGCTTTGTTCCTCTCACACAGCTTAAAGGCCGTGATCTGAACGTGGCTCTTTCACTCCAGCGCTGTCCTACCAGACAGTCTCGCCCCTTCACCTGATGAAGGCCGCTTGTGTTGTGGCCAAAACGTCGTGAGAATATTATTGTGTTATTCTATTTATATTCTGTCATGGTTTTTCAAGCTAGGTCGACGCTTTGATTGAAGGCACTCTATAAATAAATAGATTCTTATTAATAATGCGACTACCATTGTGCGGTGGTGAGATCTTCAACTGCCTTGCCTGGTATACAGGATGTGGTTGGTTCGATCCCGACCCTGACGCCTGCTGCATATTTGGAGTTTGCGGTGTTCTCACCGTGGTCCTCTCACACAGCTTAAAGGCCGTGATCTGAACGTGGCTCTTTCACTCCAGCGCTGTCCTACCAGACAGTCTCGCCCCTTCACCTGATGAAGGCCGCTTGTGTTGTGGCCGAAACGTCGTGAGAATATTATTGTGTTATTCTATTTATATTCTGTCATGGTTTTTCAAGCTAGGTCGACGCTTTGATTGAAGGCACTCTATAAATAAATAGATTCTTATTAATAATGCGACTACCATTGTGCGGTGGTGAGATCTTCAACTGCCTTGCCTGGTATACAGGATGTGGTTGGTTCGATCCCGACCCTGACGCCTGCTGCATATTTGGAGTTTGCGGTGTTCTCACCGTGGTCACGTGGATTTTTCTCCGGTTCCTCCGGTTTTTCCCTCCACATTTAGAAACATGGGATTAGAGTATTTGGCTGCTATAAATTTCCATGTGATAACAGGCACACTTCAATTGGGCTATTATTTGTGGCCAGGTCGCTTCTGAAAAAGAGCTACACATCTCAGTGGGCCTAATCTGGTAAAACAAAATAAAAAATAGTTTTAGTTTAGTTGAGTATCATACCTGTAAACCCCTTATCAGTGCCTACTTTATTACAGACAAATCCAGATCTTATTGCTCACCCCGTGCCCTTATCAATTTCAACATTAATCCTACAAAGTCCCATCATAAGGGAGAAACACAAACAAATCGACACTTTTTATTTTTGCCCGTTTTGAAACGGCGTACTCAGATTGTAAATGTTGTGGCTTTTGCTCTCCAACACACGAGTGTGCTGTACTAAGAACGCATTGGCACATTCTGTTTCCGTAACAAACCTCACTAATTGGCTGTGTCGGACGTGGCGGGTTTAACAACACTTTTAGATATTTACGTGACCTAACCCAAAAAAACCTCTATGATATTGAAACGGCCATATGGACCCGCAAACTCAATTTCCCCTGCAGAAGAACACGGTGTAAACAACCATCCGGGTGGACACGAGGCGCGAGCGCGCCGGCATTGCCTTGTAGTAGTGGTCGAGCAGGATCCGCAGCACGCCCTCGGCGCTCTCGGCTTCCACGGGGCGGCGGGCGAAGTGCAGCAGCAGGTTGAGCGCCTCGGCGGGGCCGCGCGCCCGCGACAGCTCCACGTGCAGCGCCGCCGACTTGCTGGGCTTGCTGAGCCGCAGGCGTTTGGCGGCGGCGGCAGCGGCGGCGGAGGAGGAGGCGGCGGCGGAGGAGGAGGAGGCGGCACCCTCGTCCTGCTGGCAGCACGGGACAACGGCAAAAAAAAAGCGCGGTCACACCAAAAAACGAAAAGCCGTCCATAGAAAAATTGTAATTGCTTGAAAGGAGGGAATTAATTGATGGATCGATGCCGATTTTTATACAGGCATGCATTGTCACCGGATCTGAGTAGGTGTGCAAATTTTGGAATTGATTGGACAACAGGAAGTAAACTAAACTATTGATTACATTATACCACGACAAACGCAAGTGAAGTTACAAACACACAGTTGGCATGCCGTGTCGAGCCATGCGGTTTAACCCCGTATTCTTGTGCGGGGAGATTGAGTTTTCAGGTCCATACGGCGCACAGCTGTTCCATTATGGGCAACAACAAAAACGTTGTCTATTTATTTGCGTTTCTTTCGTTGTGTTGGGACTTTATAGGGTGAACATTGAGATCTATAAGGGGCACGGGGTGACCAATAATGTCCCCGAGTTGGTCTGTAATAAGGCTGGGCACTGACAAGGGGTTGACAGCTGTGCTGCGAGTAGGCGTTTAAAGGCCCCAGCAGGGTGGCCGAAAAAACCACCACGAAACCCAGCCAACTCATTTGAGGCTGAGTCAACCTAGGGGTGGGGGGGGGGGTATAACCGGTTCAGATAATCGTCACCGGTGTTGACACCGTGAGCGGGAGTCAAACCCAGGTTCCGCCAACCGTTCTGGCTCAAATTCTGCTTCGTTAATTCCCAGATATCGGCCAGGTCTGGCGCATTGCGGTGGTCACGGGCAAGTTGCTGGTTACAGAGCCTTTGTTCGATCCACTGCTGGATTGCGGCCTCCCCACGCCTTGTCGCGGTCAATGTAGTGATTTAACCATACTTCACCACACTGGAAATATGTAGGCAACTGTATTGATCATACTGTACTCGAAGTCAACATTCGCCCCCCGATCAATGGAGCGTGGGGAGGGGTGAGGCAGCATTCAAATCCCATTCACAGACGTGAGCCAGTGGACGAAATTCCACGTTCACATGGCGGGGACGAGTAAATCCGTGGGGTGGTGGGGGGGGAGGAATCCCTTCTAGATTTGAAGCTTTCGTGACTGCAAGGATCCATACTCTTTGGTTCTATTCGGTAAAGTCACGTAGGTAAAAAATAAAACAAAAATCACGACGTTTCGGCCACAACACAAGCGGCCTTCATCAGGTGAAGGGACCAGACTGTCTCGAGGACAGCGCTGGAGTGAGCACAGCTAAGCTCAGACCGCGACCTTTAAGCTGTGTGAGAGGAATCAAGGTGCCTTGACAAAGGAATTAGCATAAAAATTATGCCAATTAAATGCAAATGTTTTATGCTAATTCCTGTGTCAAGGCACCTTGATTCCTCTCACACAGCTTAAAGGTCGCGGTCTGAGCTTAGCTGTGCTCACTCCAGCGCTGTCCTCGAGACAGTCTGGTCCCTTCACCTGATGAAGGCCGCTTGTGTTGTGGCCGAAACGTCGTTATTTTTGTTGTTTTATTTTTTTACCTACGTGACTTTACCGAATAGAACCAAAGAGTATGGGGGGGGGGGGGGAATCACTCTTGAATATAACTGCACACACCTGCGCAGTCGACAATTGAAAGCAACGCATAACGGCGACTTGGGCGCATAATGAAAGTTGTGTAAACACAACGAATAAAGATCGATGAGAACGACAAGAATGAACATCGGATGCAACGACCACTCCAGCGCCAACACGCGCGCCGCGCCTCGAGTGCTAAACGATTCGAGCGGAGCAGCTCCCCACACACGCGGCGTGTGGACGTAGCGAAGGCGAACGAGGTTCGTCTTCGCGACGACCACTGAGACATCGCGGATCGGTTTCGTTCCCCGACGACCGAGAGCCGCGCGAACCTGCGCGGATTTGCTGAACTCCTCGTAGACTCGTTTCTTCAAGTGAGCGGCCATCGCCAAAAACAGCCGCTTGGCTTTAGTCGCTCGGCCTCTGTGACGATGCCGCCACTGTCGCCATGTTGCCTAGGGAATTTTGGAGGGGGGGTTAAACGCCGCCATATTGCGTAGGGAAAATGGAAGGGATTAAATATCGCCGCCATATTACGTATGAAAAATGGGGGAAGGGGGTTAAATACCGCCGCCATCTTGCGTAGGGAAAGTGGGGGTTAAACGCCGCTATGGCCTCGAGCGTGCGTCGAGTTCTGATGACGCCATGCCCGTCCCTCCACCCTCACTTTTTCTTCCCCCTTAGTAAGATGGCCGCCATCAACTCCCCCACGTCCGAAGGGCCCTTCGCTCACTCGATAATCTCTATTGACACTGGAGGGCGAATCCGATTAACCACAAAGCTTTTTATTTATCCCACAGCTCACATATGTCCAGTTGGGGCACGGGGTCTGAACGTTATGACAAACAATGCAAAATACACGATAGGAGTATAAAGTATAGGAAATGTAAACAAATAACGTTTTTGTTACAAATAAAGCTCTATATATTTATCTTACCAAGTAAAGCCCATCGAGCTATTCGCTTGTTTTTTTCAGAAGCGACCTGGCCACAAATAATAACTCAACGAAACGGCCTATCGTGTGTGCATTTACATATCACGACGCAATGCCCCATCCGCAAAAACGGAGACATCAATCACAGCGGCGATACACCGCTGCTCCTGACGCGCTCGTCGTCTGGCTTGACCACCTGAATGTGAAATTGTAGTCGTCGCTCTGCAGCCGTACGAAAGAAAGATAAGAACAATCCCCTGGCCCTGTTAAATTAAAATTGGGTACTTAACCAGAGCCTCCCATTCATTCAGCACTGCTGGAATCCACGCTCTCAAATCCCTACAGCAGATAAGCGCGCCGCCCGCGCCTCGCCATCCCCATTGGCTTAGAGCGCGCACGCGACTGCACGACGGCCGCGTCCCATTGGTCGGCGAGCCCTTGTGGGCAGGGCTAACGCGTGTTCTGTCTATGGAATGTACGGCCCCGATTGGCTGCGCCGTCGCCTAGCGATGTCAGGGGTGACAGTGGCGGCTATGTGAGCCGTCAACTTGGGGCCAGCCTGCGCGGACATCCCATTGTAAACGTAATGCTTTGCTTCAGGCAACCACACATTAGGTATTAATCATGCGCAGAGCACAGCACGCGCGCGGTGAGTACATACCGTATACACAGCAGCGCGATCGCCCTGTTGTAACCATTACATCACTGTTCCAACAGCGTGGGAATGAATGGCAGCCGGCGCCCTGCTAATTGGCACGTTTAATTATAACCTGATGTAATTAACAGCAGCGTTGTCTTGCAAACGTTATCATTGACTAAGGGCAAGCATTTGAAGCCGCCTTGCAAATTCTCTGCCAACAGATACACAGCGGCCGTGCTGTTACGTCCGTGTCTTTTTTTGTTATAGCAATCTCTAAACTCTCCAACTTGTTTTAATTGATGTCGCCTCTTTGTTTTTGCAGATGGAAAGAGAAGCAGCGGTGTCGGGACGTCGTAGATCTGCGTGACATGCGGCGAGATAGCGGTGTAGGAATGTCAGCATGAGCACAGTGAGTAGAGCTTACACGCTGTCCCTTTAAACTTTATTGGCCCTCAAAGTGAAGAGGGTATTCCTGCCTCCTGTTAAGTCATATATATTGTCTTATTAAGTACTATTGGACCCTATTTGCATACAAGTTATACGTGATTCGTTTAACCCCCTTGGTTCTCCCACGATCAAGACACCTCTCAAGGTTACTTAGGCTACAGTAAATACACAGGCTCTTAGACATTTGGTTCTTAGACATTTGGTTCACGTTGATTTATTCACCACGGTATCCATGTCGCAGCCTGTACATCCCTTTAAAGTATTTCACCCCACCCCCAAAGCGGATTGAGAACAGCTGCTTGAAACTCTATGGAAGTTCAACATATATACATATGGGCACCCTAATTGAAAGTTATACCTGGTCTCTTTAAACCCTTTATACATAAGGAAATGTGGCACCTTTACACCCTCAGGGGTTATGTGGCCCATTTAAATGATACAAATGCTCTTTTACGGTTATACCTGGCCACTTGAAACCCCATGCATTCTATTTGTGTAAAGGTTCAACATGGTCCCTTGAAACCGCTTGTCACTTAAAAACGCTGCGAAGTCTTATAACACGTGTACACGTGTGGCTCTGCACACTGGTGTGGTGTTAATAAGTGTTCAAAAATTCCTTGGCCATGGGCAATTCACGAGGTGTCTTGAAATTGTTATTAACAGGTGAGGTGAACGTGTGTTGAAATGATGTAGACGTAGATTAGTTGGCTAGGTAGCTCAGTTGGCAAATACTGTGCAAGAGACACTAACCGGCACCCCAGAAAATCTGGGTTCAAATCCAGGTATCAGTTCTCTGTAATTAAAATTGTAATCTAAAGAGTTGCGAATTGCATCAGCAAGGCAAATGTATTACACATGATGTGGCTTATTCCAGCTTTGGGAATCGGCAGTTTTGGTTGGACGTGCAGCAGAAACCCTTTGCAGGCAATATAATAGGTGTGCTGTGTCCATGTGTGAACAAAGTTGCCTACTAAAGTGAAGTCATTAGTGGATCTTTGAATTCGTTGTCCAAGGCCATTCTCTGACAAGAGCTGTACATTTTAAATGGAAAAATGCACGTTTCTCTCTATGTCAAATAGTACAATTCAAACTGGGGTTAAAACAATGAAAGCGTTGTTGGCAAGTGGTCATGCTTTACTGTACATTATCTCTTAAAAGTGCCTCTAATTGTCAGCACAGTGGAAAAGCCACTGTATGAGTCATAGTGCTTACTTCGATGCTAACTTGATCTGTGCCTTTTAGCAGTGATCGTTAGCACATGGAAACATTTGTCTCGGATGTCTAGTCCGATAAATGTGGTGCAACGTAGGTGCGTGTGCTTGAGTGGAGATTGATGGTGACGCCTGGATTCACTCGTTTCGCCCATCAGGAGAAGGAAAGGGAGCTGAAGAGAAAACTGCAGAGCTTCCTAAATGACCTCGCCGTCCTTGGCACACTCAGGGTTGGAAGTCACTTTAACTTAAATCTTAAGTTACAAATTGACTTTGGAAAGGTAAGTGGAGATCCCACGCATGTTGACCTTACTCAACTCTGTGTTGTCCAGGGATTCCGCTACTTTTCTTCCTACCTGAGGGGCAGAGAGGAGCTGGCGCTGACAGTTCTCAATCAGAGCGACGTAAGTTGAAAGGTCGAGTTGATGATGTTATAAATTGAGAAAGCTGAGTGGCTCAGAGGTCAGAACAATGACCTGACAGTGGTGATATCCCTGGATGCAAATACAGGCAGCCTCCCGTGATTAAACTGGGTTGATGTTGACTGCACAAAACTACACTGGCATATAAATTTGGCTCTGCACTTCATTCGGCTATATACCAGCGCAAGGAATTATAAATATTAGTTTGGTGGCAATATGGGTGGGAAAGAGTACAGGTAGTCCCCGACTTACGATGGTCCGACTTACGATATTTCGATCTTACGATGGCGATAGCGATATGACGAAATTGTAAAATATTTTTAATTTCGCGCGGCAGGCAAACGCAGCAGCGTACAAGGTACGATACTGTAACTTTATCATCGCCATCCTCCTCTTCCGACAACTAAGTTAATGTAGCCATCACCAATCTAACATCCTTCAAGTACGTTACGATACGTTCAATGCATGTATGATACATAGCTTTAGCGATTTCATTTTAGAGTTACCACAATACGATACATACGTTCAATGCACGTTAAAAGTTTTTTTATAGCAGATAGGATTGTTTCCTGAAAAAACTTTCTATGAAACTGCAGTTCATATAGGTAGGCTAAGAATTTACCTTGTTTTTACCTTAAATTTTACTGTGTAATACACTATTGTAATTAATAAATACATACAGTATATAGTTTATACAGTACGGTACTGTAAATTGCTGTTTTGCTAAATTATCACCATTCTTTAAGACTCCTGGCTAGGCTAGGCCATTTTCGACTTACGATATTTTCGACTTACGATGGGGTCGTCGTAACGCATCTCCATCGTAAGTCGGGGACTACCTGTATACCCAACCCTCTTGTGTGGCGCAGAGGTCACTTGAAGATTTTTCAGAGGTAGCTCTAAAATATCCCCTTCCTAGAGAATGGATACTATGTCTCACATTGCCAAAAGCATAATCGGGATAAAAGTGAGAAAAAATCTGAGATGTTAAATCGTCAACTGCTGCACCGTGAACCATTTTCATATTGTGGAGGCTCTAATATTGCTGCTGCCACTTGATCTGCAATTATGCATTTGCAAGTTCATGTTAGAAAATCAGCCTTTCGTCCCTCTGGGGTTACTGAAATGAGTACCACTTTGTGGGAAGTTGTTTAGACTGGCCTCCACCACAGAATTGTGAGGCTTTCACCACTGATTCTGGACCACCAATGGGGCTTACCAATGCCCCACTCTAATTTGAGCAGGGCGACAATTTGAGACATTCTGAGGCAGCAGATAAAACAGAAGCCACAACAGATGTATATGTTACTGTTAACTTCACAAAATAGCAGTAGCAGATCTTCAAGTGATATTATAAAAAAAAAACGTGGGAAAACAATATCACACAGGCACAATGTGTAAAAAGCACAATTATTATGTCATGGGCAAGGCGTTGCTCGTCACATCTAAAATTAGATGCTAATTTGCGGTGCGAGCAGAGTGCGGGAGCATGTGTTGGCGCCACAGCGTCACTGAGTGGGAGCTTCAATGCTGCAGCTTTGCCTTATGACACCGCCTCCCTCCTCATCTCCTTACGCACACAGAAAAGGTTTGGTCACCCTCAGCATTGCCATCAACACTGCTCCACTTACATTTTCGTCGTCACATTTTTTTAAATAATTATCTGAATTACATTTGGTAACGCTTGCATTTATGCAACGTTGTGGTGCATTGTGGGTAATACAATAATGAAGAGACAATGTTGCGTTCCACTTTATAAAAATGTTTGTCCATCCACCTATGAGTCTTCTGCACCAATATTTTCTAGCAACATTTAAGCAGGAAAACTCTCAACCGGTTTTCACGTTCCGAATCTCATCATGACCTCATCATGACCTCGTTAACAAATTCAGCTGTGCTGCCAATACATTCTGGGCAAGAACTATTGACCAACACCCACAATGTATAACAAGACTCTACCTTGTTTGCTTTATTGTGCCAAACAGCTGCAATTGGTTTGAATTGAGCACGGAATCGTAAAAATCACCTGTTTTATGAATGACAATAGTCATTGCACTACAGTGTTACACTACAGTGTAATGACTATTCACTACAGTGTAATGACTATTCGCTTGTGAAAGATATGGCTTCCGAGTCCCATGTTTTTCAAATAAAAGCTTTGGTTAATCGATGGTCAATACGGCCCTGGTTATTGTGTACATTTTTATTTTGCTATTTGTGACTGATGTACATCGTAGATGTGTGTGCGGGTATGCGAATGCAGGATAAGTGGGTTCGGCCACATGGATGTGGGTCTCCCTCCAGCCTCTCCATGCGAAAAAGAGCCCAGCTTACCGGTACATGCCCAAATCACAAAGTAAAAAAAAGCCTTGCACCCTCCTGCATTACATATCAACAGGACTTCCCATGTTCTGCATTACATCCTTCGCTGACACTATCTAAACCCTCCATGGATATTAAAGTTAGTTAACAAGTTGAGAACCTGTTGGCCCTGCAATGGAAAATAAGAGGTGGCTATCATTTTCATATTCTTCTCACAATATTGTGCTCGGAGCACTAAAAGTAATGTTTTTTTTTATGTAAAAACATTTATTGTGAGGTGTTTTTTGTTATATTCTCTGGCGTTAAGAGAATATGCTGGTGAAAGCATCCCATGCGTAGGGGAACACATTTAAAAGTTAAATAAATGTGAAATGAACCGTGTCAGCCTTGTGTATGCATTACTCCCACCTCTTCAGTGTCCCTATTTTCTTCCTAATTTCTTCTGCCTTTTCACTTAAATTCATTATTTGTTACGTGAAAAATCCCATTTAGCAAGTTACCCAGCTAGTCTTGGTGGCAGCAGCCCGCAGCCACAATTGATTTATTGTTGGGGTTGAGAGGGGCCCAGCCAGCAGCCAGCCACGAAACTCGAGGCATTTTACGATTTCCAACTCATTGGTCATTACAATTAGTTAACATTGAGGAATTGACACTGGTTTTCCACGGCCAATATTAAGATACATAATTGATTTTTAGGTTAGGTCACCTAATTCGGCCAGATCGTCACGTGGCCTAACCCAAAAATCGATCACGATTCTAAAAATGAATCGCATTCTTGTTCACGGGATGACATCTTACGGCTTCGGAACGACCGTGTTTGCCGGCAGGGAGAGGGCCGGACGCTCTTCCTGGTGGCTGGCTACGCGCGCTACGGCTGCCCCTATGTGTGGGCTCGCTCCAGCCACGAGCGGCTGCTGCGCCTGGACGCGAGCGACGCGTCCGTGCGAGATAACCCACTCAAGCTGCGCACCACCTCAGCCTGGCCCAATGCCGGTGGGTCAGTGTGTGCTCGTGTCTCTATGCCAGTCGCTTCATACCTGTTTTCCACTGTACAACCAAGCTGTGCTGTGCCGTGCCGAGCCAGTCCAGCACGACTTGGGAGGGCGCCAGATTAGTTTTTCCACTGGAGAATCTAAGCCGTGACGTTAGTTTGCCACTGACATGTGGTGTTCGCGCACTGCACTTACGAACGTGGTGACCTGCAGAACACTGGGCAGCTACATCTCAGAAATGTGGCACAATAGGGAGTGCAGGTGGTACATGTCTATCATTAAATAACCAAATACACCTTGGATTGTTCTGTGACCTGCCAGCCAGCCGTCAAAACTTCACTTGATAACGTCAAAGTGCACACCGCCCAACACAGGCGCAGTAGTGACATCACCACATCTTAGTGACGAATGGCATTTGTTGTTGCAATCGTTGCTGTGTGCGCATCTTTGCGCGTTTGCCTGAACTGTGGATAGCGGTGTGGGAGGAACGTTGGTACAGCGGTTTGCTCACTATGCTTGCCGCGTGCGTGTGTAGACGTGCACGTGTGGGACGTGGTGGCGGAGGTGGTGCGCCTGTGTGCGTGGCCTGCACCCCGCAACCCCCTGGCACTGGACATGGCTGCCCTGCATGCCCTCCCGCCCACCGAGAGGGGTCTGGCGACAGGCGCGCTGCTCGCCTTCCTGCACCGCGTGTGTGCCACCGCGGATCGCAGCAAACCGCTGCGCTCTGCAGGTAACAGCAGGGACGGGGCATGGCAGTGGTGGGAATCTCTGCGGGGACAATAACTTCCTTGTCACTGCTCCCACAGTGATCAGAGAGGGTTCGTACACATAAGGCTCTGATGCATGCAGCAGCAGTAGAAAATGACGATACTCTCCTGACGATTGGTAACAAAAGATGAAAATCTTTGTCCTGCCACTGTCTAAATTAAGTTGCAATCATGACTCATGGTCACAATTGCGCCTTTTTGCTGTCTAGAAATCATCTTTTGCGTGTATTTCTGTTGATAGTACCAAAAGTGCGTGTGCAGGTGTCCAGTGGGTTATCATAGGATTGAGATGCCGAGATGCCGATGGCTTGAAGAGGCTTTCATCGAGCAGTGGATCAATGTATGATGGTCCCTAAGGGAGATAGGACGATCACACTCTGAGCCTCATCTGACATCACCTGTCTCTTACAGTGCTGGAGGAGCTCCCGCCCCTCACTCAGCTGCACATGGAGTCCATGCGCTCAGTCATGACCAACAGCAGCCCACCACCGCGCGCGGCCACACCCCCCAGCCCTCGGCCCGCTCCTTTCATTGGCCGGCCCGTGACCCTGGCGACACAATCCAGACAATCGGTGGCGGATGAAGGTGCGGGAGGGTGGCAGTTTGAGTTGGGTCCACCTCCCCTGCGGCCAAAACCCAACTGAGACTTAACGAGGGACATTGAAAGAGGAAAGAGAGACTTTGCCGGTGGTCCGGGCGACGTCGGTCTGATCGCAGAAGATGCACGACGTGTACACACGTACAAAAGGCACGCTGGCTCGCCTTGGATGTTCCACTTATGATGCCCCGTGTCATATCTGCAGGCATTTTACAGCCTTAAGCTTAATTCTCTGGAAGTTAACGGATATTTAAAAGCTCTTAACACTGATCAGCAAAACTTTTTATCAAATAAACTGAGCGATTGTGAACACTTAAGCCAGCGGTTCTCAAAACTTTTTTTTTCATGGATCACTTGAAAATTGCACGAGACCACCTCATGAACTTTTTTCCCTACAAATTAAAGCACGTAACTCATTTTAATAACCATAGTTAACTCCCGAGCCTGGTATGAAGGAGGTCGTGGTTTCGACGCCTACGCCTGTATGTTTGCGGTCTGCATGTTCTCCCGGTGGTCGCGTCAGTTTTTCTCCGAGACCTCCGGTTTTTCCCTCCACATTTAGAAACATGTGCTTAGAGTATTTGGCTACTATAAATGTTCATGTGATAAGCCACTTCGTTGAGCTATCACTTGTGGTCAGGTCGCTTCTGAAAACAAGCTATAAAGCTCATTGGGCCTTACCTGGTAACGTAAAAAAATGTTGAAAAAGTTTGGAAATAAACTGAGCACTTGTCACTCCCACATCATCACCATCGTCAACAGCTATTCTCAATCCACTTCTGGGTGACATCTTCCCAGCACAGATACCACCTTCCGACTTGGCAATGGAGCAGAACATGAATCCTCAATGTGTACACAAAATTAAGAAATCTATAGCAAATCCCCCAAGAGTAATAATCTGTATTTTATTGCAGCTGCTGGTGTTATATCTGAACAAAGAGATGTAGCAATTTGTTTTTTTATGGATTGTAAATCTTAAATATATTGTTTTCATGTTTACATGTATTTTTTTGATAAATAATTTTTATCATCTTTGTTGATCTTTTCCATATTTCGATTTGTTTTTTACCATACATTCTCTTCATCGAAGGTCTCCCTTGCAAAATAAACTTTCGTCAAAATAGGCTCTCACCTACATATAAGTAAAGTTCAATTTAGTTGTACGTTCACATATGGTGGAGTAGTGGTGCAGTAGCTAGTGCACTTCGCGATGAGTCTGCTGACCAAAGTTCATACCCAGGCACAACTAACATCGGTGGTGAGTTTTATCTGAACTGGTCTTGGGCTTCCCCTTCACCAACCCGTACTGACCAGCATGGCGAAGTATGGTCAAACAACCTTGCTGACTGACGTGGCATGGGGAGGCCATCCAGAAATAGATTGACAAATGGCTGTCCATTTTAATATTTGTATTTGTTTTATATGTACATCCGTCAAATTGAAAATTGCTGTACTGTCCTTGGTAGCCAACGACATGTTTAATGCAGGTGGTCACCCATCCAACCACTAGCTAGGCTCGAGCCAGCTTAGCTTGTGAGATCTGACAGGATCGGGAGTATTCCGGGTGATTTTCTCATAGGCCACTTGTACATATGTTCATTATAGCATCGACGACGGCTTTAGTGTTGGGGTTGTGGTTCGTCGCTCGGGAGATCCAGGCTGCCAGGCACCAGCTCGCACTGGAAGTGGCGGGCGAAGGCGCGCAGGAGCGGCGTCTCAGCTTCTGGGATGGCCACGCGGCGGTCCAGCTCGCGCGTCAGTGACGTGACGCCCAGGCCCTCTAGGCCGCACGGCACCACGTGCTCAAACCAGCGCAGGTCGCAGTCGCAGTTGAGTGCGAGGCCATGCCACGTCACAAAGCGGGCGCAGTGGATACCTGGTACAGAATACCAAGCTTAAGCAGTTGTCACAACAGCATTAGTCCCAGGTCTCCTGTGCAAAAGAAGTACTGCCCCTCACTAGGTTGTTAACAGTTTAGTCAATGTGTCAGCTCTTGTGTCAATCCGTAACTGAACTCCCCATGCCATGTCAGCCATGGGGGTTTCTTAACCATACTTCACCAACCTAGTCAGCTTAGATGGTGAAGGGGGCACCCAGGAATAGTTCAGATATCACTCGCCACTGATGTTAACTGTGGCTGGGAATTCAACTTGGGTTGCAGGAGTTTCACGGCACAGTGAATGCACCACCACTCCACCCTGAGTAGGTTTAAACAAAATTAGGAAAAAATATTCTTAGATTAAATTCTTAAAGCGTAAGAATCTGATGGATGAATCCATAATGGCGATTTTTATAAGATTTCCAGCCTGTCTGTCTCATTCCCCCCTCTGACACACAGCAGTGCATCCATGCATCCTGAGCAAACACAGGTTTGGGATCAATTATAATGAAAATTACAGCAGCGCTGTTATCTTCAACCACAACGAAGGTCACATTGTGTTGCACCTCACGGCGAACGATGCGATAACAATTTAAATTGAGCCGGGGTCTGCTTGGCGCGTTCCGCTCACCGATGGCGCAGATCTTGCGCTCGCCGACCCAGACACCTGTGTGCTGCTCATGCGAGTGGGCGGGCACGCCGAGGTCGCGGCATGCGTCCGCTGCCACCCGCTCCAGCTGGCAGACGTACCAGCGCAGGCTCCTGCGGTGCCTGGCCAGGTGCAGCACGGGGTAGCACACGAGCTGGCCCGGTCCGTGGAACGTGATGAGACCGCCGCGGTTCGTGCGGTGGAAGTCGGCACCCAGAGCTCGGAGCCGGGTCTCCACCTCGGCGGGGTACGGCGCCTGTTTTGCGTTCATTTGTTTCGGAGTTTTGTGTCATTAATAATAAAGAATAAGTCATTTTACATAATAACGATACGTACATTTAGTGGTATGCATGGAATTCTTATAGCATGAGAATTATCACAAAAATATCATGTGGTTTTACAGAATTTACTGATAATTTTTCAAATATGGCAAAGTTTGTACCATGATGCAGGCACATTTTATTTGATCTATTCTTTTGCAAATAACATCACAGGATCATTACCATCCGCTGTGACGAAGACAGCACAAAAAAACTTTTGCGGTTAATACACCTGGAGTATTAATCGGGGTGGCCAGCTGGCTCGAACCGCGAACACCTGGAAAAAGCAATGAGCGCATTCCTGCTGGGTCACGTCACAGCCACATACAACATATTATCCTTCAAACTCCCACACAGCCACCCTGGCCGTGCGGTGTCACTTACCTGGCGGATGCCCACAGTGTACACGGGATCGTGTTCACACAGCAGCAGGGTGTCGGGCGGTGCAGGGCCACTGGGCACCGCCAGGTGGTCCAGCAGCGCTCGCGCCAGACGCGTCTGCACGGCGAGGGCCTGCGCATACCCCACGCGGCCCAGCGACACCACCCGCACCACGCGGCCCGCCGCCACCGCTGCTGCCATGGCTCCCTCCCCCCGCCTTCACCAGTTCAGTCCTCCCAAGTGCTTGAAACCAATCTTCGGTAAATCCAAAAGTTAGATAAATAATTGTCTTACTATGTATTCATATTTCTTGATTGTTTTTGTCTGTTTCATCTTGCCCTGATTTTGAAGTTTTGCTCCATCTTGTGAATCGGTTTGTATTTTTTTTTACAAAGTCCTCATTAATAATTTAATCCTTCAATCAGGAAAATCTTAGCTCATCGATACTTTAAAAAAGTAAACGTAATTGAATACGTTGTGTATGTCCACAAGTCTTACTGCTACCCCAAGACTTTCAAGATGGTCCTGCTTGGGATTTAAAGCTTATCGCTAATGACTTTTTTTTCTAAACAACGGTAGCACCTCCTCAACAGCCTTGTAAAGGTCACAACCGCTGTAAAGGTCACAACCACTGTGCATGCATCGGTCTCACGACTCCAGGATCCTCTCAAAGACGAGCCGGCGTCCCCGCGAGTCTCCGATCCTCTGCGGCCTGGCCTCGTAGACGCCCTCGGTTCGCAACGCGGCGTGGCCGCTGGCCCGCGAGGCCGCGTGCCGCACCTCCAGCAGGTGCTGTAGCACGACGAGCAGGAAAACGGCAACGCCCAGCGCGTTCACCAGCACCGCCAGCCCTGCCGCCGGGTCCCTAGCCACCATAGCCCGCGCCGCCCTCCATCGGCAAGGTCCTGCAGCAGGGGATATCGCAGCGTGGGATTAAAATGTTTGCTTTCCTTTCCCAAATTATATCTTCAGAAAGTTGATGAGGTGCCATACGCAGGACTTGAAGGTGATTGTGCAATTGAAAATGGAAGGGATCAGTGGAAGATCAGTTGGTGCGAGAGTGTGGGCAATTTTGCAAGACTCCGTATGTGAGATGCTGAAGAACACGAAATATGGAAAGCATCTATCTTGGTCATCCACCCTCAATTATGAGGATGACACTATAGAGTATAGACCCCTGACTGTGCTATCGGAATTATGTTGAGACAAACTATCCGTTCGCATCTATCTCGGAGCAGCGCAATCCTTCATGTTAGAGAACGGCATCCAGATCCCACGAAGTTCCCTTCGAGTGACCTCTCGTCCACACAGTAGGTGGCAGCACGTTTCTACTGTTACTTCATTATCTTATAAGTCAAAGCAATGTTTTACTTTCACTCAGAGACGTAATTAAGTGCAGAATAATTTCACGTGTTTTTGTGCATTCAGTAATGTAATGGTGAGGGCGGGAAGCATAGATCAGTACGGTACAATGTGTTTTTTTTATGCATGGTCTTCTACTGCCCAGAACGTAGTCCCGCCATAGGTACATGGAGTTGTTATTTTATTTTACTGACAGGAAATAACAAAAAACTGGAATTCATTTTGATTTAAAGCTTTCGTGACTGCAGGGATTAATATTATTGGTTCTTTCGGTAAAGTCACGTAGAAGGGAAACAATAAAATAATAAAAATGCAAAAAAATTATCACGACGTTTCGACTGCAACACAAGCAATCATCATCATATTCATGTCACAATTTGCGGTCTTTTTAAAACGCGAACGGGGTACAACAGCCACCGAGCTTCCGTAGGTGTCAAGCTAAACATTTGCATTTTACGTTACTGCAATCGGCAGTTTTCTTGCTGTGGTTATCCCACCTGATGAAGATTGCTTGTGTTGCGATCGAAACGTCGTGATTTGTTTTAGTTTATTTTTACCTACGTGACCTTACCGAAAGAACCAGAGTATCGATTCCTGCAGTCACGAAAGCTTCAAATCAAGATTGGTTACTGCAATCATATATTATACATTTAATAGACGCCGTGCGAATTAAAATATTTTCATTCTTGTCTAAGTTAAACGTCAGCGATGCAGTAGGCTACAAGTGTTTAATAATGCATTTGTATCATCATCATGTCAGACGGGCGGCCTGGCTAGTCTAGTTCTAGATTTAACCCCTGCGTGGGTCGAGACGAAGTCCGACTTTACAACTCGCAAATGTAGTTACATTTTTAACGGAGACTTTGCCAATACAAACGACAAATTACTTAAATTGAGAGATATAACAAATGTGGAGTTTATATTCGGGTGTGGAACGATGCAAAGTGCGGGCAAAGTGACTCACAAACATCGGGCTCTGTGATGGGGGCTCAGTGCGCATGCGCACAACGTAACGGGGGCTGGTGGGGGTGGTGGTGATGGGAGTGATGATGATGGATGTGATGATGGTGGTGGTGGAATTGTGGTGGTGATGGTTGGGATGATGATGGATGTGATGGTGGTGGTGATGATGGGGGTAGTGATGGTGGTGATGAAAGTGATGGTGGTGGTGGTGGTGGTGGAATTGTGGTTGTGATGATGATGGAAGTAATAGTGGTGGTGGAATTGTGGTGGTGGTGATAGGAGTGATGATGGTTTTGATGATGATGGAAGTGATGATGGTGATGGAATTGTGGAGGTGGTGATGGTGGTTGTGATGATGATGGATGATCATGATGGTGGTGGTGATGGTGGTGGTGGAATTGTGTGTTGTGATGATGGGAGTAATGGTGGTGATGGTGACGGTGATGATGATGGAAGTGATGGTGTTTTTTATAGTAATGGTGATGATTCTGGCGATGACTGATGATAGTGATGATGGTGGTTGTGGTGAAGATTGCAATGATGGTGATTATAGTGGTGGTGGTAGTGATGATGAAGTTTATCACTGGTGGTGGCGATGTTATAGTTGTCATGTAGATGGAGATGTGAATGATGGTTGTGATTTTGATGATGACTAGAGTGATTGGCATTTTATACTTCTGTTTTAGTGGGGTTGATTGTAGTGGTAAAAAAGCTAATACTGTACAGTAGTTAAAATTATAATGGTGAGGTATTAAATAATACAGTAGATGTAAAAAAACACATTTATCCAGGAGAGCCTCAGTGAGACTCGGGAATTTGTAAGCTTTTGGAAAGCCAACGAGGACCGTACGCAAAAACATTGCTCGTTTTTGAGGGGCTGGCACTCAAAATGTCCGCAGACGCGTTCAGAAATCACAGCATCTTGCTGCGCTTACCTCCGTCCGGAGGATCGAGGAGTTTCACATGACTATTCGATCCCTGCGTGCATGCCAATGAGGTCTGCTAGCCACGACGAGAAGAAGGGCTTCAGGAGCGGGAGTTCGTGCAGTTTTTTGCACCTGCTCCTCCATACATGAGGGAAAAAAGTATTTGATCCCCTGCTGATTTTGTACGTTTGCCCACTGACAAAGAAATGATCAGTCTATAATTTTAATGTTAGGTTTATTTGAACAGTGAGAGACAGAATAACAACAACAAAATCCAGAAAAACGCATGTCAAAAATGTTATAAATTGATTTGCATTTTAATGAGGGAAATAAGTATTTGACCCCTCTGCAAAACATGACTTAGTACTTGGTGGCAAAACCCTTGTTAGCAATCAGAGAGGTCAGACGTTTCTTGTAGTTGGCCACCAGGTTTGCACACATCTCAGGAGGGATTTTGTCCCACTCCTCTTTGCAGATCTTCTCCAAGTCATTAAGGTTTCGAGGCTGACGTTTGGCAACTCGAACCTTCAGCTCCCTCCACAGATTTTCTATGGGATTAAGGTCTGGAAACTGGCTAGGCCACTCCAGGACCTTAATGTGCTTAATTCTTGAGCCACTCCTTTGTTGTCTTGGCCGTGTGTTTTGGGTCATTGTCATGCTGGAATACCCATCCACGACCTATTTTCAAAGCCCTGGCTGAGGGAAGGAGGTTCTCACCCAAGATTTGATGGTACATGGCCCCATCCATCGTCCCTTTGATGCGGTGAAGTTGTCCTGTCCCCTGAGCAGAAAAACACCCCCAAAGCATAATGTTTCCACCTCCATGTTTGACGGTGGGGATGGTGTTTTTGAGGTCATAGGCAGCATTTCTCCTCCTCCAAACACGGCGAGTTGAGTTGATGCCAAAGAGCTCCATTTTGGTCTCATCTGACCACAACACTTTCACCCAGTTGTCCTCTGAATCATTCAGATGCTCATTGGAAAACTTCAGACAGGCATGTATATGTGCTTTTTTGAGCAGGGGGACCTTGCGGGCGCTGCAGGATTTCAGTCCTTCACGGCGTTGTGTGTTACCAATTGTTTTCTTGGTGACTATGGTCCCAGCTGCCTTGAGATCATTGACAAGATCCTCCCGTGTAGTTCTGGGCTGATTCCTCGCCGTTCTCATGATCATTGCAACTCCACGAGGTGAGATCTTGCATGGAGCCCCAGGTCGAGGGAGATTGACAGTTCTTTTGTGTTTCTCCCATTTGCGAATAATCGCACCAACTGTTGTCACATTCTCACCATGCTGCTTGGAAATGGTCTTGTAGCCCATTCCAGCCTTGTGTAGGTCTACAATCTTGTCCCTGACATCCTTGGAGAGCTCTTTGGTCTTGGCCATGGTGGAGAGTTTGGAATCTGATTGATTGATTGATTGCTTCTGTGGACAGGTGTCTTTTATACAGGTGACAAGCTGAGATTAGGAGGACTCCCTTTAAGAGTGTGCTCCTAATCTCAGCTCGTCACCTGTATAAAAGACACCTGGGAGCCAGAAATCTTTCTGATTGAGAGGGAGTCAAATACTTATTTCCCTCATTAAAATGCAAATCAATTTATAACATTTTTGACGTGCGTTTTTTCTGGATTTTTGTTGTTATTCTGTCTCTCACTGTTCAAATAAACGTACCATTAAAATTATAGACTGATCATTTCTTTGTCAGTGGGCAAACGTACAAAATCAGCAGGGGATCAAATACTTTTTTCCCTCTGTATATGGTCCATAGATCATTTTGGGTTCCATCGCATTACTGGTGGCTCGGCTTTCCTGTTCATACCCCGTGTATCTATAAGACGCACAAATGAACTTGCATGTACTGCCATCTCCTGGCCAAGGTCCGGAAACCTTGGAAGGTTCCCATACAGAGTATTTATGTGATTCCCCAACCCTCGTCTCCAAGGATCTGGACTATTCGGTGCGATGGGCATACGTGAATAAAATCCATTGTGATCTCTTACGACGCAACATTCGTGCAGTGCCCACTTGCAAAATGTACACGTGCGATGCACAGTACATCACAAAGCATTGAGTCTATCAATCTTGATTTGAAGCTTTCGTGACTGCAGGAATCCATACTCTTTGGTTCTTTCGGTAAAGTCACGTAGGTGTAAAATAAAATAAATCACGACGTTTCGGGCGCAACACAAGCGTCCATCATCAGGTGGAACAGAGTATTGAGTCTATCCACAAGATGGCGAGCTGGACCATAGAGACCCACTCACCCACTCCCATCCACAAATCTCAACGCCAACCCCCACCACCAAATGTCACTTGCCCTCCCTTGCTACCCTCCTTCCAAACTTCCCAGTTGCTTGCAGCTCAGTCTCATAAAGGGCAGAGTGGGGAACAGCAGGCAGGCAGGCAGATACACAGTGCCAGCCCCCCCCCCCCCCACCTTGACCATGGCGACTGCGATGGGAATGAATGTTAACCGAGTGGGGGGCCTCTCCGTGTGGTTGTTGATCGCGACTTGTGGGGCGGCTCAGACTCACAGCTCCGGACGTGAGTACTCTCAACTTGCTGCATCCGACTCGCACGCACCGTGGTGGTTGTTGGTTCACGCTCTCAAAGCGTGAGACCCCCCCATTCGTCTGTCGCTTTGGTTTGCAGTGAGGACAAATCTATAAAATAAAAAAAGCAAGATGAAAGACCTAACGGCACCCGACGTGTCTTGTTCTGAAATATTAAATTGATGTCGAGTAAAGTACTTTTTTATACCGAAAACAAAAAAAATAATATCGAATGACCGATTAAAAGTGTTCTGTAAAGTAAAGGGCCATTGCCCAAAACGTCGCCGATTTTATGTTTTTTTGACATTGTTATGGACGAATGTGTTGGAGGGTTTTTACGATTAAATGTTGATCAGTCAGGAAAAAAACACGTTTTTTTTAGTTATAGTAATACTTTGGTTAAAGTCTCAACTGTACCGTAACAAATAAAGGGCTCTTGCAATGTCTTGCAATACTCTAATACATTTTTAAATGTGGTTTACATTCTAATTTTTTTTTCATCTTTATTATAGCCTAGGACTATAGGGCATGCAAAGGCGGCTCTCGGAATAGATTTGTATGGGGGCAATTCGGGGGCATAAACTACGACACACACAAGTCACTTTGCAGTCAGTGAGCTTGTAAAATCTGAGCAGCATCAAATACATTTACGAATAAAACGCCGGAATTGCAACAATATCAAAAATGCCTACACTTTTTCATATCTGTAAAGTATTTAATCTCTGTAATCTAGTTGAAATGTTAATTTAGTTTATAAACCGCTGACATTGTTTCACTATTGATTAAAATCTTACGATGTCCTTACAATTATATAAATGTTTGATAATTTATTTACTTCATCTCACTTTTGGATCGCACTGCTATGTTTAGTTTTAAATTAAAGTCCGTGACATGTTTCTGCTCTACCGTATTTCGTGCTACGTATGTATTCCCTTGAATATAATGGTAATTTATCTCACGCGGGTGTAAATAATGGTAATTTATCTGTGATTATCTCAACTTAAAAAGACCAAAACAAGCCTGATGGCTCTAAAGTTGAAAGTTATAAGGCCTCTTGGGCTCAAATAGTGATACTGTACTACGTGAATCGCCGTTACAAGCACAGCAACGGTTTGTTTGTCTTGGTCTTGCGAGCTGAGACTGCACAAAGCACAGCCACACTGCAGCCCTTTGTGTCAGCGTTAAAGGTTTCAAGAATTCCTGAGAAGTTTTCATTTTTGTATTCATTCATTTTTCACCTCGGCTACATTTCTTCGCCAAAACTCACCCGGAGAGGTCGACTTGAGAGCCAATTCAAGGAGTACCCCCCTGTATTTTTTGGAATTTAGAAATTGTGGGTTGGTTTTTTTTACATGTATATACCTGCTGGCACATAAAGGACCGAGTGCTTGTGTGGCAGCTGATCAATGAGGTGGGTTTATTTTTCCACCCTGCGCTTGTGTAGGCCAGAAAAAGTGATGCCATTATGAGCAAAAGCGCGCACACAAACCCTCACCCGTTAATCAATATATTTGGGCACAGTGGTGCATGGTGATTTCATCATCATCATGCAATGTTGGATTAATGCCTCGCCAATCCACCACTACCGCTCATCTCAAATCTATTAAATTATAAATAAAATATAATGTACAATTGTACAGTTATGGATGAGGTCCTCGCCACCATGCCATGTGCCTCATGGGGGGATATTTCACCATACTTCACCACACTGCTCATATTTGAATATGCATGGACAATTATACTGAATTTGTATTTATGGGTTTCACTGGAATAAAGTCAGAATAACAAAAAAATCATTACAGCACCTTGGTCAGTCCACTGCTGGATGACAGCATTCCCATGCTGGGTCTGACCACGTCAGTCTGTACGGGCTGGTGAAGAAGTGACAGGATCCAGTACATTCTGTAGCTCACCACAGTGATTTATCGTGGCCAAATTAAAAGCAGGTTACCTCATGTTTGGTATTCCAGTAAAACATAAGGGACTTCACACTGACAGCAGTCCGGCTGATGTGAAGTGTACATTGTTTATTAATGATGGTACAGCGGTTTGCGCACGGAGCTATGAACGAATCCCTGTGACCTAAGTTCAATCACCAGCCATGGGTAACAAGCGTGGCAAGTGATACCTTAACCAATCCTATCTCCAACCCACACTGACCAAGGTGGAAAAGTATGGTCGAATAACCCACGCGGTGTTGAGAGGCCCTCATCCAGCAGTGGATTAACAAAAGCCTGAAAATTAGTAATGTAACTGTAGATAAACTCTTTCAGATGTGCTGCAGGAATTGATGTAATCGCTTTGGTCATCCACTTTCTCTCCTTGGCTGTCATGCCATCAGTCTCATTCGTTCGTTGGTCGGGATCCCTTTTAGCGACGTGTCCTGTCCAAGCCCACTCTTGTTTCTGATGTCAAAATGACATCTCCGCTTTGCCCCTGTTCCCTGATGCACTCGCTCATCATCCTGTCTCAAAGTATAATTATGAACATCCATCTCCTCACTCTTATCTATGGTGTTTTCAGATGTTTTTATTTCGTAGTTTACATATTTAATAGTTTACAAATATGCACTGACTTGGGATGGCGATGGCATGGGAAGGCAATTGATGATATAAATACAGGTGTTTTGTACGTTAATCACTTGGGACGGAAACCCTAAGATTGACTCTGCAAATGGATTTCCTCTTGGAACGGAACACGAAGCTAAATCTGGCATGAAGTGTGGCAGTCACAGACATCAGGAAGGATCACATATCAGCCAAATTGGACCTCAAGGAAAATCCAGTTATAGAGCAGCTGGCACGCTGAAAACACTTCTCATACGGATATTTAATTGGCTAAGTCATTCGAAGTCCACGTATATATTCGGCTGTGAATGAATGTTATCGATTCAAGGAAAAATCACCTGAGAATATCATTGAGCCGGGCGTGGTGGAGCTCGCTCATTACCCCAGCGATTCAGAGGCGAGGGAGGGCTTGGGTGAGACCACGAAGCTTTGTGAGGCTCACAATCCAACTGAGCTGCAAGTTGGCTAGGAAGTGGCAAGTGGCTCGATGAAGCCATCAGTGCAGACCTTGTGACTGCTATCCCCTTGTATGCGTCGGGTTTTACCCGTGCACTCCGGTTTCCTCCCACACGAAGGAAGACTATACTTAAAATAGAATTTGGCCGGATAACCCAAACATCGGGTCCCTTTTCAAAGTCTTGACACTCAAAGAGGCTTTTCTGGGTACAAACAGCACTATCATGATCTCAAAGATTGAATATGAGGGTCAAAAGGAGTAAGCGACGTGTGTCCATCGCACCTCACCCATTGTGAAATTCTTCTTCTGTTACTTCATTGTTGGATGAGGGCTTCCCCATGCCGTGCGGGTCACGTGAGTTACAGTATTCAACCTTGCTGGTCAGTACAGATTGGTGAAGGCTGAGAGCATAGACGTACAGTACAATAATGGATAATAATCCATCGTGCTCTGCAGTCCGCAGTGTAACCCCCGTAGCAGCTTATCGCACCTGTTTTGTACACGGTGGTCACCCATCCAATGACGAACGCTATCCAGGCCCATCTCTACTCAGATGCCAAGATCAGGTGGGATGGAGCACATTCCAGGTGATTGGCCATAGGCTGCTGAGCCAGGCAGCAGCCTATGCATGTGTCGTTTTTGCCCTCTCCCCTTTGCACAGAGGCTGGCGACAGGCAGTGCGTGTTTCAGGACCAGAGGTACAGCCCCGGCGACACGTGGCACCCGTTCCTGCCACCTCGCGGACTCGAGCACTGCATCCGCTGCGCCTGCTCCAAGGTGAACGACCATCGCCGCCACCGCACAGCGGCTCAACTATCGAGTGTGCAGGCGGTGGCGTTGCTGCGGCCTCGTTTGTCACGATAGGATCTTTTTTCATCTTGATTTGAAGCTTTCGTGACTGCAGGAATCCATACTCTTTGGTTCTTTCGGTAAAGTCTTTCTCACCGCTTTCCCACCTGATGACGGACGCTAGTGTTGCGCCCGAAACGTCGCGATTTATTTTATTTTATACCTACGTGACTTTACCGAAAGAACCAAAGACTAAGGATCTTTTTTCTTCGATGCTCTGGCTTAGGGGCAGGTCCTTTGGCTGCCATCTTCTCCATCCTCCTCTGTTCCGCCCCCCCCCCCCTCTTTATTTGCACAAAGGCCCATTCCTTCAGCTAATAATCCCAATCCTCAGCCTTCCTCTCGTACTTATTATTATTTCCATTCTTCCTTCGATAACGTCGTAATTCATCAAACCATCACCCTCGTAGAATACGTCCAATACATTTCTTCTTTCTCATTCCGATTATTGTTCTTCTTTCTTTGTTGCCATTGAGGATTTATTCCATCCGGCGATACGATATCAAATTTAAGGATATGGCGATTATCGTGATTTTCAGCTTCCTATAACTCTGTAATTATATTTCGCTATTTTATTCTATCAATTTTGTGCGTTGCTGTGCTTCTATGGTATGAATAAAGATTTAAAAGTTCTTCAACCGCTGTTCACGAAACTTCATTTTTTCCTTTTCGGAATAAAATATTTTGAGGCTATGACACCCCAGCGTTGCTTTGTAAAAAGGTGCTTTTCGATTAATCGTGGATCATACATCGTACGATGCAATATCATCGCCATAACGCGGTAACCATAACGGGCAGTGCAACTGCACTGGAGCCCAGATGCCGGTGGGGCCCAGATGCCGGTGGGGCCCAGATGCCGGTGGGGCCCAGATGCCGGTGGGGCCCAGATGTTGTTGGGGCCCAGATGCCTTGGGGCCCAGATGTGCGGTGGGGCCCAGATGCCGGTGGGGCCCAGATGCCGGGCTTAAAAGGGAGGGGGAAAGAGGATGGAGCCTCCATTCGCCGCCCGCCATCCCTGCCACCAATCCTGAATAGCCTTGCAGCAGTTTGGCCCAGCAGGGAACACGTGTACTCGTGTCTTCGGGTGTGACGATGACAGTGAATGACCTCCTCAAATGAGCACTGCGAAGGTGGTGCTCATCTCCCATTTACAGCCATGAGCGAGCGGTGGAAATTCCACATTGCTGTGGTGAGGAGGAGTCGTTCCATAAGACAACCATTGTTGACTACCCCACAACGTGGTAGTCATTTTATCAACCCACCCCGAGGGATTGTGGGATGAATAAACCCCGAACCAGGATTTTAACTCGCAACCTTCTGATGGCAGAAGCCCAGGATTCCAGTGAGTCACCTGGCCAGTTAGTCACGGTGGTTCAGAGAGAGTGTGCGTGTGTGTATCCAGTCGGGTGGCAAAGTACTTCTATAGACTCGCGCAGAGATCCATAGATTTACGTAGAGTCCGACAGACTACTTGCCACTGGTCAGTCCAAGCATTAAGACATTCCATGGGTGAATGCCTCCTATATAAAACAAACACGCCCACTGTTTCTGTACAGCTAATTGTATTTTTACTTAAATTTGTTGACAGCTGCCAAGCACAGGCCCAAAGTTTCAAAACGCCAAGCGGCCATCAACAAACAGCAATGTTAAAATTGTGATAGATAAGAGTGTAACGTGGTGGTTGAATTGAGCAAGATTATTACTGGTAGAAACCTCCTGGTTACACCAGCCCACAGGGGATTATTGTGTCCGTCCGTCGTGCATCCAAAAATGGGAGAGGTGGGGCTGGGTGGGGAGGGTGGGGCTGGGTGGAGAGGATGGGGCTGGGTGGGGAGGGAGGGGCTGGGTGGGGAGGGGAGGGTGGGGCTGGGTGGGGAGGGGAGGGTGGGGTGGGGCTGGGTGGGGAGGGTGGGGAGGGGCTGGGTGGGGAGAGTGGGGCTGGGTGGGAGGTGGGAGGGGTGGGGCTGGGTGGGGAGGGGCTGGTCACCCCGTGGTGCCCTTATAAAACTCAACGTTTAACCTACTCACGCCGGCTTGTGCCCGCCCTCACAGTCGGGCATATTTGCGGAATACACCACGTGGTGCCGCCGTTGACCCTGGCCATTGACCGAGCAACCCAACGTTCCTACCAGCTCCCTCCGCAGGAATGTGTTTTATAAGAGCTTGAGAAAAGAGACGATGGGAGGAGGGAATTCCAAAGTTGAGCAGTGCGAGGGAAGAGGCAGAAAAATAAGTGTTTGACCGATAGTATGGTGAGTGGGTGAGGTAGTGAGTGAGTGAGAGTATTGTGGTAGTGGAGCGGTTGGCGCGCTGCACGACGAACCTGGTGACCCGAGTTCGACTCACGGCCAACACCGGTGACGATTATCTGAACCGGTCCTGGGGCTCCCCTAGGTCGACTCAGCCTCAAATGAGTACCTGGTGTAGCGGTGTGTAAACATCGCCACTAGGGAGACAAAGGCGGCCGAGCGTGGTGCTGGCCACCCACCCCCTCGTGTGCCGTGCCGGCCTTCATAGGTGCTCGCTAACAGCACTTGCCCCTACAGTCTGTTAAGGTTATACGGGGGACCTTTGGCTTTTGTATTGTGGTGGTTGAGCTCAGTATGGATGAGATGAATGAGTCAGTCTGCTCGACCCGAGTCCTTGAGATGTGGTCACATTTGGACTCCACTATATTATTCCGCAAAACGTTGCGTACTACGTGTGCGTGTGCGCGCGTGCGTGCGTGTGCGTGTGTGTCTGCGACAGAGCGGGAACGTGCAGTGCGCACGCGTGCGGTGTCCACAGCTCCTGTGCGAGCACCCAGTGAGCGTTCCCCAGCACTGCTGCCCCGCGTGCCCAGGTGAGACGGGTGCCTCCGAACCGCACGCGCCATCGCCCATCCCACTGAGCCGCCACTCTTTCTGGGAGGCTCGACCAGGACACGTGGTCGTCCGGCACCCACACCCATACCCACTAAATAGATTGATGAAATTGAGGTATTGCAGGCCCATGAGGGATGGCGACGGCGTGGGGGGGAGGCCTTCCTCCAACAGCGGATAGAGTAAAGTTTGTGAAAATAATAATTACGATGATAACACAAATATATGGGGACAATAGATGTATCAGAGGCTCAGATCTAGCTTTGAGAACCGCAAAAAATATATAATTTGGGAGGTGGCCGAAAATATTGGGTGCTTCAAAAAAATGTTAACGATTTAAAGGGACTCGTTTTCAATGGAAAAAGAACGGATGTATGTTAATAGCTTCAAAAATTCAACGAGTCTCCACTCGTTCGCCATCATTGTCAACACGTGCCTGGAATCATCTCCAGGTGGTTTCCAGAGCCCGGTGACACATTACTTGTGGTATACTTGCAATTTCTCCGAAGTGTTCACATTTTTTTGAAGCACGCTGTGTCATTTCAGCAAAAGCACGGTGGGTCGATAGGTGGGTGGCTGTTGAGCATGCGACGTTGTTCAACACACATTCTCCAAACGCCCACGCAAGGAGGGACGTGGAATGAACACAGAGCGTGCTGTGTTTGCTACAATCGCTGTTCTCAGATGCAAAGAGAGATTTTGGCAAAGCGCAGAGCAAGGAGGCATGGTGGCTAATGCATCACCATGGATGATTAATGTTCAAAGTTTGGACGTGTGTACTGATGCCAGTTCGAAAATATGCGTGCGTGTGTTCGTGGGGTGCAACGGCATAGTAAGTGCACTGAACTACAAATCGCGGCCACCTGGGTTCTATTCACGGCCACAGCTAACATCGGTGGGCGAGTCATATCGGATCCGGTCCAGGATTTTATCCGGTGTGAAAACAGCAGCAGTGGGGAGACAAAGGCGGCCGGGCATGGTACTGGTCATACGACGCCACCCCCTCCCCCCATGTGCCATTCCAACTTTATAGTTGCCTGCGAATAGCACTTGCCTCAACAGTTTGTCTGTGCTATTCTTACCTGTGTCATTGTGTGCGTGTGTGCGCACACGAGCGGTGATGTAGCGGTTAGTGTAGCGGTTAGCACGCTGCGCTACGAACCAGGCGGCCCGAGATCAATTCCCGTGCACGGCCAACACTAGTGATAATTATCTAAACCAGTCCTGGGCCTCACCTAGGTCGACTAAGCCTCAAATCAGTACCTGGTGCAGTGTGTTTACAAACATCGCCACTGGGGAGACAAAAGCAGCCGGGCGTGGTGTTGGCCATCCCACTCCCTCGTGTGCCGTGCCGGCCTTCATAGGTGCTTGCGAACAGCACTTGCCCCTACAGTCTGTTAAGGCTATACGGGGGATCTTTTGAGCGCACATGCACATGCGTGTGTGTGTATATATATGAGTTGGCAGGGACAGTTGAGTTACTAAAAAAATTGTGTTTGTTACCAAAATGAGTTTCGTAAAAACGTCTCAAAGCAAAATGCCAGATGGCACGGTGCACTTAAGATTTTGGCTGGTGTCATACATGCAAGTACATTGGCAAAGGTCTCATAGACCGTCAGTGAACACCTATTAAGACTGGCACAGCACCCAAAGGAGGAATGGCCATGGCAGCCCTCATTTTCCCTGTGCAAATGTTTATTTCACCGTTTCATGTACGCATGTTAGGCCGATTCAACATAAGGGAGGTTCAGAACAGATTCAAATACCAATTGACAAAGAGCCAAGACATGTAGCGAATGCCCCTATTTTACAGGCATAAAATACTGGTAGAAAATCAGTGTCACCTCCGCTACCCAAAACACTGATTAAAGGCCGCAAACATTGGTCGGGTTTCTCGGGGTCACGGGAGGGTCAAACTTGTTGGAGAATTGAAGTTCATAATGAGACCAAGCGCCTTAGAACGAGTTACGATTCATCACAATCAGCACCACCTCATTGGATGTGAATGTCTCGCACAAAGACAAATGTCCCGCGGGTAGCTTTGTGTAAGTGCCGCTAGCAAGCATCTGTGAGGGTTAGCCTGGCGTGCAGGGGGTGGTGTGCTGCGAACCACAACAGCTTTGGCACACAAGCGCCGATGTTTAGACGGCAAATACTGATTTAAGGCTTAGTGAACCTAGGGGAAGCTCAGGACCAGTTCAGAGATTACTCGGCACTGATATTAACCGTGGTTGGGATTTGAACTCCGGTAAACTGGTTCGTATCACGAGTGCTGCTTCCACGTAGCTTTGAGCAGTACTCGCTAAAGGCACTTACCTAATCATTCTGTGTAGGCTACACGGGTGATCTTAGTCTCACACGCACACACGTTCACACAGACAACAACACCTCCCTAACCCCATCTGCGTTCCTAGGTCAAGGCTCCGGTCGAGTTTTTGCCCGTGTGGCCACCAGACTCTGGAACTCTCCTACATGAGATTTCAGGATCTACTCAGAGTCTGTGGACATTTTTAGAGTTCGTATTAAAATAGTATCTGTACACGTCCATTTGTACAATTTTTAGCTGATTAAGCAAATGGCTTTTAACATTTATTTTATTATTTCACCTTATTCTTCGTTTTTAGTTGCACGAGGTATTCTCATGCTGAGTATCTGCTGATGTCTTTTGATGAAATCCTTGAAGAACGGCAATTTGTAAATAAAAATATGAAACAGTAATATTGTCCCTGTCTCCCCCCTCTCTCTCTCTCTCTGTCTCTCACCACCACGACGACCCCCCCCCCCCCCCCCCCCCGCCGCCGGCCTCGAATCGCGGGGTGCAGAGTCGGAGGAGCCACGCAGGGAGGACGGGCGAGCGAGCGGACGAACGTGCGAGTACCAGGGAGCCACGCACCAGCACGGCGCGCTCTTCCCGGGAGGCGTGGCGCTCTTCCCCGCCCGCCTGCCCAACCAGTGCGTGCAGTGCGGCTGCTCGGTGAGCAATGCCCTTTCTCGTCCATTCATGCCCCCCCACCCCCACCCCCCCCCCCCCCCCCCCCCTTGTCTATTATTGCACCACCCGTCCAGAGGAAGCATGGAACTCCCACAGTCGGAGTCGGGCCACGCAGATGAGAACTGCCCAATGCCCGCCGAGGCGTGGAGACACTTTGACGTTGCAAATTGCGGTATATTTGAAATAATTCGGCATTATCGAGGGCCGCGCTCCATCTACCAATGCACGAAGGCCTCCAGAGCTGTCGCTTTCGGTGACGGGATTCACCACCGCACACGAGATGAGACTCTCAGTGTCCGCGGTGGACGTCCTCTCAGGCACGTGACTCTCCCGCCGTCAGTCGCATCGTCAATTTCCGCGACGTTTTCCAGCCCAAACCGAAGCGACTTTGCTGGACCGTCAACACGACCTCTCTGCCCTGTGCACGCTCTCCGATCCATGTGTTTCTCATTCTGCCTCTCGGCGCAATTCAAAGCACGCACCTCCCAGTGCTTCTACAGAATGAGATGGCGTTGTCCGGCATGCCATTGTGCCATGCCTGTGTGTGCAGGAGGGCAGCGTGTACTGCGCACTGAAGACGTGCCAGCCGCTCAACTGCACCGCGCAAGTGATGGGCACGCAGCGCTGCTGTCCTGTCTGCAAAGGTGTGTGCGCGTGCACGTGTGTGTGTGTGACATTGTGGAGGACGCTCGTGAAGGACGCTGCTGCTACTAGGCAGTTTGAGGCAGTCGCCCTCCAACAACAACGGAGGGCGGAGGAGCGGCGCTCACAACAACGAGCGGAGCGCCGGGTGGCTAAAGCACAGCAAGTTGACACAGTAGGGGGCACAGGTGGTGCATCAGCCACTCATCTCAGTCAGTCAACCCGTGGCACCTGGGTCTGTCCCGTGACCTCCTGCCAGTGGCCGTTCGACACTTCACGTGGCCTTAACGTGCACATAGTCTGGCACAAGCGCCGTGGTAACGTCACCACCACTTAGTGACGAATGGCGGTTGTTGTTGTTATGTAACACTGCCAGTTGCCTGTTCAGGGACCTCTCACAACCTCAGCAAGACTCATTCCCATACCCCGACAAGCCAGCGGCCGTGTAGTGGAGCGGTCGTATCGTGGATGACGCACAGAATGACCCGAGTTTGATTCCCATTCACAGCCAACATTAGTGACCATAACATGACGATGATTGTGGTATTGCTGATGATGATGGAGGTGATGGTGGAGACGGTGGTGATAATGATGAGGGCTGTTCATAACAATAAATGTGATCGTTTGTGATGACAGTTATCATGATGATGACTGTGGTGTTGATGGCGGTGGTGGTGACCACGAAGATGTTTATTATGACGTTTGCTGTAATTACTGTGGTCGTGCTGCTGACGATAAAAAACAATGCTGATGATGCTCATGGTGACGATGATGATGAGCGCGATGGTGACGAAGATGATGAGAGTGATGGTGACGATGATGATGAGAGTGCTGGTGACGATGATGATGAGAGTGGTGGTGACGATGATGATGAGCGTGATGGTGACGAAGATGATGAAAGTGATGGTGACGATGATGATGAGAGTGGTGGTGACGATGATGATGAGAATGATGGCGACGATGATGATGAGAGTGATGGTGACGATGATGATGAGAATGATGGTGACGATGATGATGGGAATGATGGTGACGGTGATGATGAGAGTGATGGTGACGATGATGATGAGAGTGATGGTGACGATGATGATGAGAATGATGGTGACGATGATGATGAGAATGATGGTGACGGTGATGATGAGAGTGATGGTGACGATGATGATGAGAGTGATGGTGACGGTGATGATGAGAATGATGGTGACGGTGATGATGAGAATGATGGTGACGGTGATGATGAGAGTGATGGTGACGATGATGATGATGAGAGTGATGGTGACGGTGATGATGAGAGTGATGGTGACGATGATGATGAGAGTGATGGTGACGGTGATGATGAGAGTGATGGTGACGATGATGATGAGAGTGATGGTTACGGTGGTGATGATGATGATGAGCGTGATGGTGACGAAGATGATGAGAGTGATGGTGACGATGATGAGAGTGATGGTGACGATGATGATGAGAGTGATGGTGACGGTGATGATGACAGTGATGATTACGGTGACGATGATAATGAGCGTGATGGCTGACGAAGATGATGAGAGTGATGGTGGCGATGATGATGAGAATGATGGTGACGATGATGATGAGAGTGATGGTGGCGATGATGATGAGAATGATGGTGACGATGATGATGAGAGTGATGGTGACGAAGATGATGAGAATGATGGTGACGGTGATGATGAGAGTAATGGTGACGCAGATGATGAGAGTGATGGTGACGATGATGATGAGAATGATGGTGACGGTGATGATGAGAGTGATGGTGACGATGATGATGAGAGTGATGGTAACGGTGATGATGAGAATGATGGTGTTGGTGATGATGAGAATGATGGTGACGGTGATGATGAGAGTGATGGTTACGGTGATGATGATGATGAGCGTGATGGTGACGAAGATGATGAGAGTGATGGTGACGATGATGAGAGTGATGGTGACGATGATGATGAGAGTGATGGTGATGGTGATGATGAGAGTGATGATTACGGTGACGATGATAATGAGCGTGATGGTGACGAAGATGATGAGAGTGATGGTGGCGATGATGATGAGAATGATGGTGACGATGATGATGAGAGTGATGGTGGCGATGATGATGAGAGTGGTGGTGACGATGATGATGAGCATGATGGTGATGATGATGATGAGAGTGATGGTGACGGTGATGATGAGAATGATGGTGACGATGATGATGAGAGTGATGGTGGCGATGATGATGAGAATGATGGTGACGATGATGATGAGAGTGATGGTGACGATGATGATGAGAGTGATGGTGACGAAGATGATGAGAATGATGGTGACGGTGATGATGAGAGTGATGGTGACGTAGATGATGAGAGTGATGGTTACGGTGACCATGATGATGAGCGTGATGGTGACAATGATGATGATGAGAGTGGTGGTGACGGTGCTTATGATGATGAGCGTGATGATGACAATAATGATGATGGTGGTGGTGGTGTATTTAAACTAAGACCCCGTCACCTTCATTCTGTGTATTACAGAACACACGAGTGAGACGGAGATGCAGGAGAGCGAGAGAGGGGACCTGGAACAAACTAAGGCGGAGACAACTCCAATGAGACAGTCGCACAGAGAGGCCGTACGGACGCCACGCACGACAATCACGCACGACAAGCACGCACGACAAGCACGCACGACAATCACGCATTCCACTAACATTAAAACTCCCGTTCACTTCATCGTTATAGTCATCATCAGCCATGATCTATCCAACGCTGGATGAAGGCCTCCCCAGGCTGTCGCCATTTCTTTCACGGTCCTGAGTTGTAACGATGCGCCTCGCGCCTGCGCGTCAGCCGGTTTCATCGCCGCTCCATCTCACCGGCGGGAGTCCACGCGAGCGTCTTCCATCCTTGGGCTGCCACTCCGTCGTTACTCTCCACCACCTCCCACCATCATCCCTTGTCACGACATGTCCTCCCCAGGCCCACTCCTCAACGACCACTTTTAATTTTACCCATCACAGTCTATATCGTAAGGATAAGGTGGTCTCCTGCCACGGCAATGTGGAATTTCCGTAAATCACTTAGAGCAGCCTGCGTTGGTGATATCCACCGCATAGTAATTGCCGCAAGAAGGAAATAAAAACTCTGACTCAACCCTCTACAGCTAAGCTATTCAGATGAATTGAATAATAATAATGGATTATTTGTAATGCATAAAAGCCTCATTGTGTGTCAGCATTCTTTTTCAGGAGGATCCTGCATTGTGATGTTGAGTCAGTTTCACGAAGGACGGTTTTATGTGCGGAAGGAAAAACTGGAGTATTTCAAGAACATCCATTGAGCATACGAGGGGATAACCGCTCACAGGTCCACACAGATGTACTGCCCCATCCTGGTCACCTTCCAACTCAGTAGGATTGAGAAATTCATAATCTGCGTGATCCCCCGACCCTATCCTCTGAAGTGCTGGATTACAGGGTGTGCACTACCACGCCTGGCTCAAGTTAAAACACAAAATAAAACAATTATTTGTTGTAATGTATTTTGATGACACGAAATTCGCTTCGCTTCATAATCCTGAGCTTAGCCTCAGCTAGCTGGGCACTGGTGTTGCTGGCTAAGTTTCTCTGACACAACCAGGACATTAGCAGTACTGGCACAGCACATCCGGCACAGCTATTGTAAGCACCCCGGGGTACACGGTGTCTCTCAGTCTCAGGGGTTCAACCAAACATCCCACATGCCGCACCCTTGGCGAATCTGATATGGCCATCATGAGCCCACATGGAGACACTCGGCCACCTCCAATGCTGAGTCACTTGAATGTGATCGCAAAATTGCGGTGTCACAGTGACTCCCTTGCCCATCCGCTTCAGTTTCAGTTTTCAGTTTCATTTATTACTGAGACAGTGGTCAACATTCCACATTCCTATGGCAAGGATAAGTCTTACCATAGCAAAGCAAACAGAGACAAAGATCCCCCGTATAGCCTATTGGGGCAAGTGCTGTTTACGCACCGCACCAGGTACTACTTTTAGGCTGAGTCGACCTAGGGGATGCCCGGGACCGGTTCTGATAATCGTCACCGGTGTTGGCCGTGAGCGGGAATCAAACCCGGGTCCCCGGGTTTGTAGCGCAGCGCAGCGCTAACCGCTACACTACGACTCTAAACACAGCACGCACACACACACACACCCCCAACGAAGCAGCGCTCATAGCACAGCGCGGCTGTGTGTGGTGGGTGGGGGGGGCGCTGCGATTCACCACAGAGGCACTCGTGCGGGGGCCCCAGCGGAGAGGAGCGGAGGCCGCGTGGGAGGGGAGGAGGGGGGTCTCTGGGAGGGCGCCCCGCCAGCGCCGCCGCCGCCGCCGCCGTGGCCGCGGGGAGACACGCGCGCCCGCTCCGCGACTCGCTGCTCCCCGCTCGCGCCAGCGTCTCGTTCAACATGAGCAGGGGCCGACCCGGCAAAGGTGACCCGCTCGCTTGCGCCGATCTAGGCCAGAGGCAGAGGTCCGTCCTTCCGATAGCCGGGGCGGACCGTCGGGGCGGGTGCTGCTGCGCGGGCGAGCGATGAGGGCCGGCGTGTGGCCAGCACCACGTCCGGCCGCCCACGTCTCCCCGGCACAGAAGTATAAAAGGAACCGCACCGTATACGCGAATTATTCCAAGGTGACCAGAGAAGAGACGCACGGCAGGTTAAGTGCCCACCGGCGACTAATGTTACCCACGGCCGGAAAATCACGCCGCTTTCTAGATGTGCAGCACGTTGCGTGAAACAAGTGCGCCCGTGATCCACTCGCACGTGGCAGCAACAGCACAAGCTCTCGTTCGCGTTCCCCGTGTTGAGCTCGGCCCACCGGCAGCACAACTGGGAGTGGTCATTGACACCGTTGCAGAGGTTCGCAGTTTGAGCCCAGAGGCCACCCCAGTTAATACTGCGGGTGTATTGACCATAAATTACTACGTGCCTTCTGCTTCCAAGTGGACGTTAAAGATTTCCGCGACGTTAACAAAAAGAGAGTAGGCAATGTGTGCCGGCGTCGTTGTACAAATTTGATAAAATTGTTCACGGATCACGTCATTGTAAAGCCACATAGCAACATGACCCCCTACTGGCAGCCTCATGCCCACTTGCTGGCCAGTGCTGCATTCATCTTGAGCCTCGCAGAGACAACTACCACCGGGGGGTGCCCCTGTTGCAGGGCATCTCAAGAAGTGCTGCATGAGAGGCGCAGTATAAATACTGAGAGATGATGATGGTGGTGGTGATGCTGATGATGATGAAAATTGGCGGGTGGGTACATTTTTGTTTTTAAACCTTCTGCTCTCGGCGTGTTGCTCTGTTACGCGCGACGCAGCGTGCTCGTACCACGGGCGGCTGTACTCGCACGGGGAGTGGTGGCAGCCCAGCGTGGCCCCGCTGGGCCCCGTCGAATGCGTGTCGTGCACCTGCCGCGACGGGCGCCCGGAGTGCCACCGCACGCACTGCCCACGCGACGACCAGATGCCCTGCCCGGCGCCGCGCAAGATGCGTGGCCGCTGCTGCAAGGTGTGCCCGCAAGGTGGGTGCACAGGGAGAATGGTGAACGTTTTTTTTTTTAATATACATATACACACTGAGCTATATACTGCTTATTTGCCGAAGCTACCTGGCCACAAATGATAGCTCAATGAGGTGGCTTATCACGTGGAAATTTCTAGCAGCCAAATACTCCAAATGCACGTTTCTAAATGTGGCAGGGAACACCCGGAGGACCTGAAGAAAAATCCACGCAACCACGGGGAGAACATGAAAACTCCAAATATACAGCAGGTGTCAGACCTGGCCATCACAAATGATAGCTCAACGAAGTATATTATTATCGCATGGAAATCGATAGCAGCCACATTGAACGGTCACCGTTAACCGTTTTTAGAATCAATCGCCGGTTTTCCTAAGAATTTTGGTCGTGAATTGATTGAAGAAACGTGGCCCCCATTATTTCAACTGCTGTGCCGGTAGATGGAATCGAAACGGCGACCACTGCACTCCAAGTCCGGTGTGCAGACCACCGCTGTGGCAGTCACCTTCATTTCTCCGTTGCAAAAGTAGAAAATGTGTTTTTTTGCTCCAGGCATTTCTGAATGTGCAGCCAACCGGCGGTTACCGGGAATGCAAATAAACAATTCTAACAACCCTATGAGTACATTAGAATATCAGAAGGGATGTCGCTATTCCAATTTGAATATAGATAGAAGGGGCAAGATAGGAAATGGCCTCAGTTAATTATTTTTGGCTTCATTTTACGCTTTCCAAGTCAAGGTTGAGATCGTCCGTGCATCCAGTCTATCCATCCGTCTGAATGGAGGTCATGATAGCGCTTATAAATAAACACCAACACGAACAACATTTTAGGACGAGGTTGTTTCCTATTATGGACTTGTTCCAAAGAGAAGTGGTCAAATGTATCAAAGGTGTTGCACAAAACTTGGGACTCAAAAATTAGTGATGTAACGATTCGCCTCGTGGCTTGCGCTGTAAGGGTCAAGGCGTGCCTCACCTCCCGATGAAGTCGTTACACGTGACATCATCTCATGTCACACGCCCTGCGACATCTCGTCGTGCGGCTCACAACATACATGTGTCATCGCTAATTAAATACTTCCCAGGGCACATGCATGATGGAGAGCATCGCACGGACCCATGCATATGCATCGTTTTTCTTCCTTGTTAATTCTCAGTTTTGTGCAGTCACTGGTGACCCGGGCCGAGACCCTGAACTCACTTCACTTAAGAATTCAGTTTGATCACAGGTGGTGACCGAAACCCACGGACAGGGTCTCATTGGTGCCGGCTCAATGCCCAAGCCAAGGTTTCATCGCTGTGAGTCACCTGGTCACCTGGAGCCTTTGCGATTGGCCAGAGCAGCAATCGTTGCCTGCTGTGGTGTCAGTCAACATGTGAGAGTACAGTGGTTTACTGCTCAATTGAACATGGGGTGTTGCTCATCTCCTGCTCTTGGCCTTAAAGCAGTGCTATCAATTCCACGTTCCATAGGACAACCATTTAGAAACCCTCGACCACGAAGTCGCCATTCGTTGTCATCAGTCTCAGAGGGGTGAAAGGTATAAAGGGATGATGAACGGACCTCGCGGCGTAGCTCATCGCGAGTGTCGCAGGCAGTGCACTTGCATCGAGGCCCACGGGCTGGAGCGGCCCAGGCACGGAGCTATGAATGGCGTGGGGGTGGGGGGGATAGGACAGGGGGGGACCATTCAACGCCTTGCAACAGGGCTGTGTTGACCCCCAAGTGGGATTTGAACGGGCAACCTTCACATTCTTTAGTTCTATTCGGTAAAGTCACGTAGGTAAAAAATAAACAAAAATCACGCCGTTTCGGCCACAACACAAGTAGCCTTCTTCAGGTGAAGGAACAGAACTGTCGGGACGACAGCACTTCAATGACCGCTGCTAAGCGGTCATTGAAGTGCTGTGGTGTAGGAAAAGGTTCAAAGCTGGGAGGCCATGTGGCCAAATGACGAAAGTGTCATCCACATATTTCTTCCACAGGGAAGGTCTGAGGGTGGAAGTCTGGATGGCGTCTGATTCAAATTTATCCATGAAAACATTGGCTATCACTGGTGATAAGGGAGAACCCATGGGGGTACCCTCATTTTGTTTGTAGAAGGTGCCATTCCAAGTAAAGTATGTATTGGTGAGGCAGTGTCTAACCAGCGCAGGTGTATCGGGGTCTAGTCCATGTTGTACCAAATTTTCAATTATTTCAATGGTATCAGGTACCGGGACCTTGGTGAACAGGGAGACCACATCGAAGCTGACAAGGATATCGTCAGGGGACAGTACACCTTTAACACAGCTATTTTTGATATGTAAACTCCTTTGTCAAGGCGCCCTGCTCCTCCCACCGAGCTTAAAAGACGCTGCGAATCTTAGCAGCGGTCATTGAAGTGCTGTCGTCCCGACAGTTCTGTTCCTTCACCTGAAGAAGGCCACTTGTGTTGTGGCCGAAACGTCGTGATTTTTGTTTATTATAGAACCAAAGTGTATGGCTCCTTGCAGTCACGAAAGCTTCAAATCTAGAACCTTCACATTGTGTGCCTTGCGCTCAACACCGCTGTGTCACCTGACTGTGTGATTTCTTTCCACTTCAAGGCCAACAAAAATGTTAGGAACATGGTTAAAACTTTGTACTTGTCACCTACACCTGGACAATGTGAGCTGGAACACAGTGCTTCCAAGCCACGCGGGCCAGCCAAACGAAACAAAGATCCCCCTTGCAGTCTTTTCGGGCTGTTTGGACAAGTACTCTTAGTGGGCACCTATGAAGGCCGGCACGGTGCTTGATGGATTCATGTGGCCAGTACCAGGTTCACTGGGCAGTGCACTATTTTCGTGAACAGCCACTCGCACGCACACCCCAGTCAAGGTATTGGTCACTCATGTTAGCCAGGAGCGAGAATCGAACTTGAGTGACCGGATTCACAACACAGTGTGCTAATCACTATGCTACCGTTATGCACAGCCACATACACACGCAACACCGATTCAGATATTCATCACTGATATTAGCCGCGAGTGATAATCAAACTCGGCTTGCCCGGCTCTTGGTCCAATGTGCCAACCACCACGCCACTGCCCCCCAGAGCCACACACACACGCAGGCCTCTCCCCCACGAATGCCGCTCCATCGTTACAGAGCCAGGCGGGGAGGAGAGGGACTCGGACAGGGATCATCGGTCCGGCGCGGGCTGCGGCGTGGACGTGGGCGACCGGGCGGTGTACGAGGTGACGAGCGCAACGCCCCGCGTTGGGCCGCGAGAGGCCGGGGCCGGTAAAGGGGACGCGGGGAGCCGATCGCCGCAGCCGCCGCAACCGCCGCAACCGCCGCCGCCGCCGCCGCGGCTCAGGAAGTTTGCGGTCGTTCCTGATGCCGACAGAGACGTTGACGTCGTGATCCTTACGACGCAGAACGGTGCGTGGATTTGTTGCTGTGTTTCCGTGAATTTGATGGGTGTTACGACCCGCAGAGACGATAGATTTCCGAGAACATTCAGAGACTACATTAGGAGTGGTGCTCACATATGCAAAAAAAAACTCGCCACGTTCCTGTATTATTGCTGCCTTTGAAAAGTACATATAATAGGCTGACATTCTGGCCAATTGCCAGCATGTCAAGAGGCTGACTGACTTAGGGATCACATCGTACACTGCGTTATCTTAAAGTATGCGAATGAAATTAGAAATTAAAATATGAATATTTGTACTTTATTTATATTTTGAATGCATCGTGAAACCACCGGTCGTTGATGATGCTGCTGTAACACAGCATCCAGCCTTCACAAAATTCTCTCAAACCGCAACCAAAATTGCGAGGAAAAAAAGTGAAAGCCGTGCTGAAAGAGCAACCACAAATGGTCTGCCAGATGTGCAGTGCTCGCAATATCGCGCTCATAAATTTTACGACACGTGGAAAGCAACGGCTTAGCAAAAAAAATGAAAAACGAAGGAAAATGATCGCTGACGCGAGAAGGAGCTGCGGTGTGGGAAATGGCACTCTCGCCGTGGTGAAATACCATCGGCGCGTGGCGGAGCCGTGCGAAAGCACCTCCGCAGTGAATCTCGGTGATGAACTGCACGTGGTGGCGGTGGCGGCAATAAATAGCGAGCGAGGCAGAACGCGCGGCTCTAATCCAGCACTTTCAATAAGTGGCAGGGTCGGTGGATCACGCAGAGATCAGGCAAGTAGTGCGAGATTGCTATCCTGCTCGCCTCTGGTGTGGGCAGTACAGAAAGTGTGGATTTGTGCTCCAGGTACTGATTTTCCTCCCACATAAAAAAAAAATGACAAAACCATTGCAATGCGGGACTCTTCCGAAAATGCGTGTGCTAAAACTCAGTGAGGCTTCCCCAAATAAATGTTATTATAAAACAGTGTCTGGTGCAGGGTGGAAGAAGTGTACGTGTCTGATTGTGATTGTTTATTTGTAGGGATGTCTGGCCTTAATAGGCTGTCACTAACAACACTTGTGCCAAAAGGCTACGGGGGGAACTTGGTTTAGTTATTTGTCATTTGTGCATTTGTTTCACATTTTAAATATGCGACGTTGTGTCCCAATGACATGTCAAATGCCTATTCACATTACGTTTACATTACATAAACCGCACAGATCATTGGTAACATTTCCAAGGACAAGCTCGCTTAAGTAATTTTCAAATTACTTCTGCTAAACATAAATATAATGGGCTTGGACACAGTTTAATTGCTGCCAAAGTTTCCGATTCATGTGCCATTTGATTTCCTCTCAAAGTAATTTAATTAAAATTTAACAGCGGCATTTTCCATAAAAATAACAAACCAGCGACCGCCTGATTGAATTTTGGCATATTTTGTTTTAAAAGTGGTCTTTTAAACCATTCATCTACAAAGTGTTGACTTTGTAAATTAAACGCATTTCCTTAGCCCGGTGCACATGGCCTGTGTTTTTTAAAAGGTGCAATGCTCATTTTATATGTCGTGGCCTCCCTCTGACATCCACTCGTGTGTGTGGGTTTTACACTTTTCTACATTGTAAAAAAAAATACTCGGAGGTGCAGTGGTGGTTCAGCAGGTAGTGCACGGTGGTGCTATGAATCCGGCGACCCGAGTTCACATCCATGGCTAACATCAAATGGTGAATGAACTGTGAACTGGTCCTGGGCACCACTTTCACCGACCCGGACTGACCGGAATGGTCAAACAACCCCCCACAACTGACACAGTAAAAACCTTCAGTCACGGATTGACATACAGCAGCCGTTTATTTAATTATTATTTTGAAAAATATATATTCAACGAACTGTTTAGTAATCCAAAAGCAGGATCCTCATGAATATTAGTCTCAGGACCTTCATTGTGGAATAATTTTAAAATTCGTTAAACTGCAGTGGTACTGTTGTCATGCGCCTAGTATCAGGTGCATGCTGGGTGATTTTAGTCAGACAGCTTTGACAAATAGGACATCGAAACAAATAATGTATCTCTCTCTCTCTTCCCGTCGTCTGTATCCCTGCATCGTTCACACGTAGGCATCATCCTGGACATGAACGTGGAGCCGATGGAGAAGCAGAAGTTTGAGGGCGACTATCGACAAGCCACCGGAGTGACGCTGCGTCTGCTCGCACGCACCACGCACAGTGAGAGCCCCACTGGTCTGCCCAACCTTCCAGATCCCCGTCTCTTCGTTGACTGTGTAGTACCGATATGTAGTCATCATTTTCATCGGCCATTGTACAAACAAAACTGCACGAAGGCCTCTCCACGTCGTCACCGTCCCTTCGCAGCCCTGCGATGCCACAATCCATCTCCCTCCTTTACATGAGCTGATCTTATCCGGTATCTCATTTCGTTATGCTGTCTGCTGGAAACTCTGTTTTCAAAAGGCCCACCGGCTAATGTGTTTTATTTCTGGTGATGGAACAGAGAGCTCCCTCAATGTATTTATTTATTTATTGAAAACGGTATTACATAATCCCCAAACACAGCCTACAATGATAATGCTGTGTTATCGTCATACATGCTCTCGTATTGTGAGCCGCATGCCTGTAACTGATCATTGCGTGCCTTCGGACTGCACGAGTATTTGGGATGAAGTCAGAGGACCCCATGGTGAGGGCACGTGGTGTCACCGCCTCAGTACCACCGCTACAGCTGACGTCATCCTTTCTGTGATCGTGGTCTTCTGTCGCCACTGCTGTCACTGGAACAGTGGTGTTATAGTCAATAATCAACTATCCTAACATTTCTAAAAGCTAGTTTAAGCTTCAGTAAACCAAATGCTATTCTGTTACAGGCGAGTATATTCATAAACGTTATAATAATGCATAGAAATGTTAACAATTGTCTTAGATAAATGATAACATTTGAATACATTCATGTCATGGCTAATATTTAGTTTATATCGGATTGGTTCTTCCTGTGAGATCATCACACCGATTGAAGGAGTGGGGTCAGGTGACACGGTTATTCTGGCTTCCTGGATTTAATCCCAATGATGTTTGACGCAGTTTAAAGCAAAATGTCTCATCCAACTGCCACAGCAGGTTCTGAGAATTATAAAACTTACCGGTGAGCGAGCCTTCAACAATACTAATTCGTGTTATTAAACGCATGAACACGTGACGGTTTACTTTGGCTATGTGGAGTGGCGGAAGGTCTTACAGTTGATTTGCCGGAGCAGAAATTGGTTCCATTCCATTAAAGGTAGCAAAACTTCGGTCGCACCACTCCGTTCATACGGGCGGCCAATGCAAGCGAATCATCGGGCGACCTCGCACATTTCAAACGGTTATCACATAATTCACCGTTTGTCGTCCACGTACATGAATAGTAACCACTGCGGTGACGCCACCCCAGGTGGCACGGCGGCAAGTGAAGCATCTGGCGTGGGCTCCCGGACCGCGAACGGCACAGATCAGCACGCGCGTTGAACTTTGTCCGCGCCGTACGCAGCCGGATCATCGACTCTGACGAGGTGCGCCCTCTGCCCTTTGCCGCCGCCTTCGCCGCAGGTCGATGGAAGAAGTTCCGGCAGAAGGCCTCTCGGGCGCGCGTGGGCGAGTGCGGAGCGGCCAAGCTGTGCGGGGCGCCGGTCCGCGCCGACGAACTCCTGCGAGCGCTTGCCCCGCTCAAGCACGAGTGCGGAGGCCGCGGGGGTCACGGCAGGGTCGTGTCCAGGGGGTCTCTCGCGTGCGTCGTGGGGCTCGCTTAGGACGCGCACCGCGCGCGCAGGGATTAGGGTTAGAAAGCTTCGTTTTCAATGTTTTCAATAGGTCCAATGTGTCAAGACAAATACGCGTACGATTTGTATGCGCGTGCGATTCGAACGCGTGGCAATGAGCTGTCAATTTAGCTGCTGCTCGGCAGACTCCAATTGTTCCGAGGACTGTGCATTGGCAGACCTGTCCCGAGTTGTGTTTGAGGGATCGGTCTCTAGGCGGGCTCAACATGAGATGCCATGTGATGCATTTGTCATCAACTACAGATGAAGCATACTGGGGTGTTCCAAAACATTCCCATTCATTCCATCACCACCCTTCAAAGTTAATTAGTTTTACTTGCTTCACATGAGGCTTTTTTGGTGGTAATTAAATTAATCGTACACAGAGGGGTAGTGGTTAGTCTGGAATATGGCTTTAAAGATCCGTTTGAAGAAACAACCATGATCTATCTGATGCAATTGGTTATACTGCTGCCTTGGCTTATAGCGCTCTTTATCATGCTATATAAGGACGATTAATGATGGTGGTGATTAATGGTCGTGATAATTGCTGACTGTGGCTGTTGGTGATGGTTGATGGAAGATCGCTGATGACGATGATGACGACGACAAGAATGACGATTGCCGGTGGTGGCAGTGACAATTTGGAACCGCAGCTGTGGTGCTGACGACGACGACGACGACGGAAGCGACCTCCTCGGCGAGGACGACAGAAGCGGCGATCATTGAACGCCGCCACATTCCGAACCCTGGGCGCCTCCGTGTCAGCTTTTGTGCCAATGACGAAAACGTTCGCAAGCCAAGTGAAACGCGAGACACGCAGCAAGGTCTCCGCAGCCATTAATCAAAGCCTACGCTGGCTTTGACATCAAACCCAAACATTTATTCGTGCGATGTTGACACACGCGCTTCACGGCTCCGCCAGTCGTACCGTGCAACACTCGCTGTGTGAACACCTCGATTTGCCTTTGGGTGCTCCCCTTCAACCCAGCCACCCACGTGCACCTTCGTGGGAATCCTGGCTATGATCCGGTGGGAATGCAAACTGGAATTGGCTCCACTTCACGGCAGCTTAAGCTAGAGAGGGGGCGATGAAGCCTCATCGGGCGAAGGCGTCCCCCCGTCAACAAAGCACGGCGTTGCCGAGACACGGATATAACACGCTCCGAAAGTAACATGTGGTCTTGGTTTTGGAGAGAAAAAAATGACATCTATACATGAAAACAATGAGGGTAATTCTACTATCCATTAACATGAATTTATACTCATTTGGCCGCCTTTCGCGCCCCCCCCCCCCCTCCCCGTGTTTCTGTTTCAAGGGACACAAGTGTCGATGTCAGGCTTTAACCGCGTACGGAGTTTACGGGCCGAGCTGGTTCATGGACCGTGCACGAAGCGCCGAGGCACCGTTGACGCAGGGCGTTGTCCCAACGTCAGCATGTTACCTGGATACAAAGCGAACACAACAGTCGCGTTCAATTCATTCATTGTTAATATTTTCTCCGGACAACGATCAAATCGCACGTAAAGTCGCAAGCAATTTCTCTAGAAGTTGCCAAATATAGTTTTATACGCTTCCAGTTATTTCATGCATGTGCAAATTATATTGACTTTTTCTGCTGGCCGTTATTATTAAAAGCAATCCCTTTTAGAAACACCACCTCTTTGGAAACAATCCAAGCATGAATGTGTTCGCTACATTTTATGATACGTTTTTTACCTTTTAGCTAAAAGTATTTATTTTAAATATTTTTGGCGCAAGTACATATTCCCTATGGAACAGTTTGAGCGAGGTACATTCGTAATCTAACGTTTGTACACGCTGCTGGTTACCCAGAAACAGCCAGAAGTGATTGTTTATGTAAATTTAAAAGTTCAAAAATAGTTTGCACAAAATAAACATCCCGCTGTGTTGTTGATAGCAGTGTGTACACCGGTTAGGAATCAACTCAGCCCATCATCCATCCATGGTCAGTACAATTTGTACCACTTGCTGGAAAGTGAACGGTGGATATTATATGCAGAGACTCGCCCGCTCCGTGGGGATGTGGAATTTCTATCACTGGCTCCGGGCCACTGACTCAGCTCCACACTTATTTCAGAGGGAGGTACTCACTTTAAACAATGTTGTTTTTTTACGGTGGTGTGAGCTCGTAACATCAAGCCAACAAATGACAATCGCAATGAGTAGGCCATTATGTGGGCCTTGCCCGGTAAAATAAAACGTTTAGTTTAATAGCGAAAGACCAACCTTTGCGCGAATATTAGACGCAATCACTGGGGAGCTAACAATTCTCACTCGTCAAATGAGCTGCATGGAGCTAAATGGAGGCAGCCGTCATTGGAGCAAACACAAACAGAAGAAATGAGGGAAGGAAAGAAACACGTTTCACTCGGAGATACAAATGTTGACACGAATAAACGTTGCGGAATTTGTAAACGTTCTTTTCGAGTGGAAAATGCGGTGGAGTGGGAGAGGAGTGAGTGGGACGAGGGATGTTTGGTGAGTGGGCGAGTTGAGTGACGCAGGGAGGAGGGTTCAACCCGGGAGGAGGAGCGCAACTTGACAACCTTTTTGTAGACGAGACGCCCCACCGGCACTTGCCCAGGGATCATGCTCCTTGTGGAATATTTTTTAAGCAAAATATATAACGACGAATAATGGATGAAAGTAAAATATCTAAGAAAAAAAACAATGACTCAAATAAAATATATTAACTGGAACTAAACGCGGGAAATTTAATTCCTACGTTCCAGCCCACGCCCAATTACCGCATTCTGGCTACGAAATGCAGTCTATAAAAAGATAAAACATGACAAATTTTAAACCTTTTTTGCTATCGTTTTCACAATGATAGAACGCTGTACACGTGCAGCCCTGCAATGGCTTCCACAAGAGGTTATCTTGGCCTACTCGAATCTGACCAGACGTCCTGGAAGAGATGGAGTATCCACACTTTACCCCGGCACACGTGACCCGCGGATCGACTAATTGTGGTGCCACACATTTATACTGCTGGGTGGACAGAGGCAGGGGTGGGGGGGGTGAGAGATAACGAAAAAATCCTGCACCATTACGTGAATTGTCACGCTGGGAGATTTAATAGAACGTTCACCACAACAGCAGAATCCTTCACAGTGAAACAAGCGGCAATGTGCTACTGCTTCTGTCATTTGGTGGTTCAGGTCACTTACAAACGAGACTCATTCTGGTCTCGTTTGCGTTCGCACCAGGTTTAACAACATAAGCCGAACGAGAAGAGCGCCCAGTTATATTGCTATGCAGTTACTTGCTTGGCAGGGAGCGACATGTGTCAAGGAAATATTTCCAAATGTGATTAAGCGGCACGATTATCTCTTGAGAAAAAAATCTATGGGTAGCCCTGTAAAAAACCAGTTGCTGCCGAGCTCAATGGGCCTCCCAATAAAACATAAAGAAGGGGTATGATGCAGCAAGAGAGTTTAAACATGGGCAGCAGGAGAGTTTAAACATGAGCAGCAAGAGAGTTTAAACATGGACAGCTAGAGAGTTTAAACATGGGCAGCTAGAGAGTTTAAACATGGGCACTAAGAGAGTTTAAACATGGGCAGCAATAGAGTTTAAACATTGGCAGCAGGAGAGTTTAAACATGAGCAGCAAGAGAGTTTAAACATGGGCAGCAAGAGAGTTTAAACATGGGCACTAAGAGAGTTTAAACATGGGCAGCAAGAGAGTTTAAACATGGGCAGCAAGATAGTTTAAACATGGACAGCAAGAGAGTTTAAACATGGACAGCAAGAGAGTTTAAACATGGGCAGCAAGAGAGTTTAAACATGGACAGCAAGAGAGTTTAAACATGGGCAGCTAGAGAGTTTAAACATGGGCAGCAAGAGAGTTTAAACATGGGCAGCTAGAGAGTTTAAACATGGGCAGCTAGAGAGTTTAAACATGGACAGCAAGAGAGTTTAAACATGGGCAGCTAGAGAGTTTAAACATGGGCAGCTAGAGAGTTTAAACATGGGCAGCAGGCGGCCACAGCCAAAATCGGTTGGGATGGGTTGGTAAGTATGGAGGAGGTGGCGCTGGGTGGTGAAGGACTGAACTGGGGTGAGCGCGGGACAGAGCAAAGTGGAGATGAGACGTGCGGGGCATCCCCGGAGCCTGCGAATTGAGTCGCGGGGTCGTTCACAGATGCACACAGGACAAGGCTCCAGGAAAGACGACCGCTCCTCCCTGGGCTCTGTGGTGCGAAGACGCGCACACAACAGGCACAGAACACACGGCATGTACACGCTGAATAGACACGAGCACGCGCGCATACACTTGCATGCGCGCCCGCCCGGGGGAATAAGGGCAGATGAGCGAGAATAGCAGCCAAAGAAGTGAGAAAGACCACGACGGAAATGGAGTGATGCGTTCAGTCGTGAGAAGATGGCATCTCAAGATCGCGAGCGGGTTGTCAACGTGGGGAGGTTTCCATCCAGGAGTAGATAGATCAGTGCTCATGATGTTTTTCACATATATATGAAACCCTGCAATGGTAAACATTTTTTTTTAAATCTATGTTTACTTGTTTACCGAGCCTTCGGTGGTAACATGCTACTTACTATATATGGAAATGGAAAAAAAATTGCAGCCGATTATAAAGTTAGAAGGAAAAAATGTGTTTCTGCTTTTCGTGTTTTAGGTAATAAAATTGTTGGCGCGGTATTGGTTGCTCCACTAATGTGAAATGTAAACTCATTAGCCTCACATGACTTGGCCCAACAAGTCAGACATTGAATTTATTTATTTCTCACTGGCGGCGACTGGGGGCAGAATGTCAACTCATTAAGGAGCGTGGATGTTCAGCAAACACTCTCCAAAGCATGTCGCTTTGCAGGAGCCACGCACGGCTGTATGCGTGTGCGGTATACTCATGTCGGTGTACGGGACAAAGGTTCCACCTTAACAGACTGTTGCGTTCGTCACGCAGCTCGCTAACCACACGGCCACCGCTCCCCACGTAGGTGCGCGGGAGCGACACCCGCACACACGGGAGTTAATGCACACATGATTCCTTGTAAAAGTTTTCAGTTTTGTTGCCAGAAAAAAGGTGAAAAACCCCTATTATGACATCCCCTAAGTCGGCTCAACCTTAAAAATAAGTATTCTGGTGCAGTGTGTGAACAATAGCAGTGGGGAGAGAAATGCATGGTTATGGCATTGGCCATACCACCCCACATTATACAGTTTATATAAAAATAGTGTAGCTCTAAAGGCTGCTGGCGTGCTGTTAGCGAGTACCCATTCAAGTTAACATGACATAAGATGAAGCAGTGCATACCGGGACCACACTCAGTTACCCCAGCTGTTAATTTAATTCCAAGTCGACCTAGGGGAGGCATTAAGACAGATTCGGGACGAGGTTGCCACTGGTGTTGCCCACCACCAGGAACCTACTTCAGGTTTCACAGGAAGCAAACTGCATTACCACTCCCCACACGCACATTCACCCTCATCATGCTTTTATCTGTGCCAAGTATTGCCTTGGGGAAGTTTGGCTGTGATAGATCCAACCTAAACTCAACTTCCCAGTCAAACCAGCAATTCAGCATAAAACACGTGTGTGGTATACATCGAACGCAGGGTGAAATGTACAATGCTTATACACAGGCACACATGTATTAAGACATGTCAATGTGGGGGTTGGAACCCCATTCCTATATTATTCCCTGGATTCATTGCCGTTCACCGAAGTCTTTATAGCCGGCATTTCTGCCCCATTACGCCTTTCTCAACCGTGGCCACTTTTATCGCTTGAGCAGGTTAAGGAGGGCCGATTATTTGGTTAGTTATGCGACACAGCCCCACAATGCTTTCATTTTCGAGCCCGTTCTGTGCGCGCTTTGTAAAATTGCAATCGAACTACAGGATTTTTTTATAACTCGAAAAAAATCAAGATTTATGGTGAAAAAATATATATGGTAGTAAAGTCGGGCAAGGTTTTTTTTCCTCCTCCACCCACCCCTCCTACCCCAACCACTATGGGATGGCAATTAAAAGCATGCAGCATAGTAACTCACTGGCCCACGCTGCGTCGATCAGGGGGAGCGCAGGTTCAGAGGGCAGCTCCAGTATTTTCTTGAATACAGAGCTTTCACAACAGTACTGTAACTCACCGTTGTCCATTTGGTAACGTGTCACGGTGGGCACCCATCCCCACGCGCTTGCCAGGTTCAAAGCCCGCTTGGCTTCCGAAGTCTGACAACAAGATGCATGGCTGCAAACTCGCGATAGAACCCAAACAAAAAAGCTGGCTCTCATCTTTAGTAAACGGAGGCGTTTATTATCAGTAACGAAAACACACGCGACTATGACGGATCGCAGCCTAGCATCGAAATTGGCTGCAACGACCAGCCTCCCGAGTAAACACAATATTTCTCTGTTACTCGCTTGCTTGAAAGGCTCACTGCTTAAGATCAACTATTTTAATCTACGACCAGCCACAGCGTTTACTCGATCTTGCGACATTTTTGACCACTCGTGTTTTAACCACACGGTGCAGCAAAACAGCAAAGACATCACAGGTGTGTTTTTCTGTTAGCGTGTCACCAATATTCAGTGTTCTCTTTATAATGATGCCCAACCACAGGGCCCTCAAACCATCATTCATGACATTTGAGTTTCAAAGCGTACAACGTGGTGTACGTCACTCTCTTGACTTCAAGGAGAGGAAGTACTAAATAAAATACAAATGTAACTTTAGTTCTGGCTTCACCGAAGCTCAAGACTTATTTAGCAGGGTCCTGCTTAGAATTGTGGTGTGCTAAGTAACCTCAGTTACAGACTCAATCTACCATCTAACACGCACCTACTTCACATATGCAATGCATTTCCTTAGGGTATTGTGCTTTGTAAAATGAAATGGCCCAAACCTTCAAAGCAACATTTCTTCTACACTGGTGTCTTGATCATCATCCATAGGAAGACATGTGGATTATACACACAGAAATGATCAGAATGCTGTAGGAATCAACCCGGTAACACGACAAGAGGTTTTCGCTGTTTAGCTCGGCGACTGAACTCTTAGCACTTGGAACGAAACGTCGGGCAAGTCGGACACTGTGCAATACAACCCAAAAACACATCAGAGCGCCAGACCGTTGGCACTTACAAACGTGTTGGACTAACTGTTCTCCACATGGCTGTGGCACGTTGCTGCAGGCTGCGTAATGTGTATCGAGGCTCTTTTAAGGTTTGTAAAAAAAATATCAAGATTAAGGAGGTGGGTGTAATCTTATCTTTGTTTTATACCCTCCACATTCCATCCACCACCCCTCCCATTCAGAGGTATACCCTGTGCCATGATATTATATTGCTTCCAATCGCATTGAGATACCAAGGCATTGAAGCACTCACCAAATGCCAATCCCTTATCCTTAATCTTAACTCTGTTGATCTTGGGAGTGGATTAGATGATTCATCAAAGAGTTTTAGTGTTTGGAGGGGCCAGCGAGTGAAGAGTATTTTAAAAATGTGGTGATTAAGGAGTCCAAATCGGACATCCGGGGGAGAGATAGAGCGATGAAACCAGCGGTAAGAATCAACACTTGAGCTGGTGCTAGACGGATTGCTGCATCGCTGGATTGTGCAGGGTGGTGACAGCAGTGGACTGATCATGGCTGATGATGAATGAGGTCAAGGAAGCTGAATCACAGAGGGAAAGACAGTGAATGGTGGTATCTTGTGAACTCCTTTCGGGAGCTTCTCACACATTCATTTTGTAACCAGTGGGGATTCAGTGTGCCCCAAAGCCCACCACAAGTTGTCCTGGCCTGGCGAATCACAAATCCAACAGTTTCAAAGCGAGTTACATTAGGCACGGCATTGCTTGCTCTCATGTGAATACAATAATTATAAATCAATCCCACACTGCGGTGCGTGATGGGAGTTTTTTGCACGGCAAAACCACACAACTGTACGATGTTTAGTTAACTCCAAATAAATGCTTATGTGCATCACAACAGTAGAATTAATCCAACATCAACAATTGCAAAAACAGATATAATGAGATGCAGCTGCTTATTCGATCGGACATGGTGGCCCGAGGAGCAGAGATTGCGCAGGACAGGGCAGCGTGGAGAAAGTTGGCAAGGAGAGCGGAACACCCCATGCGAGTGGGACAAACGCGTGGACGAAGAAGCTTATTTGATGTTTTCACCCACAATCCATCAAGATCAAGTACGATAAACCGTTGCACGTCAGTTGCCATCATCACTTCCTTTTTATTTACACACAAACAAGATAATGTGAATGGCAGCACAGCCGATGACATATGCATTACCAAGTCTTAAAAATGAACAGTACGTGGCAGTCTCCCTCACACTGTCCCGCCCAGTCTTACACAGCCTCATAAACACCATCACATCGTCTCACCTGGACTCACACGCGGACTTCACCTCGCCTCATCTGGCACACACGATCTCATCCAGCCTCTCTCAGTCACTCACCCAACTTCACCCAGCCTCACACAGTCTCACACACGGCCTCACCCAACCTCAGTCACTCACCGCACATCACCCAGCCTCACCCAGTCTTACACAGCCTAACACATGGCCACACACAGCCTCACCCAACCACACACAGCTTCTTCACAGGCACTCAGTCACTCACACAGCCATATACAGCCTAACACACGGCCACACACAGCCTCACTCAACCACACACAGCTTCTTCAACAGGCACTCAGTCACTCACACAGCCTCACAAAGCCTCAACCAGCCTCAGTCACTCACCGCACATCACCCAGCCTCACCCAGCCTCGCACGCTCACCATTTCGAGCGCTATTCGCATGAAGTATCCATTCCACTGCACGTTACTTCTTCTGGAAGAAGCCCATGATGGATGTTTGCTTTCCGAGTTTGCTCTGTTGAGAAGGCTTTTTGTCTTTCCCCTTCCCGCCTTCCATCTTCTGAGCGGCCTTCTGAGGAAGCTGACAACAGGAAGGCGACACACCTCCATGAGGGTGGTTCAGCGTTCAGTTGTGAAGCCCCAAAATTACCTGGCTTAGTCTTATCGTGAGGAAACCGCCACTGCCCGACATAGCCAAACAAATACAATTTCAAAATGTACAAAGGTTTAACAATACACAAATTATTATTTAGGCTCAGCGGTAATTCAATTATCGACTAGTTACAATTATACGTTTTAGCTGCTGCATCGTAAGATGGAACAGAACTCCACCCTCTGGATTGCAAGTCCAGTGTCACGGATTACACCACGAAGGTTCCTTACTATAACTGTAGATTTTTTAAAAAGCTTAAGCACATATTTATCGAGTATGAGAACCAGGCCCTGTACCCAATGTGTTTTTGTTAGTAATTAATAAAGGATGCAATACTGTTAAATGCTGTAACTATTCTTGTCATTGACAAATTGATGTTAGGGGTCCCATAATTGCATATGTAGGATTTCACAACCAATATTAATCAATTATAGTGGTCCCAATATGGCTAATGCGGCCTGGTATATAATGTGCATTGGTCATAGTTTGTAGCAGAGGGGATGCTTTACCGGTACTGTTGGTGCTTTCTTGGTAGCTGGTTGGAATTCACCCTCACTGTCTGTACATGACTCACTCACCCAATCTTTCTCAGTCACTACCAAAAAACAGAGAGACACAACACACATGTACATGTTGAACACCATACACATGACTCAATTACCTGTATACGGACACAATCACACCCACAACATGCAGGTACCACGAGGACGAATAATCTATGTATGCATTATAGACCCTGGATGTGGCCAAGTAGCGCTGTGATAGAGACACACAACAGCAGGAAAGCTGAGAGTCCATATCATGCATGAGGGTCAGCTGGGCACATCATCCCTCCGGGTCAATAAAATACATACCACATCATCATCATTTTGTGCGAAGTTAAACCACTGATGCCCCCTTCCCCCCCTCCCACCCATTATGTCGAATAACCGCAAATAGTTCAGGGCCCCCCAATGGAAATGAGAACCAACCCATGCATGTTTAAACACGGAGACATTTCATATTAATGTGATTCGGTCTTTAAAAAAAAAAGGCAAGTAATGTTTCACTGGAGGCAGACTGGGAATTTACAATCACTATTAGTATGATTGTTTAACAGTAAGTCAATAGTGCAACGCGCCTGGAGAAGAACCAAGCGGCGTCGAATGCGCACTGCGCGGAGCCGCGGGAGAAACACGACACCCGACCGACGGAAAATCTGCGCTCGGGAAAGATTCGCGACGCGTGCAAAACCGTAAAACGGATTTTCACGCCAGTCTCCTCGCCGCAAGGGAACTCGACCGAATAACGACCCTGACGGCTGCAATCGGCGGGCTTAGCCACGGCACAAAATTCAATAGCGGCAGTAAAAACTTGTGTTTGGGGTTAAAAAAATAAAACATATATAAAATTTAAGGAGAGGAATTCATCAACATCATGCTGGGAAACGGATCAGAGACGTGTGCGTGCAGTCATGGACAAACACAGATATACACTCCGTTAAAAAATGTAATATATTTCACATGTTTCGAATGTTCGTTGAGGAAGGCAATGAAACTGGCGGAGGTATGGAATGGAGCGTGTTTTTTTGTTTGTTTTTTTAAATATATTTAATTAAAAAGATGGTGAGCGGCCCCATGAAATGATGAAGCAGTGATGCCACTGTGCACTTCAAATGGACTTGGCGCTGTTAACCCAAGAGAGTTTCACGTCTTGGCCGAATGCAGTTTGTGCTGCATATTATTTTATATATATATGGCTCAATAAACGTCAGCCTGATATTGATATTTTTGAGAACTCTTTTTATTTCTCCGTGGAACACCAAGCCCCGCGTGGGTCATAGAAGGAATCAAGGCGAAAGTGCTTAGCCATTTGAAACTGTGTTTAGAAGTACATCTTTACTCCAGGGGTTACGTGTATTGTGGCGAAAATCACTGACAAACATTCTGCCGGTTGTCCCAGCTGTTGTGGTGTTTATTAACATAAATTTAGTTTAACACGTAAATTTAGTTATAATGAAATGCAATCTCCGTTCAGCGATGTTCAACAGACACCAATGACAGAGACTGCCGCTACCCTGTTTTCTTTCGATTTAATAGGAAAAATACAAAGCTAAATTAAACACATATTATAAGAGTGATGCCAACACAGCAGCAGGCTTCTCTTGGCAGGAGAAGAAGGCAATGCTATTGCATTAAGCAGCTTCGCATTTTATACTTAACGCTATTGATGCCAGTGGGAGACAAATACACACAATGCTGCGTTTGTGTGTGAATGAACGCACAACTATGTAATAAGAATAAAGCGACTGCTTTGGTAGCCGTTTACCATCAACATTAAAACATTCTTTTAACAGGAACATATATATGAAACGTATATCAGGCAAATATTTCTGGGAATAGCTCTTATTCAAAAAAGAACACGCACACAACGCACACATCGATGCTAATACCCAAAACATCCCCTGCCTATATTTTTCTATAATCTGCAACGTTAAAGCAAACATATTCAATTCGATATCTATAACATTACACCGACTCGCACACCTATACATATGTAGGGGTGTTTTGGGAAGGAAACACACAGTGTGGGAAGGTAACACACAGCCACACCTTGGTGGCTACAACCACGTCCGCTATAGCCCCGCCCTAAGTGGTGTATGGGTATAAAGGGCGGGGAGCCAGAGAGCTCGGGGCAGTGTTGGGGCCAAGAATGAAGAACCAGTGAAGAAGGAAGACCGGCTAGATAGACCCTGGGACTTCCCTGACCGCAATCCTTTTAAGGGCCGGCAGGGTAAGCCGGTGGTGCGGTCCCAGAGCCTCAGAGCCGGAGCCCTTTTAAGGGCCGGTCTGGTTGGTGGGGTGCCGTGATCTGTGCTTGACCCGGGCCAGATCAGATAGCCTCCTCTAGCGCCTGTAGCTGGAGGAACTGGGAGCACAGGAGTTAGGCTAGATTGCCTAGAGGGTGTCCCAGCGTGTATACGGGTGAAGGGGCCGTTACCCCTTCCAGTATAACCCTTGTTACGTTAAATAGTGCTGCCTCTACTCCACCGTCTCCGTGTCCCGTGAACCCACTACACATACATGTTCATGGGTGTGCGAGGCCATGTTTTTATGATTATAAGTATGAGAGGGGAGTGGTGGCACAGTGGTTGGTACACTGCGCTACGACTCCAGTGACTGGTTCAACTCCCAGCCACACATAACATCAGTGACATCAGAACAGCTCCTAGGCCGCGGCGTTGAAAGAGGACCTGGTGTGCTATGTAAAGATCCGCAATGGGGAGACAAACTCGGTCGGGCTCTACGGGAGACATTTGTCTTTAATTATACATGATTGTGAGTGGTGGCACGCTTGGAATCCAACGACTTGGGAGGTAGGGCTGGTGGACGCCAGTTGGAGCCGTGATGCATATCGAGGCAGACTAAAAGGTTTCTAATCTATCCGTGTGGAGTTTGAGTGTTTGTGACAAACGTGTACTTTCTTAGTCATGAGACTAGATGAACATTCTCTCTGTGAATAAATAAAGCGTTTTAAAAATGGTGGCAAACCATGCGCATGTGTACCTACCACCAGCAATGACTGGAAGGATCCGTCACCACATGGCAACTTTGCCAGTTGTTGCTACCGGAGTGGCATTTAGCGTGCGTCTGAAAATCCAGCACACGCTGGAGCAATAACGCGGAGAACGTGGGGGCAGAGAAAAAAATGCAAAATATCTTGGATGGCAATAAATGAATTCCAAATATGCATAATGCTGGTGACTCTGTGGACAAAAACACAATGTGAGAGCCAAGGTTCTGTGCAGGATTAGTGACGTTATACCATGGACATGCCTGCCTCATCGCTTTTGAACATTTATAAAGCGAACTTTTAAGAACTTTACTTTTTTATTCCACGTGGAATATGTACCGTCGGCCAGGTATGACTATACTGAAACGAAACTCAATAATAAACCAGATGCTTTTATTTAAAATAAACTGTGAATGTTTTACTGCAGCCAAATTTATATTGTGGTTAACATTTTGTGATAGCTATGGCTTGCGAAATGGAAAGTCAATTGTGCAGGAACATTGTCAGCTCAAATATGCCGATTCTAAAAAGCAAATACCAAGCATGCTGTTTCTCTGATTAGTGGAAAACATTAACAATTTATTGCACTTTTCTGTGAAGAATAAAATTACTTGCATTATCATGTTTTGTATGTTTCAATAACAGGTTTTCACAATTGAGTATATATAGAATGGCTAATGAAACCGTTTACATTTAATAACCAACATGTGATTAAACTTTGTTTACTTGCACTATAATTGTATTGTATTTCAAAGTATACAATGATCTTGTGGTGTGTATCAAAACACAAAATGAACTCAAAAGTTACTTCATCATTAAGAATGAGTTTTAAAAAATAAGTTATTATTGCGACACATTATATTCACTAAGTAGATGAGCTTCAATCAGTCTAAGCGTGCTTATTAACGCCTCGGGTACATTATCGTGAGATGTTTACATAGTGATTTTCATATATGTGCACTGCACATTACTTTTGCACACCAATGACACTGATATGCTCTTAGCTATGGGAGGTAACCAGAGAGCCCAAAGGGAACCCCTGCACACAGGGGGAGAAACAAACTCCAGAGTTAGGAGTCGAACTCAGGTCCTTCTTGCTGCGAGGCCCACGTTCCTATGATCACTGTTACATTGCTTTTACGGCTTTATTTTGGTGAGTTTGAAATCGTTTTTTGGTTTGGCCATGTTTGTTTGTTGTAGTACGGAGTTAGAATGATGGCTTTAATCTAAGTTGTCTTGTGGTTGTTGTTTGACTTGCATCCCACTGGGATTTTTGCAAACCGTTGGTGTATGGTGCTTTTTTTCTGGAAGACTTTTCAGTTTTTTCCTGGATTTTTCTGTTTGCACACAGTCACTTTAAGATGTTTTCTTGTTCATGTTTTTGTTTTTTTGTTTGTTGCGGTTGCACCCGATTCAAGAGCTGAATGGCTCAAGGGCTATACCAAATAAATTAAACTGAAAACTGAAACTGAAGTGTTACAACTATACCGCCACCCTGCTGCCCATATAAATCTAATGACCGCGTGACATTGCTGACAACACACCAGGTATTAAGAATCCTCCAAAAATCTACAGGTGATTACAGAGTAATGTACGTAGTAGTATGCATATGCCTGCTTGCCATGATTTTGTGTGAAGCTTTACAGAGCGGAGCGTACGCACGGAGCTGGGAATTTCCCACTCTTCCGTCCATGAGCTTACCCATCGATCCCTCCTCATCCAAGAAGGTCTTGGATTTGAGAACACGACGCCGTTTCCTTCGCGCACCAGACTTGTTGGCCTCCTGCTGGCAAAAACAGAAACTCACGATATCTCTCACATCTCTGTGCTGCGTGACCGAGACCTTCCAGGGCCACGCAAGAGGCGCCGGTGTTGTTTTTTCACCAAGAGACCAAGCCGTGCAGCCGACGTCAACCGCAAAGAAGCAGTCGAGGCGCGTGAAGATTGACGCGTGAATATTGACGCGGCAAGGCTGCGTTCCGGTTGTGTATTGACCGACATCACAACGAAACTGTGAGGCCACCAGGCAGATTCAGATCTCAATGAGGCCAAAGTAGCAACGGTTCGGTTCTGCCTAGGTGCAGCAAAAGAGCCAATGGAAAACTACCCGCAAGGTGTGGGTCACATGCTGGCTCGACTCAAGACGTTCGATTGGAAGACGGGTAGACTTCCTACCCTCGCAGCCACCAGTCGCCAAATCACCGAACGAGAAAATCCCCCGAAATGTGCCCTTATCTCATCAATGTCCGAAGTTACGCAGGTTTGAAGCTGAATAATGCTTTGATAGGTAACCACAATGCACAACTGGTTGTTATAGGCTGCAAATTCCATAGATACACTGTACTCCTAATTCCATAGATACACTGTACTCCTAATTCCATAGATACACTGTACTCCTAATTCCATAGATACACTGTACTCCTAATTCCACAGATACACTGTACTCCTAATTCCATAGATACACTGTACTTCTTTTGCTGTGCTCCCGACATTCACTAATCTGCTCTGATCAGCGAGGTGAAGTGTGGCCAAATAACCCACACGACCTGTGCGGTGTACGGAGGGCCTCGTCCAGCAATGGATTGGAAAGGGCTGCAAATGTATAAAGAAGCGTGATGTACCAGGCAATGGTAAAATGGCCCCTTAAGCAGAACAGAGCAGGCCGAAACGTTTTCACATCCAACATATCTTAGACTTCAAGAGCAGGTGTATAAGTGGCACCGGAACAGGGAAAAAAGGCAAGTAAAAACTTTGCTGAGGTTTGCCCTCTCAGCCAGAAACAAAACAGCAAAGTTATACATTGTCCCTGCACCAATGACAATTAGGACAGGGCGCATCTCCGTTGACAGTCCCGAGTCAGTGGTGAAAATAAAAAATTCATACGGTAGGGCCCAGCCTCCCCCCATAGTACAACCATGGAGTGGTACTTATTTTACTGGCCACAGAGGGACGATAGACTTAGCAGACCCCCCCCCCCCCCCCCCAACAGAGCTTTGAACTTCACAACCCTTCCATCTGCGAATCATGCCCTATATCACAACACAACCCGGTCGGACAGACGCGCACACACAAAAAAAAAAGAGAGTCCCGTCCAATCGCGGCATGGAAACGTAATCGACTGTCCCGTGTGCCACGTGCTAAAAGGAGGACCCGAAGAAAAGGACGCGACGTGGGGCTGCCTTTAATTGCTGGGAAACGGACGGGCGAACTTATCAGCGCTAACGAGCCACTGCCCAGACACCGCATAACGAGCACTTTTAATTGCGTCAAACAAAAGCACGGCTGAGAGGGGCACGGCGCCTCGGTCGTGCGTCGACAACAGTGCCGCCACCTCACTTCATACAGCGCGCGTCTGCACGAACCGTGGCACCCACCCCCCCCCCCGCCTCCCCCCAACATCCAGCCTCTTTATTTAGTGCAGGCGCCCCTGCACTCGTCAAGTTTAACGTGGCACAATCACGGGTGGCGGCTTCGCGCGCTTGCAGGCGCAACACAATCGCCACGCAGAGCGCTTTTCTTTTCCCGAGTAAAGCCGGAGGGCAAGCGAACTCCCCCAATTAAGGCCGTCAATTGACTTGAGGAGGAGTCCCTGGTACATTAAAAGCAATAATGTTTAGTAGACTTCCCAACAACCCCAGACTGCGACCAGTCACTACATAGAGCTTGACAGGAGCACTTTATGGAGGTGTTTGTACTCTCAAGTAGTTTCATACTAGAGGAATTTTTAGGCTTAACTTAAATTTTATATTGTTTTGAAAAACTAATCAGCTCATCATTCGTCCAGATATATAAAGAAAAAAATATGTACTTTGTGCGGACATCAAATCTCATTCCCATGTCTCTCCACATAAAAAAATTAAAATATTTTTACCCATTCCATTGGCCGCATGGCCTTCTGGGAGTGCATATATCTTAAGCAGCATGATTTAATAAAATAAAACTCAGGACCAGTTTCAACATGCAGTGCCTCATCGGTAGTAAGGCTTACTTATACCAATGCTTGTTAATTACCACGTGTTTACAAAGACTAATTGCGATAGATTTTTGCCCTAGTTCTTTGCAAAACTATACAATACACAACACATTTGAAGCATTAAGCGTTGTTGTGGAGAATATAAGTAGTAAGTAACCATATAAGTAGCAATTTAAATGAGCAGCCAACATGTTCCGAGTGACGAATGAAAAGGTGGCTACTAATTTCTTACTTTTCTGTTACTTGTATTGTGAGACTTTATGATTATTGCGCGAAGCTAAGAGTGGATGTCATATAAAGATAATGATCTCCTTTTAAAAATAAAAGAATATACTGTCATATGAATTACAGGCAAAACCAAGACGGGTAATATTTGTTTTAAACGACGCAAGCTGAAGGTTAAGGTAAAGTTTCATTTAAATGTCATAAATACCAATTTGCCATGAACTTACTAGCGATAACTGTGACGATGACAATAAATGTTGTTAATGTACAAATTGCTTATTATGATGGTGACATAATAGCTAATTCAGCCTTGTAAACAATTTCACTTTCAACGATGAAAACTGACACTTTAGGAAAATGGACTCACCTCTGTTTTTTCTGAACCGATGTTGTCTTGTTGATGCTCAGTCACTTCAGGCAAAGGCGGAGTTCCAATGGTTGGCGGGGAAGGGGCTGAAACAGAATCGGAATCGTTATACTGGGGGAATCTGATGAGCTATAGTACAGTTGGCTACGTATGGTGTGAAAAAAGTTCAACAACATACATACATACAAAGCTCTTTTTCACAGATGTCCAGTAGGAATGGGTCAGAAAGTTACAACAATACAAAAACACTACAGGAATGCAAAGTATAGGAAAGGAAAGCCAATCACAAAAATATATAATTTTTATTTTACCAGATTAAGCTCCCTTAGCAATGTTTAGCTTCGTTCATGAGGCCATCCACATATACAAACAGAGACAATTTAAACCGAGAAGATGGATTCTGGCTTGGTAATCATTGGAAAGACGTGATAAACCATTTCGGTTCTTGATTCATTGTATTTTACGGTGACTTTCAGTCTGCAGTCCATTCGCTGGCACTGCCTGTTAGTACCTTTCACACGACGGTCAATGGTATGGTTTATAGCATATTGTATAATAATAAATAGTATAACAGTGTAATGTTTAATATAATTCATATGGCAATATAGAGTATCGTAATTGTATAGTGAATATACAGCAGTGTGGTATACAGTAGGGTTGGTAGAATAATACATAACGTAATATTACAAGTCTAATATTTTTATAGTCTAAAGTATAGGGTAGTGTATAGTAACGCATTGTATAATTCAATGGTGGGGTTTGTCTATGGCGGTGTATAGTACGGTGTATAGTCGTGTAATGTAGAAAAACGTTTAATTGGAGGCATATCAATATAATGCATGTTACAGCTTATATTGGGCTGTGTATACGATGTTATACAGTGTAGTTTAGATTGGAAGGTATAATATTGTAATGTATAGTAGCCTAGTTTATAGCATAGTTGTAACGCAACACAGGACAGAGCAGAGCATCGTGGTTTTTTCTCTCTCCCCCCCTCCTCCGTTCCGAGCATAGATGGACTCGATTTAAAGCTTTCGTGACTGCAGGGATCCATCTTCTTGGTTCTTTTGGTAAAGTCACATGGAAGGGAAACAATAAAATAATAATATAAAACAATAAAGTTCTCACGTTTCGACTGCAACACAAGCAATCATCATCAGGTGTGAAAACCACAGCAAGAAAATTTGAAAAAAGTGGCGTTTTTTTTAACATTAGCGCCACGGAGAGCGATTTGGCAGTTATTCAGATGGATGAGTCCATCTATGTTCGGAAAAGAGGAGGGGGGAGACGAAAATAATGGATGCGGTCTGAAAGCCACCGTAGGCGTGAACAAACAATTAAGACCCAAAATGGTTTATCAAATCCTTCCAATGATTGCTAAGCCAGAATCCATCTTCTCGGTTGAAATTGTCTCTGTTTTAATGTGGACAGCCTCATGAACGAATCTCTCATGGTAGCCAGATTGCTTGCAAAGAACCTCTGTCTTGGAGAAGTCAATGTCATGTGAGCCTACTGAATTATAACAGTGATCTGCCACGGCCGACGTGTTGGTCCTACCGTGTTTTAGGTCTTTTTTGTGTTCACGAATGCGGTCCGAGACATGTCGTTTGGTTTCTCCAATGTAACTATTACCACTGAGGCAACTTAGTTTGTAGACGCCAGGGTACTATATGTCCGGAATCAAATATTTTACAGACGGAACCAGATCACGGATTTTATGTAATGTGTTGAATCGGACCTGGCTCTTGTGTTTATTCACACATGATGATGATGATTGCTTGTGTTGGAGTCGAAATGTCGTGAGAATTGTATTGTTTTATATGTTTATTATTTTATTGTTTCCCTTCTACGTGACTTTACCGAAAAAAAACAAGAATATGAATCCCTGCAGTCACGAAAGCTTTAAATCAAAATTTATATTGATGTAGTTTATATTTAGTTCTTTCACATCGGTTTATTGTATGATAGTTGTTGATGTAAACTGACTTTAACATAGCCACTTCTGTGACCAGTTACATGCTAATTCCTCACATTAACATCATGAAAATCTCCCAGTTACATGCTAATTTCTCACCTTAACATCCTGCTAATCTCGTAGTACCTTTCAGTGTAATATTTAAGATAATTTATCTGGTAATATATAGTATTGTAATTGTATAGTGAATATACAGCAGTGTGGTATACAGTAGGGTTGGTAAAATAAAATAATACATAGTGTAATATTACAAGTCTAATATTATTATTATAATCTAAGGTATAGGGTAGTGTATAGTAACGCAGTGTATAATTCAATGTTGGTGTCTGTCTATGGCAGTTTATAATAAAAAGATTAGTTGTAGGCATATAATAATTTTTGCGACATAGAAGTGTAATGTATATTGACTTATTGTTAGTAGCTCAGCTTAGTGGAGAATATATTGAGTACATTGATTATATTGATGTAGTTTATATTTAGTTCTTTCACATCGGTTTATTGTATGATAGTTGGGTAGTTGCAGTTCTTTAGCGTCAATATACTAAATACCTCTGTTGATATGTAAACTCTAACTTTAACATAGCTACTTCCGTGACCAGTTACATGCTAAATCCTCACACTATCATGCTAATCTCCTAGTTACATGCTAATTTCTGACTTTAACATCCTGCTAATTTCTCACATTAACACAGCTACTTCAATGCTAAATTATTCTGTTGGTATGTAAACTCCTTTGTCAAGGTGCTCTGCTCCTCCCACCCAGCTTAAAAGATGCTGCCAAGCTTAGCAGTGTTCATTGGAGCGCTGTCTATCCGACAGTTCCGTTTCTTCACCTGAGGAAGGCTACTTGTGGCCGAAACGTCGTGAGAACTTTATTTTATTATGTTTTCTTTTTATTATTTTATTATTTACCTTCTACGTGACTTTACTGAAAGAACCAAGAAGATGAATTTTTTGCTTCTTTTTCAGAAGCGACCTGACCAGAAATGATAGGTAAACAAAGTGGCTTATGATGTGGAAATTTATAGCAGCCAATGAATCTAAATAATCTAAACGCATGTTTCTAAATGTGGAGGGAAAAACCTGAGGACTCAGAGAAAAAATCCACGTAACCAGAGGAAGAACGTGAAAACTCCAAATATACAGAGCTAACGGTCGGGATCAAACCCCCGACGACCTCCTGCATACCAGGCGAGGAAGAGAACCATCTCGCCACCATTCAACAGATACGTGTTGAAGGAGAGACATTTTAGTTGGGCAAGTGCTTGTAATTTTAAGCAGCTGCTGTCAAATGCACCGAGAAGGAATCAATGTCAAGTACCAATGGCACCACCTAGAGGCTTAAATGGGTCACAGCAGTCCCAAAAAACCTTTTCCAAAACCCTTTAGCAAATAAGGTTTGTATCACGCACAAACGCTACGCAGAATAACAACTCCTGCCACTTAAGGTCATGCTTCACAAGGTCCAGAGAGAAGGATAAGTGATATAACCTCATATGCTATTTACAAACTAAACCTGCAGGTGGAAAACACCGCTTATTTATTTGCATTCTTTAGGTAAGGCTTAGACATTCAATATGTACATTGCTCATAAAATGGAAATGTTTGCATTCCGGATGGCTGGTGGACCGAACGCACAGGGGCGAGGCGATCGACCATCGCCATACCTTCCTGCTCTTCATCATTATCGTCGTCGTCGTCGTCGTCATCGCTGCTGCTGCTGTCTGACACAGGCTGTCGGATTCTCTTGCGCTTTTTGGCCTCTGGCGACGCACCCCTCTTCTTGCCGTCACGTGCAGCCGCCCTCTTCCCAGCATTCCCCGCTCCCTTCTTGCCAGCATGCTTCGACTCCACGGCCGCCACCACCTTTTCTTCTTCCTCATCTTCGCTGTCCGACACCTTTGGCCGTTTGACTCTCCCACTGAGAAGCAAACAACATTTGCGCACCGCTGAATCAACATTGGCTTTTTAACCACACCGAGCTAGCTACATGCAGAGCTATTGGAGCAACATCTGTAAGTTGACCTTTTGCGTCTCACTGTGTTTTGGTTACAAAAAAGACATTGCCATGTCCCTACACGGAACACGCAATGGTTTCACTGAGGCATGAAAAATACACACTCATCTCACAAAATCCTACAAACGCACTTGCTAATGTACGTTTCAAACAATCAAATATTTCGAACAATCGTTTGGACCACAATGAAGAATGCACCTGCTGTTTCCACGTGTGTCATCAACTTTCGCCTGTTTTTCCTCCTCCGTTGAAACAGATGCCTTAACCTCAGTCTTGATTTCTTCCTTGGGTTTAGCTTTCGCTGTAAGACAAACAAGGGGTTACCACTTACAACCCGGCCGCATGGCACTGCGGTTAGAGGACTCGGCTCATCGGAAGGTACAACCGTTCGTTGTCAATATAATAGCACGTTGTGGGAAGTCAAGGAATGTCATCCTATGATTATACCGGCTCAGAGATGCCAACAGAGATGAGTTCCCCTCCCCCAATGCCAATTTGAGCAGGAAGCCACTTTGACGCCATCTTCTGAATTATTTACGAGAGAACGAGTAGGACTGTTCATGTCTGGAACGCGCCTGGAACATTTTTTTTCCCGGGGGGGGGGGGGGGTCACCTTCAGGTGAGCTTACCTGCCGACGCAAATATGCTGACCTTCACCGGAGCTTTAACAGAGGCTGCTGCAGGCTTCTGAAATTACACACAAACAGACCAAGGTGAGTATCAGATCGCTAAAGACTGCGATCAGTGTAGGGTGTAGCGAACGTCATGGCTTATTAATGAACACGAACACAGATAGCCTCCTCTCGAAGAGTGCTCTGGGTTGCACAATTTCTTGCCGTCTATCCCTACGCACAGTTGCAGAAATAAAACTGTCGCTCACACATGTAAGCTGAAGTTCTGAATATATATCTGTAGAAATTGCATCTTAAGGAACATAATTATGCCCCGAGCTTCAAATGTTTTACATATTGGTCATTCAAATATAAAATTACTTAAAGACACACAGTATGCCTCTGAGTAAAAGAGCTGATATGTTATAGTTCAAACTCAATCCTTAATAATAATGCTGGGCTTACAGTATTATGAAGGGGTTTTCCATTAAAAACGCCCACATTGAATTTTTTTTTGTAATGAGGTTTTTTGGGGTTAGATTATGGATATTGGCCGCGAAAGCCTACGTGTTTAAATTTTTTTTATTTGAATCGCACTTGTTAAACGCAAGCTTAGAAGCTCTAAAAAACAAGCGGCCAAAAACAAACAGCACTATTAAAGTCGTAATAGATAAAACTTACACGTCGCAAATTGAGAAGGGTTTGTAAAAGTTTGGGAAAATAGATGACGATGGGAGAAAATTCCAAAGTTGAGCAGAGCAAGAAAAGAGGCGGAAAGAAAAGGGTGACCTGTATAGTCTGGTGGTTGAACAAAGTGTGTATCAAAGTCAGTGTGGTAGACACAGTCCTTAACATGGCTGGAGGAATCCATTGGTGATGCTCAAGAGAAGACTAACGGTGGTAGTAACGGCAGAAGAGTAACAAGGCAGTGACTAACTGGCATCGAGTGAGTGACTGGAGTCAATCGGTGGGTGCTGGGTCATCCGTAATTCTGATCGTCAAGCAACAGTAAGGTAGGAACTGGGTGTTCTACCCCAAATATGACAACAGTATTCCAACTTTGGATACACCTGTGCTTTGCATCGTAGAAGTCATAATTGTTCAGAGTTAAAGGAGACTTAGGGATGGAACAGAAACCCAAACTTGGGATGCCTCCTTAACCAAATTAGTTATGCATTACTCATATGAAATGTGGTCAAGGGAATGTTTGATCATCCTTTATTTTACAATCATAAAACTAACTACCGACGCTAAGACGTATTTAACAATTCATTAAATGCAACCCATTATTACTCGTGATACAAGCATCCAATCGCACGTGTAAGAATCAATAATTCATACATGTTATAGGAAACGCAAACCCTGCAGCCACGAGAGATTCTGCATGTACAATGGTAACAAATAGACGCTTTAATCAAATTTTAAACGTTAGTCACAATTCATGAAATCTCTAACCGTGGCACATTAGTTACATGTCTAACAAACAACTGCTCATTAGACTCATTTAAAAAAATATTGCCAAATATATTTTAAATGACGAGTCACCTCCTTGACTGGCTCTGGGGCAGGAGATTCCTTCTTGACTTTGCCTTCCTTGCTGCCACCCCCCTTCCCAGCAAACATTCCCATGATGCCCTTGGGTGGAGCAGCACGTGGGGTGGCTTTAGGGGCGCATTGACCGTTGGTGGCAGCAGGGGGTGCGGCCGGGGCAGCTAGGGGGCCGTCGAGAGGGTCAGACGGCTCCTGGGCGGAGGTCGCCTGAGATCGCAGGGCCTGCATCTCCTCCGTGCTCCGTGCGACACCCCGCGAGTATTGAATGCTGCTAAACCTATATTTCAGTAGCCAGAGACAAAAACAACGTGAAGACTTCTTCACAGTTCTGGAAAAATCGTCTGCTGAAACTGGTTGTAATTACCAGCAAAACGTCGTAGTCAAATTGTAAATATTGTGGGTTTCCGCTCCAACACTCCGGTTTGCTGAATTTGTAACTAATTGCCACGATTTGTTTACAAAACCACCCTTACTAATTGACTGTTTCGGGTGGTGGTGGGTTAACGACACATTTAAATTTACACGAGCTAACCATATAAACCTTTAGTATATGTAGCGACATCGCTGCACGTCGCTGTGTGTCCAACCTGGGAAAGGCACGCCATACAACATATTGCCACCACGGACACCGCTGAAGGGGGATGCAGTACCGGCCCTAGCGGGGCACGGGCAGCACTGTCCGACAGTCAAGGATGGCACCCTGCTCTACGTGCAGGGTGCCGGCGAGAGTGCCGGCCTCGGAACGAGGTTGCAGGGAGCCATGGCACTCTGGTTGACCCCGGAGGACAAGTGACCGGAGGCGTCTACCCGAGGACCCTAAAGGGGGGCCTGGGGGAACCACGTGTCCAGAGTTCGAGAAGGGGGTCGTGGCTAGGGGCAGAGCGAGCCCCGCCACACAGGATAAAAAGCCGGGTCCCCAGTGTTGTCTTCATGAAGAAATCTACGTTCTACGCCGGAAGAGGAGTCTCCAACACACGGACCCGGACCCAAGTCGGGGTCCGGTCCGCGGTAGCTAACTCAGAGTGTTAGGGTAGCTAGCCTGGTGGTTCACCACCATAGGTTATCTGGTAAAGAGGCAGGTACCTTTTTGTGTTAATAGTGTTGGTGATAAGTTAATAAATGTGTTGCCTCCAATAGTAAGCCTGAGTCTCCGTCTGTACCCACTACATATGTACAAAAACATAGTTATTATGTTGCCTTTTTTGTTATAGTCATGTATGAACAGGCTGAGACCATCAACTTACCACACCTGAGAACCCAATTTTAATAAATTGGAACCTACCCCGATTCTAACCCAGGACCTCAGCGGTGCAGGTCAGTGCCCGGACCTCCGAGTGACTGGGCCATCTCTTAAAGTGACTCATTTTTGTATTGACCCCGCGGAGCTGAAACGCTAAGTCAGCCACCACCCAGGATTTGAACCCATGACCTTCAAATAGTAAAATGCAGGTTCTAACCTCACTACCACCCAAGCAGACAGTGGCAATGCATGCCTGTAACCTATCAATCCAGAAAATGGATTGGCAGATGTAACTTGCTGACCCACCCCTACTGAACATCTGTGAAAAAGAGCTTCAAAGCTCATCAGATTCCTGAAGAATATTTAGATTTTGACAAGTGGATCTTGAGGTGGGTCCGGTTTCGTCGCCGTGCGCTACTCTGTTGACCCAGCGACGCTGGAGCCGGAGAAGCCTACGACAGCGGCTGTGGCAGTGGTGTGTGGCACCCGCTCACACCTGCTGGACTGGTGCAGGTTGTCGCGGATGATGTCATAGTCGGCCATGTAGAGCATGCCGCTGTCGAGCAGGCGGGCTCGCTGCACGCTGTACACGTGCACGCTCGCGAGCAGGGAGAGCTGGGCCTTGGCGCCTGCACAAAGTACAAACGGTGGCACCGAGCCTCACACGGACACCACACCCAGCCCTGTGTGCTGGGCAGCTTTTATGAACGTTTAACACTCGGGTTTAAAAGATTAACTGTCATCATTATACATGTATGTAAACCATACAGAATACACATCAGACGGATCTATCTACTGCTGGATAAAGGCCTCCCAGAGTCGTCACCAACCCTCGCGTTCCTGCACTAGAGCTGATCTCAGCACTCCATATCCACGGCGGTCGTTCTTTTGGGCACATCACCTCCTTTGGCTGCTATTCCATCACCAGTCTCAACCATGCGCCATCATTCCATCTAGCGACGTGTCCTACCAATGCCCAAGCACTTTCGTGAGTATGTCTCTAATTTCCATGCTTGGAATTACACTGACAGACAGAAAGATAAGCACGTGCATTAATGGGCTCCTACCCGGTTATAAATAGTCCTCTGTCTTTTCAAAGATGACCGCAGTGGAGGTAGAATCATATCAGATAATTATGTACAGCTATAAATTGTAGCATCACAGCACCATGAGGAAGTGACAACATAGGGAGGACTTCATTGAGCAGCAAACAATGAACGATTGCTCATGACTGAAAATCCAAAAGCAAATATTCTTTACATGTAACGTTTCCATTAATTGACTAAAACACAAATATGTTTAAGCTGTATTGAATGTTTTAGTTATTTCAGGCTACCCTCATACAATGGTAGTATTACCATGACCATGTAATATAAGCTTACTATAGTGATCGCATGGGTAGCTTACATGATTAAACACTTTGACAGGTAAACGACTAAAAATCACTCATTTTGATTTGTGGAATTTTGCTTCGAAGAAAATGCATGTGATGAGAAGCTCACTTTCCAGCTCTTCTTCTCTCACCACAGATACTTTGTGACACTGGATTTTAAGACAAAAACATACAAATAATATCCGTCATTAATAAGGTACGCATTACATAACTCAAATTACATTAAGTTATATTATTTGGAAGAATGCATTCAAACTCTGTAAGTGTTGTGTTGGACTATCCTCATCATTGTTGGTGATACAGAGCCAGCGGAGGAAATTCCGCATTCCTATGATAGGGCCAGACATGTGGTTTAATTCAGCTGTACTAATTTTAGAGACTACAAATGCACAATTAATGATGATGAAGAAGCTGATCATGACTATAATGAAGTAGCTAATGATGATAATGAAGAAACTAATGATAACGTTAATCCTAGATTATGTTGCGGGGTATGATTACGATGATACAATTAATGATGACCAAGCTGAGTTAACTATTCCTGTGCTTTACAGAGTGGACAACCCTGGGGACTGCTTTGCATAAACTATGGTGCACATGCATGCACACATTGTCAATGGCAGAGAAATGCATTGTGGGCCAAACACAAGGTGGGCGGCTCACAGGCAGCCCGTCCAGCGTGGAGACGCCCGACACAAGGTACGTGACGTGCAGGGCAACCTTGGGCTTCTCCTCTCTCGCGCGCCGCACAAACTCCCACAGCATTCTGTGGAGGCAGCCACGGAGCAGTCACACCGCTCGCTGCACGGAGCAAAGCATCTTTACTTCCATAACAAGTGTTTGGGTTAGATCGCATAAATACATAAACGTGTCGCTAAAACCTGCCACCGCCCGACACAGCCAACAAGTAAGGTGTCACTAGTACAGCACAACGGTGTGTTGGAGAGCCAAGCCACAACATGTACAATCCGAGGGCGACGCTTGGCCAGTAATTACAACCAGCTTCATCAGGCGACGGCCAGATTTGTGGAGAAGTCTCACTGTTTCGTTCCTTATATGGAGGCGTAGATGTGTTGACCACGCTTCTGCGCTCTTGCACAATGTGGGGGGTGGGGGGATTACTGAGGCAACGTACATGATGCATGTGCATTATGCGAGCCCTGTGAACTTGTCCTTTCTGTCTATTATTAAAATAGCCCTACCAACGGTAATCCCTATTGAAGTACGCTGCCCTTTGTAGGCATGCATTTATCTAATGTATTATTCGCTTCCACGCAGCACTAAGGCGGCAGCTATCCGAACGGTTAAAGTCATTTTGATTTCTTTCAATTTCAATAGATTATCTCATTAGTCGTGGCCAGTAGTAGCTAGTTTTGCACAAAACTTCAACATTATCAAAATCAATTGAGTGTCCTTGTTACTGCTGACAGTTGTATTTGGGAGGATTTAATTTATCTGATGTTCTATTAGTCTCATGCTGATCATTCGTCCTATTTGCCCAACAAAACTGCACGTGTGGTATTTTAATAATTGTGTTTATTTTAATAAACAAAATAGACAGGAAGGACGAGTTCAAAGGGCTCGCATAAAGCACATGGATAATGTACGTTGCCTCAGTAATCCCCCCCGCCCCACATTGTGTAAGAGTTATGTGCAGTACCGTATAACAATCTCAGTGGCAACGTAATCCAAGTATGTGGCTCTAGCTTTGGTTGTAGATATACCGATGGTGTGTGTAGCAGTGGTCACGCTAAAGTAACTCACTTTTTTGCTGTGTTCACATGCACCTGCAGAGTGTAGCTCAGCCATTTGTACGTGACCTGCGTCCAAAAGTAGGGGGGTGGGGTTAACTTAAAAGCGAATTTCCATTCACTTCTTTAGCTATTCTCATCTCAGCGCTCGCTACAATCATCCCAAATCATGTAAGCAGCACTGCTATGTACCTTGATAAACTGAAGACGGCTGGGTACGTACGGTGCGAAAGAAAAACATGGATCGTAAACCAGTCGGCACGACTGAAAACTTCAATAAAGGAAGCTGCAAAGTATGTGCTTAAGGTAAATGCACGTACGAGCAAAACAAGTCCTCAAGAACAGGTTCACGAAAAATAATGTTATTTGTTGTAGGCACACCTGTAGATATTTTATTTACCGATGAGGAATACGAAAAACATTCGCAAGCTGATATTTGTCACGAAAGCCAGAACTTACCACATGACAGCAATAACGATTAAATACTATTATAAGGCCACACCTAACCATACGAGCAATGTGGAGCGATGAGTGGCAGCCGCGACGAAAAGACCTTACACACTTGTTACACAACTGCAATGTTTAGTAACGGACCATATGTGCATTTGCATTACACATTGACGCATTAAAACCATCTTCTTTGGTTCTTTCGGTAAAGTCACGTAGAATGAGAATAAAATAATAAATTGATAAAATAAAATAACACAATAATATTCTCACGACGTTTCGGCCACAACACAAGCGGCCTTCATCAGGTGAAGGGACGAGACTGTCTGGTAGGACAGCGCTGGAGTGAAAGAGCCACGTTCAGATCACAACCTTTAAGCTGTGTGAGAGGAAACAAAGCGCCCTCAACTTTAGCACACAGCTTAAAGGCCGTGATCTGAACGTGGCTCTTTCACTCCAGCGCTGTCCTACCAGACAGTCTCGTCCCTTCACCTGATGAAGGCCGCTTGTGTTGTGGCCGAAACGTCGTGAGAATATTGTGTTATTTTATTTTATCAATTTATTATTTTATTCTCATTCTACGTGACTTTACCGAAAGAACCAAAGAAGATGAATCATTGCAGTCACGAAAGCTTTCAATCGAAGCATTAAAACCAGTTTGATACCGATCTGAATAACAATGTGAGACGTCTGCGTATCATCACTATGCGAATAGATACAGTATATGACTACCATTAATACGATTACAGTCCTGTTTACACAATTAACAAAGTTTACTGGTTAACGTGACTTTTCAGGCATCAACAAACTGCAATAAAACGCATCCATAACGCTTTACTTAGGCACACGAAATGCAATCCAGTGCAAATTCACATTTTTTGTTTTCAAACCACGTCAAAGTAAAAATGTTGTAATCATTTAACAGATTATGCACAAGCGTAACTTAAAACGGACACTAGCAGTAGGCCCCAGGCGCTAGGCTGCACAGGCGTGCGGCCTATTCGCTTAAAATATTCATTTACGTTTCCTTTTGATTTGTCAAACGGAGCGTCCACTCACGATTCTGCTCTCGTCGTCAATGAACTCGTCGATGTTGTCGATGTACATTTCATCGACCCCCGTAGCTGGCGGCATTGTTTACCTTTAAGAGTTAAAATTTAAGCTTTCGCGCTCCAAATCGCAGTCGATTTTTTTTATTTAGCAAACGCGTTCGGCTAAGTTACGGAAGCCCGCACGCGTCGGCCTCTTTGTTATTCACAGTTTATACAGGGAGGGCGTGCGGACCCATTTATTGTATTCCATACAACACATGATCCATGCGTTTGTTAAATTCAATTGCACAATGCGATCGTGGTTAATGCATAGTACAGGGTGGTTCATATGTCTTGTGACCCGCCCCCCCAATGAATTGGGCCCTTAAGCATTTCCTTTGCATATGCGTTTATATATATAAAACTTCCGAAAAAATATTAAGTTTTAGAAAAATGTAATGGGGGAGGCCACAAGACATCTGGACCACCCCTGTACATGAAGGCAAAGGCGCAGCCCCTGCAACGGCTAGCTCACGCCACGACTGGCGAGAGCCTCCACCAGAGGCAGCTCTTTTGACAGCGAGCCCCTCGAGAGTATTTTGGCCTACTCTTTCACGCTGGCCAAAACGTCTTGGAATAGACGTCTCTGCAACAGCTTAACAATTATTTAATTTCCCTTATAAAGGCACAACTTCCCCAGGCCTAGCCATTGCCGGTGGGTGAAGGTGACGGAGCGTCCACGCATGGGTGCACAGTATGACGACACAACCAATGAGGACACAACCAATGACGACACAACCAATGAGGACACAACCAATGAGGACACAACCAATGACGACACAACCAATGAGGACACAACCAATGAGGACACAACCAATGACGACACAACCAATGAGGACACAACCAATGACGACACAACCAATACATTCTCTTCTGCTGCCCACCCCCGCAACAGTGTAGGATTAAGCTAGTTCGGGGCCTGTAGCATGTGATGTTATAAAGGGGCCCTAAATAGACAAAAATACATGGATATTAAAACACATTTTTAACTTGCATAGTAATCGTATTTTTTCATTTGCTATACAGTATACAGCCAGATAATACGACAAATCGCTAACCTTAAACACCCAGTCGTTCATAAAAGCCGAAGGCTTTTGATAGTGCGGGGCCTCGTAGTTACAACACGTGTAGGCCCCGTGTAGGCCTCGTGGCTGCCACACGTGTAGGCCCCGTGTAGGGCTCGTGGCTACTACATGTGTAGCTACTTGTGCTACGAGGATCACCAGGAACTGGCCCGCAGCCTGAATCACTGCGGGTATGCTCATGTCGTGACCCACCGCCGTTCAAACGCGATCTAGAACTCTTCATTCCCAAGTTCAGCGTCCCAAGATTTGACGGCAGTCGTCGCAATTCAGGGGGGGGGGGGGGGTGATTCGGTCGTAGGTGACTGGTGTGGTGGTGGTGATGTTATTGAATTGGCACGGCACGGGCTAGAGAAAGATGTGGTTTGAAGCGAGATTTGCGGTCGGGACTGGGTTTACACCAGCTGAGTCCACATCGGCCGCACCCCAACATACGTGCAAGACGGTTCGACAGTGATGGGTCGCTACTGTTGTCTGGCGGGTTTGTTGGTCTAAAGGGGGTGAAGCCCTGTTGAAATGTCGCTCGCCACTGATGGTAGCCTCCCACACGTCTCAACACAGCTCAATGTGCCAAATTAATTATCTGCACGTTCGGCAAAGGAACATGAGGCCACATCTGTTGCCGGGTGTGTTTGTGTCCTGGTGGTTTAGCATTAACTCGACTGCCCACGTCTTAAACACTTCAAAGGCGGCGGCGTTCTGCGTGTTGTTTGTATTTGTGAGTTGAGTCCCTTGCTGTGGGTCAAACACGGGGAGCGGCAGCGTTAGTGGTTAGCGCAGGGCCTCGCCTAGATCGACTCAGCCTTGAGTGTAGACATCGCCACTTGGGAGACAAAGGTGGCCGGGCGTGGTGCTGGCCACCCCCTTTGTGTTGCTTCATAGGTTTTTTTGGTTTGGACATGTTTGTTGTAGTACGGAGTTAGACTGATGACCTTAATCTAAGTTGTCTTGTGGTTGTTGTTGTTTGACTTGCATCCCACTGGGATTTTTTTTGCACACAGCGTTGGTGTACACGGTGCTTTTTTCAGGAATATTTTGCTGTTTTTTTCATGGATTTTCTGTTTGCACAGTCACACATAGTCACTTTAAGATGTTTTTCTTGTTCGTTTGTTTGTTGCGGTTGCACCCGATTCAAGAGCCGAATGGCTCACAGGGCTATACCAAGTAAACGAAACTGAGGTGCTCGCTAACAGCAGCCCTTGCCCCAACAGCCCTTGCCCCAACAGCCCTTACCCCAACAGCCCTTGCCCCAGCAGCCCTTACCCCAGCAGCCCTTGCCCCAACAGCCCTTACCCCAACAGCCCTTGCCCCAGCAGCCCTTACCCCAGCAGCCTTTACCCCAGCAGCCCTTGCCCCAACAGCCCTTGCCCCAGCAGCCTTTACACCAGCAGCCCTTACCCCAACAGCCCTTGCCCCAACAGCTCTTGCCCCAACAGCCCTTGCCCCAACAGCCCTTACCCCAACAGCCCTTGCCCCAACAGCCCTTACCCCAACAGCCCTTGCCCCAACAGCCCTTGCCTCAACAGCCCTTACCCCAACAGCCCTTGCCCCAACAGCCCTTACCCCAACAGCCCTTACCCCAACAGCCCTTGCCCCAACAGCCCTTGCCCCAACAGCCTGCAAGGGCTACGCGTGGTGTTCCGGCCACCCCGCCCTCTCTGGCCTGACTTGCCTCCCCTTAATAGGTGATCGCTAACCACACTGGCCTCAGGTCAAACGAGAACGGCCTGTAAGTTATACACATTTGTGTATATGTGCCAGTAACGTTTATATTTTAATGTGCAAGCAAGGCAGGCTCACACGCCCACATAATGGTCTGCCCCAACATTTAAACGCACCAAAAAAAACCACGTGCAACACTGCCTTTGATGCGTCTAACTGTAGGCACACACACACACTGTGGAGAGCCACACACTCCACCACATCCTCCTCCCCGAGTTGTGTTGACGTAACAGTGGGTGTCCCACCCATCACCACGTGTGTGGGCTTCTTCACTCTGCACGCCGCCACACTCCACAGAGGGCACACGGAGAGAGACGGAGAGAGACCCCTGCCACCCCCACACACAAGAGTTCCTTCCTGCGAAGGCGATTCTTCTAAAGTGAAGGTGCAAGACGGACGGACGGACAGCAAGACAAGATGATAGGTAGGCAGATAGACAGCCCTAACAAGCAGAACGACGACGAACAGCATTATAGATAGACACGCAGAGGCATGCAGGTCGACAAAACTTGGAAAAATAGATTAACGGACTTACAAACAGTACAAAAGTTACGCAGATAATGAGAAGGAAGGGAATACAGCAGCAGCTCAATAGAATGATCGGCATACAGACAGACAGGCAGAGAGACAAATACGGAGGAAGATAGTTGTATATGGAAATGAAACTTAAACAACCGCTGTTTTCAAAACTTAAAACCCAGTTATTGATTGGCCAGGGTCAAGGCCACTCCGATTAGCACGGTTGGCTACGTACGGTGCGAAAGAAGTTAAACATACGGTACATACACAGAAGTATAAAGTAGCATATACAGCCTTAGAGCGTAGCAACACAGACGTGCTGGCGTTGAAGCAACCCTGTGACCCGGTGAGTATGCATCGCACTGAACACAAAGTCTATTTAAATGTGTGTAAAGTTGTAATGTAACTGAGATGTCTCTCTAACTCGAAGTGGGCAGAGCACAGATTAGTTAAAACCCGTGGCTCCCGAATCAGTGGCTCACAAAAGACAACCATTTAGTTGTCTTTTGTGTTCAGAAAATATTACGTTGTCGACCCGAATAAATGTCTAATTGTCAAAACTTTAGTTGTTCCCGCATTTATAACAATGTTTAAAAGTTGAGTCACTCGGATAATGTAAACATTTTACTACAATCGTAAACTTCCTTTGCACGCGCATTTAGCTCTTAATCGTGAAACAATTACACACTTTTCTCTCACAAAAGATCAAGGCGGTGTTTATGTTAAAATAATAATAACTATCCTGACATTTATGCGATGCCCGTGGCTTTGGCACACACTCGACTACTACGCACGTGTGTGTACATCTATGTAAAGGTGACTATCGGTGTGACACAATGCTGCTGTTCAGAGAGTGGTGGTGGTGGGTCAGCAGTTTCACTCAAATTCATTATAAACGCAGAGCCCACAAAGCCAGAATCCCGGCCACTGCTAACATCATCGACGAGTGAGAGTCCGAACCGGTCCTGAGTTTTGCCCCCCTGGACCACTTGGGTGAAGTATGATTGATAAACCCCCGAGACCAATACGGCATGAGGAGGACTTCATCCAGCAGTGGAATGACAAATGGCTGTAAATTATGAACATGTTTTTACGTAACACATAAACCCGTCAAACACACGGTGATGGCGATGATATAGCTATTACTGTCAAATATTGCTGATGCTATGGCTGCTGCTGCTGCTATTAAAGATGAAAGCTGTTGCGATTGTTCCTTTGCTACCGCTGATGATGCCACTGCTGCTGCCGCTGTTGGTACTGCAGAATCAACTGCTACCAACAACGCTACTGCTGCTCCTGCTAGGGACGACGACGATGACAACGTGACTGACAACGTTGCCCAATGCACCCGGACAGCAAAGCTCACTTGGACATTCATCTCATCCCCAGCACCTTGGCCCGCTCCTCCCTGAGCCACCATCACCATGCCTCCTGCAGGCCGGCGCCCAGCCTGCCCCCTCCTGCCGCTGCTGCTCCTCCTGTGCCTCACCTGGCCGGCGTTGGCGCCCATGGGCGCCAACACGGGCCCGTCGTGTCCCAACGGCTGCGCGTGTCACCTCGACAGCTACGGCCGCTTCTCCAGCTACAGCCTGACGCGTGTCGACTGCTCGTCGTCAGGACTGCGGGACTTCCCCGCCACTCTGCCTCTGACCACGACGCACCTCTCGCTGGTGGACAACCACCTGGGCCCGACGGTGAACCCAGGCGGACCCGGTTACACGACCCTGCTGGCTCTCAACCTCAGTCACAACGGCGTGAAGCGCCTGCACAAGGGCACCTTCTCCAGGCTGCGCTACCTGGACGCGCTGGATCTGAGCTACAACGCCGTGGGGCAGGTGGACGCGGGCGCCTTCGAGAGGGCTCCGTTGTCCACAATCGACCTGAGCCACAACGCCCTGTCGGACGAGTTCGACCTGAGCGCGTTTGAAGCGGACCTGCCGGTGATTGGGGTTCAGAGGCTGTCCCTTGACCTGTCCCACAATCGGATCAGCGCCCTGAAGCGAAAGGGAGGAGGGGGTGGTGGTGGTGCTCCTGCTGGAACGCTGCACATACGAAGTCTCAACCTGGCTGCAAATGCTCTCATGGAGGCGCCACCACCGGAACTTCTGAGACACCTACCAGACCTACAATACCTCAGCCTGGACTCAAACCCCATAACTCGACTCCGACAGTCAGCCTTTTTTCACCTCAGGGACCTCACACACCTATCCCTCCGTAACCTCGCTCCGGATGTACACTTTTCCAGAGGAACCTTCCGGGGTCTCGAGGGGACACTGCAAGTCTTGGACCTTTCTGAAAACTGCCAGTCAGGAGTTACCCTTTTGGGAGTCGAGCTGGGCGAGCTGAGATCGCTGTTTGAACTTCAGCTGTCGGTGTCTGACGACCCATCTCTGGCCCTGCTGCCGGCGGCCCTGGGCCTCCCCCTAGCAGGCGCGTGGAAGTGCTGGGAGCCACGGTACCCCAAAGGTCGTGCCGCCACGCACAAAGTGACCGGGGGCTGCATGAACGTGGCGTGTTACAGATTCCCCGCGCACGAGACGCTCTAGCCGAGCGCTGGAAACTGCAGCTCCCCCTCCGCGACCCACCGTCGTACGTACGCCTTTCCACGTTCAGCACGGCCGTGCTCTCCCTTCGCAGTGGAAACTGAAGTGGTTACACGCTCTAAGCGTACCCGACTGTTTGGTCACGTTTGAAGGAATGGGTGGTGACCACACTTGAAAACCATGAGCCGCACGGCTCGCCATCCCGGCCAGGTGCGGTCTCCGTACATCCCCTTCATGGCGTCGTCCCGAACAAATTCGCCGACGTGCCGGCTTGGAACCTGACGTGGCGTCCCCCGTTGCCTTGGTGAATTCCGATGAACGTTACGTATTGCACACGCCACATGATTGATAAACGCGTGCTGATGATTTGTGGAGAGCGCTGGTACGATTGTAAGAGATTGGTGATGCTGCTGCGTTGACCAGCCCCCCTCATTAATAATCATGAGCGGGTGACGTCACTATGCATGGAGGACCCCCCCTCATTAATAATCATGCGCAGGTGACGTCCTCCAAATGGACACCCCCCCTCCATTAATAATAATTAGCGGGTGACGTCACTCCACATGGGGGGCCGAGTCACCTCCTCCCCCCTCCTCAGCATCAACTTACAACCCTCACTACGAAGGTAGAACCCTCACGTCACGCGATCTCCGTAACGCTATTGAGACATCGAAGTAAAAAGGACGTCATGATAAACAAGGGATTATAACCTTTAAATGAAATAGGTCTGTGTCACCACGCCCTTACAAATTGCACACGAATTGATGCGATGAATATCACGTCGCGGTCTGCTTTTGGCTTGCAAGTTCCAGATTTACTGCAGCACATCCGTCATTGGACGGGCAAAAAGCTAGTTTGTCAATAACTGTATGGCCTTAAAAGGAAACGTACATATAAGGAGATGTTTTGCGCAATAGCCCTTCTATGATTCGACTCATACAAATAAGCTTCTTTAGTTATACATTTTAGATTATTGAAGGGTTTGTTTGTTACACGATAGCTACTAATAGTATCATTATTCATATGCACAATTTTAAAACTGGTCATCAGGAAAAAACATTCTTAAGTTTAATTCACATTGGGCCCCATGGTGTAAACATCTCCATCTATTGTCCTCAACTCTGTCTCTCTGGCCCAGTGTTCTTAATTGCAAGGCCCGCACTGGTGGCCCCTGGTCGCCTTTAGTGCGGCCCCTGCAACACACAAACAGTGAGAACAACACTTGCAGGCGGTGTGGCAGCCCTCTGAAGACGAGTGAAGGATTCTGCTGCTTAGTTTGTGTTGTTATGGAGAAAGGCCACTGCCCGAAATGCCACCTATGAGATATTCTTCCTTTTAAGGCCACAGTGTTAGTGACGAATGTGTCGAGTGTATTCTCATTCCTTACACGGAGCTGCGAGGAGTGAATGTGCGTGTGGTGAGGCGGAGGAGGCCTCGTTAATCGGCCAGGTGGCTCTGCTGGACGCAGAAGAAGAGGGCTGACATCAATGCTTAGTTGTACTTACAAGGGGGAGAGACTAATCATATGCACTCACGTGTCAGGGTACAAAACGACATTTAGACTCTCGTACGAGATAAAGAGATCGGTTGTTGTGATGTCGTTGTAAAAATGAGGGCACTGTTTAAAATCAATTAAAGGTTTTCGCTCTCGATAATGTAGCTAGAACACCAATCAATGTTGGACTGCACAGAACACGCATCCTCGGTGCCGCAGCTTTCAAGTTAAGATCTGTTTGATTTTTGGAGTGCGTTGGGATTTTAACCAGCCGGCAACGCGATTGTTAAATGACGGTTGAGAAACGCTGTGATGATGATGATGAGGATTTGTGTTCATGTTGGTAAACGCTGTGATGATGATGAGAATTTGTGTTCATGTTGTTAAACGCTGTGATGATGATGAGGATTTGTGTTCATGTTGGTAAGTGCATTTTAGACTTTTGTATTTCACCCTTGTTTGGAATCTTTGTGCCGTAGTTGTGCCAATGTGTAGATTCAAATGTTCGCTAAGAATTGTTGGAATACAAAGCTCTGGTGCTGTTCAATTCGTGGGCGTATGCAAATAAGGTGAATCGCACATACTGTACAGTGTCTGTGTAATGCTGCACGTAGTTACTTACATATACTGGCCAACATACATATAGCACTGTAGTTATGCAGCAACAAAGGTGCTGGAATTACGTGAATGTACGTTCATACTGCAATATATATACGCATGGAGTACATATACGTGGAGTCTATGCACACATGCAGGAGCCGAGGGGTTTCAGATTATTGCGGAGAATACTGTACAGGGTGGTCCGGATGTCTGGTGACCCCCAATTAATTGACCCCAAAAAAATTCCTTCGCATATTCATTTTCTGCTTTAAATAAACCTTGCTTTCAAAAATATTACGTTTTAGAGAATTAAACGTGGGTGAAAAGACAGCTGGACCATCCTGTATATAATGGAACTATCTCTTCAAATGGCCTTTTGCGCAGTTCATACTTCCATGATTTACTGGTTATTCGAGAAAGTGATGATTGTAAAATGTATTGTATGGCAACATTTTTTATCTTACACAATACGTGGATGATGATGATATGTGATTTTATACACACAAAAAAACACATTGAAAAAAGCTGGGAAGGAGTAGATGAAAAACGCTCATTTCAATCATGTAAATCTCTCTCTGAAGGGCAACTCGGCCAGCAAACCAGCACTGCGCATGCTGCTATTGCAGGGAAATGAGTGTCCTCGACATTTGTTTACAGCCTGTTCATAAATAATATCAATAATAACAAAACAATTCATAGAGTTCGCATAATTCACGAATAGGACGCATTGTTTGAAATATTCTGATCGAGAACTCGGCGGCACGGAGTCACAGATTAAAGTCCTTTGTACGCCGGACTGAACGGGTGAGGCCCCGAACGGGTGAGGGTCTGAACGAGTGAGGGTCTGAACGGGTGAGGGTCTGAACGGGTGAGGCCCCGAACGGGTGAGGGTCTGAACGGGTGAGGGTCTGAACGGGTGAGGGTCTGAACGGGTGAGGGTCTGAACGGGTGAGGCCCCGAACGGGTGAGGGTCTGAACGGGTGAGGGTCTGAACGGGTGAGGGCCTGAACGGGTGAGGGTCTGAACGGGTGAGGCCCCGAACGGGTGAGGGTCTGAACGGGTGAGGGTTTGAACGAGTGAGGGTCTGAACGGGTGAGGGTCTGAACGGGTGAGGCCCCGAACGGGTGAGGGTCTGAACGGGTGAGGGTCTGAACGGGTGAGGGTCTGAACGGGTGAGGGTCTGAACGGGTGAGGCCCCGAACGGGTGAGGGTCTGAACGGGTGAGGGTCTGAACGGGTGAGGGTCTGAACGGGTGAGGGTCTGAACGGGTGAGGCCCCGAACGGGTGAGGGTCTGAACGGGTGAGGGTCTGAACGAGTGAGGGTCTGAACGGGTGAGGGTCTGAACGGGTGAGGGCCTGAACGGGTGAGGGTCTGAACGGGTGAGGGTCTGAACGGGTGAGGGTCTGAACGGGTGAGGGTCTGAACGGGTGAGGGCCTGAACGGGTGAGGGTCTGAACGGGTGAGGCCCTGAACGGGTGAGGGTCTGAACGGGTGAGGGTCTGAACGGGTGAGGGCCTGAACGGGTGAGGGTCTGAACGGGTGAGGGTCTGAACGGGTGAGGGTCTGAACGGGTGAGGGCCTGAACGGGTGAGGGTCTGAACGGGTGAGGGTCTGAACGGGTGAGGGTCTGAACGGGTGAGGGTCTGAACGGGTGAGGCCCCGAACGGGTGAGGCCCCGAACGGGTGAGGGTCTGAACGGGTGAGGCCCTGAACGGGTGAGGCCCCGAACGGGTGAGGCCCTGAACGGGTGAGGCCCTGAACGAGTGAGGGTCTGAACGGGTGAGGGTCTGAACGGGTGAGGGTCTGAACGGGTGAGGGCCAGGACAAAGGAGGGCCCAAGCAGGTGAGGGCCCAAGCAGGTGAGGGCCGAAATGGGTGAGGGCCAGAATGGGTGAGAGCCTTGAGCTCGGATTTCGTCGATGACCTTGACAAGCGCAGTCTTGGTGCAGCGGGCTGGACAGTAGGCAGACTGACTGGTGGAGGCAGACATTGGTTATGACAAGGATGAGGCGCTCCAATGAGGTTGTAGAAGGTTGATAAGTTGGTGCTATGGTGGTAGTTTGCAGGGTCCTCGGGATCAGAACCAGGTTTCTTTAGCGGAAGAGTCACTGCCTGATTTAAGTGTCGGAGGAAAAAAGACCGGACTGGAAAGAGGCGCAAGCACCGTGAGAAACCACGATCGCAAATTAATCGGCTTAAATGCTTGAGGGCGTTAGCTGGTGGGAGAATCCAGGGGAGAAGATTTTAACGTGAAATTGATTTAGATTGAGGACCTCTCAGGATGTAACAGGAAGGTTGGTGTAGATGGCTTCTAGACGGCATCTGCTGCACTTTGATACAACAGCTGCTGCTCAAAGCCATCGCTTGTCGTGAGAGGGGAACCCGTTGGTTAATCGTTTAACGGGCGCTAATGTATCAATGGCAGGTCTAAGGATTGAGGTCAAGCTGATTTGCGAGAGTGATGGGTGATTCTCCGAGTTAGCTGGTTGACAGATGGGGGAACAACACAGCAGAGGACGACGATGAAGCCCGGCGGTGGCCCAGGAGCTGCCGCTGGCGGAGCTCCGAGTGCGGTGCGGCGAGCCACGTCCAGTGGCGCCGTGCCGCATGTGGCTGCCACGATGTCCACAGTGTTCATGCGCACGCCGGCAGCTGGACGCATGAGCCCCGTGCTGGCATCTCGACATTGGCTGCCGCTTCAGTTTGCGAGTAAGAGTTCGAGATTCTTATCCCCACCTACAAGCCCCCCCCCAACGATGCTGATCTCGTGTATACACACACCACCACTAACAGCGCACACACACCACTACCACACCACCACCACACACCACCACATACACCAGCACACACCACCACACACACACCAGCACACACACCACCACACACCAGCACACACCACCACACACACCAGCACACACACCACCACCACACACCACCACCACACACCAGCACACCAGCACACACACCACCAGCACACCACCACACACACACCACACACACCACCACCACACACACCACCACCACACACACACACCACCACACACACACCACCACAACACACACACCACCACACACACCACCACCACACACACACCACCACACACACCACCACCACACACACCACCACACACACACCACCACACACACACCACCACAACACACACACCACCACACACACTACCACCACACACACACCACCACACACACACCACCACACACACCACCAGCACACACACACCACCACACACACACACCACCAGCACACACACCACCAGCACACACACCACCACACACACACCACCACCACCACACCAGCACACACCACCACCACACACACCACACACACACACCACCACACACACCACCACCACACACACACCACCACACACACACACCACCAGCACACACACACCACCACCACACCA